GCATCTGCCAAGGTTTCTGAATGTCCATGGCAGGAGGTTACAGCCCCCATACTGGTGGGGGAATGCTCCTTTAACACACCCACTGAAGTCCATCTTGCTCTGTGTGTGTCTCAGCACATCCCAGCAGTGATGGCAGGAATCAGACTCTTAAGTTGTGTTTATGGACTTTGCTTAGAAGGAGTTTTTCAGTTCAATGACCATCCCAGAAAATACCTCATGTCTCATACATCTTAGTGCCTGTAGGAGTGGGTGTCTCCACTTCCTGCCTGGATGGCAAAACACTCCATTGACGATGGGATAAAGATTAACCAAAAATGACAGTCACTGGGTTTTCTCTAACTCCTTGTTTTAGTCTCACTGGTTGTTCTTCGGCTCCAGAGACCCTCTTTAACATGGAAATTTCCTTGCTTCTCTCTTGGCAGTTTGGCTTATTTGGTAATTAGAGGCTTCTCATTTGGTGAGCTGTTCCCATGGTCCCCTAGTTACACTCGCTCTTGTACTTAGTGTTCCCTTATTACTTTCCTAATAACTGCTTCTGAGGCTCCTCTCTCCCTTTAATGTTTCTAGTGTGTTTGGCTAGGCTTCTCTGCATTCTTATATGGCATACTATGTGCCATCACTGGAGCAAGACGTCACAGCTTTTCAGGGGCTGTGTGTGTTGTTATTCCTCTAGCAGGCTTGGCTCCAGTTCTCCGTTTGAGCTCTGTCTGCGTGAGTTTTTATTCTGCTTCATGGTGGGTTTCTGCTAGAGCAGTGACTTTCCAAAATGGATAATACCTGGACTTGTAAACAATTGCAAGTATCTTGGCTTCAGTGAGACACCTTTCAGTTGGAGGTGCTGGAGTCTTGTGGTCTGGAGTCTCTGCCCTGTCTTGTGGTTCACTCCGACTCTCTTCTGTTTCTTGCTCCTGGCTGAACATATTCTCTTGCTTGCTTTAACTAAGTATCTTAAGGAATCTCACTAGTCTATATAGATATTTGTGGCTTGGCACTTCTGTCAGTCCTGACCCTACCATGCCATTTGTCCTGCTCTGTGAGCAAGGACCTCTGGTCCCCTGTATCCACAGCATCTCTCCTTTCCTAACTCAGCTCCTTCCTGTCAGAGGTTTTTGTGTGTTGGTCTTGTAAGGCAGGAAATCCTCTCCACTCCAAATGCTTCAGAATGTAAATTGATGGTAATTTTCTCTTTAGTTTCTTGGTAGGAAATTAGAAGGGATAGGATTAATCCAAATAGTCATCAACTGTGCTCTTTAAAGGCATTTCCAGATTTTTGGCATATTCAAAACTCTCAAATGCTCATCACAACAATTTCTTTCATTTTCTACAAAGAATAGGCAAGTCTAATGCTTTCAGACCTGGAGTCCCCCTTTCTTCAACTTTAGCCAATTGTTGTCAAAGACATGCTGTAATCCTTTCCACTTCTTGTATTTCTTAATCACATTTGATAACTTAGTCACTTTCTTTAACCAGAGCAATGTGTTAAACTTTTTTTTGGCTGCCACAGAATATTCTAAACAATTTTACTGAACTAGGTTCCAGCAGTTTTGGTACGTAGCCTAACACCATATATTGTGGTGTGCAGAGAAAATCAGTTCTCCAAAAAGAACTCAATAGCAGTATGGACCTTTTGCCAAAAATTCCTAATTTTGGGACAGTACCAGGAAACTTGTGTGGGTCCCATTTCGCTCCTACTCAATTCAAAGGCAAAGCTCCTCCCAATTGCAGAGGGATAAAGCTCAGGCTCCAGCACTCAGCCCTCACATTCCCATTTCACACATTTTCCTTCAAATTCTTTTTTCCTTTATTTTTAGGCTCTGGAAAAACCCTTGCACTCTCCTGTACGTTTTCTGGAAGGCAAATCACAGATAGGAACCCTTTCCCTCATCTCTCACACTGTCTAAGAGTAGCTCCTGTTTTGTGCCCCAAAGCACAGCTGGAACTCAGCAGCTGTAATCTGGAGTGACAGATGAGCAAGTCAGATCATGAAAGGAGGAAAAAGCTGCTGGAAAAAGAGCAGAAAATCAGAAGGAAATCTTGTAATCGTATCAGAAAGGCAAGGAGTGATATCTCAGAAGAATTAATTTTGTACTTCAGTAATCCCTGAGTTTACTTGGAAAGATGATAACTGGGGATAGGCTGTGGACAAGCAGGAGATAGCAGATGTGGAAAGATGGGATCTTGGGACATTTGCCATAGGAAATGAAACTTCCAGCATCACTGTGTTGCAATAAGTGCTAATAGGTTTGGAGCTTGAGCACGTCTTAGGTGTGCGTAAGTATACAGACTGCTAAATATAGCTCTGGAAATAAACACATGTAATCTGATAGCTTTAAACATAGCTGGTTTTCTTATTAGACTGCAAGAACACTTGGAAGAAGCAAGTATAATAATAGAACTAATACTGGTTTTTGCCATGAAGCTTAGAAGAGAAGCAGCTCTGCAGGGTTCTGTTATGGAAGGAAAGCAACTGAGGTGCAGAATAGCATCAGCCACTTCTCAAAAAACAGGAGTGCAAGATCTTCCAGGCAGAGGGACACAGGGAAGGGGAGAAGGAGCATACCTGGCACAGTCCTGAGCCATCTGTGGATACATGACTCAGAGATGTGTGAGCCGTGTGCAGTGAGGCAATGGTAGGGCACAGGTAGCCCTTCTCCTGGCCTGTGCCTCCCCATGGCCAAAGAACCTGTCCAAACAGCCTAAAGGCTGTGTTCAACCCCAGCAGGGGCTGTGACAGGGACACGAGGAGCAAAGGGCCAACAAGAGTCCTACGTTGTGAAATTAGTTGGGTAGTTTTGAATACAGAAAACTGAACAACCAATACTAGTTTTTAAACTTTATGCTGTCTTATGGAACTGCATAATCAGGGTCAGCAAGCTTCATTTACACCCTGTGTGTGCAGCTGGCAAGAATCTCAAATTGTGCCTTCTTCAGTGCAAGTGCTGCTAGAAAGGGAGATCTCTGCACAAAATGTCCCCAGCCCTTCTCACCATGTGCTGCAGGATGGCTCCTGTACTTGTAGATGTGCATTGCAACAAGGGCAGGATTTATCCAGGGTCACTCTCAGGGAAGCATTCTCTCTGCAATATCCCTAATGCTGATGCTAGAAAGTTAAGAAAACAACTATTTGTCTACTTCATATAAGACATGTAATGTAAGAGATGGATACATTTCAGGGAAGGGCACCAAACCCAATCAGTAACATTCTGTGGTAGTTCATTGTAATGCTGATAAACAAAATCTAATAAAATACAATACTTCTCTTGTTGGAAGCCATTAAAGCATGATTTAAAACAGAAAAGCTGACAAATACTTTATTGCTGAAGTGTCCAATATCTGCCTGGGCAGGCACCATGTTCTCTTCAGTGGAAATATACATTTTCATATTTTGCTGTCAGTATGGCCAACGTAAGGTACGAAGATAAGAAAGTAAAATGCTGTCAGTTCTACCTTTGGCTTTCAAAAAGTGAAGTAAACAGGAAATCCCATTGTAGTCTGTGAGAGTACACAAGTTCTGAATGATTTAAGATATTGAAAATTAATTTGTTTTTGAAATCAAACACTCTGCTATATTGCCTGAAAATAATTTTCCCCCCCTCTAACTTTGGGTTCCTATCCCCAGTAAAATTCAGCACCTTAGGTTTGCTGTTGGTTCCCTCAAAATTCCCTCCCCCCCTTCCCCAGTCTTTTTGCCAGTTGCCAGCTACCTGGATCACCCAGAAAAATCCTTTTCAGCAAAGGGGAGCACCCTCAGTGACAACAATATCCAATTTTTATCTTTTACAGCTTTTCTTTTTGTTTTAGCACTTCCATTATTTTCTGCTGTTTGGGAATATCTTTGGTTTCATTTCATGACATCTTCTTCAACTTATCTGCAACTGGAAGGTATTTGCTGTATGTCATGAAGGTATTTGCATGATGTGAAATCTTCATTCTTGTAGCACCCAGAAAGAGATAAGTACCATAACCCTAACTCACATCCAATTTCTTCTGAAGTCCATGGAAGTTTTGCCTAAGTAAGGCTGCAGGACTCGACCACGTGTTCGGTGTAGAGTGTGTACTGCAACGTCTGGTATTGTTTAACTCTACCATGTTTGTTTTTAGCGACAGTTTGCATAAAGATGTCTTATGGGATAAAGTTACAAATAGGCTTTGTTGTGGGGACAAGGTAAGAAAACGAAATTAAAGCTAAAAAGACCTTTGTCTCTCGAGGAAGACAGTGAAGGGTGTCATATTTCTTTGGCATTGTAATGCTACTAAATTACATCTGCTCCTCAAACATTTTTCAGAGGGAGGATTTCTAGACCCAACTCCAATTATCCTGGAGATAGAAAACGTCCGGCGCACTCAGCTTTTTGTGTTTAGATAATTTCATCAACTCTCCCCGCCCGTCCCCAGATTTTAATTTAACCTGCAGCTTCCTGCCGAGTCTCCCCAGCTGGAGCCCAGCGGCAGCCGAAGGCTCCTCTCGCCCTCCGGCTGCGCTGCGGGCATCACCACCTGTGCCGGCGCTGCGGCCGCACCTGGGCCGGGCTGGGGCTGCGCGCCGGCGGCTCCAGGCTCGGGCCGGCTGCCCCGGCTCTCCCGGCTCCGGGTGCGGGTCCGCTCCCGGGGAGCGGCGCGGGGCAGCGCGCAGCATGCGGGGCCGCGGCCCGGCCCGCCCCGGGGGCCGCGTGTGCTGATGTAATCGCCAGGCAGCAGCGCTGAAATTCAACACCGCGGCGGGCGGGAGCTCCGCCGGTGCCGGGGCAGGCGGTGCAACGCCGCTCCGCCGCCGGACTCCGCGGGCAGCCGCGGGGCGCCCCCGCCGCCCGGCCCCCGGCGCCCCCCCCACCCGCCGCGCCCGCCCCCGCGGGCCGTACGCGGGCCGGGCCGCCCTCGGGCTTGCGCGGAGCTCCGTGGAGACCTCGGGGCGGCGGGCTTTCATGGACAGGAGCTGACCCTGCGGCGGCGCGGCGCTCGGCTTTCCCTCGGATCTCCGCTGCCCGGGCAAATGCATACAAATGCATTTGGGAGCCGAGAGGACAAGGCGAGGACGCATCTCTCCCGCGGCGCAAACGTAAGCGGGAGCCGGCGGGACGGGGCGCACCGCACCGCCGCCCCGCCGCGGGGCCGGGATGGGGATGGGGCTGCGCCTCGGCTCCCACCGCGGGCAGGGCACGACGAACCCGGCGGGCACCGTCCCCAGCTCTGCCTTCCGAGCGCCAGCCCTAACCCCGCGGGGTCCCCGGTGCCCCCGGCGGACCGGCGGGGTGCTGGCTGCTCGGACAGAGACCGCCCGTATCGCTGGCTGTCTCTGTCCCTCTCCTCCGCACCCCTGGTGTCGTTGTGGATGTGCTCTATCCCGTCCAGCACCCTCGTGTCGTCCTTCCCCAGCCCACGCCGGGCAGCCTGGCTCTGGTGCCCCGGGGAGCGGGGACAGCCTGACCCTAGAGCCCGTGCCCCCTGTTTCCCGAGGGGGAGCGAGGATCCCGGGGCCCAGCGTCCCGCAGTGCCCGCAGTAACCTGGCAGCTCCTGCGCCCCTTTGGTATCTAGCTAGTGAAACGCGGCACACAAGGAAACGCAAGAGCATGTAGAATTTATGCTAAAGAGCTAAGGGCGCTCTCTTAATACCAGAGATTCCCAAATAAGCTGCTCTGTATTCACGTGTTTTTGCAATTGGCAGAGGTATTTCTGATGCATTCTCACCTGTGATGCAAAGGTAGAGAGCTCTGCTCTCTGCCGTTTACCTAAAAGCAGCCTCAGTAAAATGACTGAGTTTATAGTTGTAACAATATTAAAGAGGTTACTTGTGCGTAACCTCTTTAATATTGTTAAATCAGCCCTCTCTGTAAAGGGCTGATTTTGTTCTGGCTGTGTCTTAAGTTTACTGAGTGTTCTGAGGAGGACAGAAGAATTTGTTTAGTGTTGTAGTGAGGATTATGCTGCTAAAATGTGCCTGATATATAATCTGGGTGTACTTGTGAGCAGGTAAGGGGCTTCCTGAAAGTCGCCTTCCTAGATTTGTTTTTAATGGCTGTGTCTTTGGGACTTCTTCAGGAATTGTCTGAGTGCAATTTCAAAGAATGGTTTTATTTTAAACTATAAAGGGGTATTGCTGATGGAGAAACATAAACTGCATTATAGGAAAGAGGCACAGTAGCAGTTTATTCAAGTTCAAAATATGCAATAGCTTCAGAATGTATCTGTAAGCTTCTATAATATTTACCTCATTTACTTCTATAGAAAGCAAGCAACCTGGTCACTTGCCTGTGTTAAGAAACCAGAATTCCTCACAAAAGGATCAGGTTTCCTTAGCATATGTCAAACCAGTAAATCCCTTGCAACTTCAACCACCTTTTCCTTGAAATACCATTAGGTCAGGCCTGTGTAGGGGTGTCTCTGTAGGTTAAATAAGTAAAACAGCTGCATGACTTCTCAGTCTCTCACCCCATTTATTGACAGAATATTTAAAGTATGAGCAGCCTTGTGTCACCCTTGTTTCTTGCACGCACCAAGTTGTAATACATTTGAAGAATGATCTACAAAATATACAGAGACAAACCCTGTGAAAGAAGAGTATTTCATGTGAGTAAGAATTCAAGTTATATACTTTTTCCTTCATACAGAAAAAAAATTGTGTATGCTATCTGGAGAAGGGAACTAGTGTAAGCAATCAGAGATTTACTCGTAAAACTGTTCTAAAATCATGTCTTTTCAGTTATATGTTTTTTCTTTTAGAAATACTAACAGAGTTGATTCTTCTTCTGCATGTAGTAGTTTCTCATTTGAAGCCAGATGCTGTCCAAAGAATGGGCCACCAGGCAGGGAGTTTCCTCTCTCTGAACCCCAGTCCCGTTGTAGAACTCCTCTCAGGGCAATGCTCCTCTACCTCTCTCCTCACCTTGTGTTTCTCCCATTTTCCATTCATTCAAGTTGTGAAATTTGGCAAAGGATTCCTTGATTGCTAATTGGTGCCATCTGTGACCAAAGGGCATGTGCGTGTCACACCAGAGATGTTTTGCAGGCTGTTTTGTCCCCTCAAGCTGTGATGCTAGTAGGTCTTTAAAAATTTGGGAAGCAGCACTGGACCTTCTGGCTAATTTAATTATAGCAGCAAAAAAAGTTATATTTCTTTTTATATCTTGAAAGGAAAGCTTGAGAGTTGCAGGGCATCTCTGTCCACAAGGTGCTGTGACCTTTCCAAAGCCCTTCTCAAGCTTGATGGACCCAAGCTGTGCCATTCTCCTCAGCAGTCCCCAGACAGATCCAATGAAGGAACGAGTGTGCGGCAGGTGCTGGTGTTTAAACCATCAGCCCTGAGGAGTGCAGGACTGAATGCACCTGTGGCAGTCACACTGCAGACAGGTTTACTTGTCCTCCCTAGCTGCCAGCTGGTGGTATTTCTTCCTTTAAACTTGAGATTTAGGAAACTAGGCTGGAATGAAGAGGATGCTGCTGTGCACTGACCAAACCTGAGTTCTGTGTGCTGCTGAGTAGCCTTCAGAGGGTGGAATTTTTCATTGTAGCTTGCCACAACTTGCTTTGAAGCTTATCAGTTTTCTCATCCCTCCATCACCTCTAATGCAAAAAACTGCGATGAATAGTTGCGGTCCACTCTGTAGGAAGAAGCAAATGCTCACAAAGATTATCAAAAGATAAACTCAGTTTTTAGTGGTCCAATATCTTAGTCACTTTTGGTAGTGCCTTCCTCCAAAATGATTCAATAGTGGCCCTCAGCATATGCTTAAATGTACAACAGAGCAGATGAAAAGGTAGAAGAAGGGGAGGAAGTTTAAGAGAGACCCCTTGGCTATGCCCTAAATCCAAGGTGTTGGAACAGCTTTAGGTGTGATGTTAAATGGGGAAAAAATAGCCAGAATTTGGGTCAGCTGAAGTCTTCCACACCACATGATTCTGCATTTTTCTACTGGTGCGTCCCAACATCTCCAAGAGCTGTGGACTGAGCTGAGACAAGGAACCAGGCTCCATGCAGCTATAGCAGATGATGGGTCAAGCCACATACACGTTGTGTATGGTGTATGCCTGGAGCCTGGTGTCTTAGTGGCTGTGCTGGTGTGGGAGTGAAGACTGAGAACTGACTGTTCTGCAAATGTACAGAGTGATGATCTCAACCAAGAGGGAGGGTTTGCATGGATTAGGTTGCAGATGGTTTCATTTATAAAAAATTTTCCTCATGAAAAAAGATAGAAGGAAGTCTCACTTTTCTCACGCGTTAGAGGACCCCCAGCACTATGGTTGTTTCTGGTCCCTGTTTTTTCTCTTAGTTGATAACTCATCTGTTCTTGACATTAGCTGGAGAGCACTGTGTAAGCCAGGCGTTTGTCTTTACTTCTCACTAAATGTTTCTGTATATTCAGTTACATCTGTGTAATTTACAGCCCTGGGAACATGTTCTAATTTCTTGCTTTCCTACAGTGTTTGCTGGAGGTGGCAAAGGCAGGTACCTGACAGACACAGCTTTGTACCTGGCTGGTGTAGTAGAAGAGGCTGTTGTAATTATTAGAGGAGTCATCTTTGAATTTTGGGCTCTGGGGTTCTTTGAGCATCCTTATTTTGTAGCTAGCTAAAATGTTTTATGTGATTTTTAATGGCAAATCCATTTTGCACCTTTGAAAATAATAAGGGTCAAATAAAGGGTTTTCCTGAGTTTTAGCTGATACAGTGCAATGCATGGACTTTGTTTCTGGCACAGCTGTCTCCTGATGCTGAGTTTCTCATTTGATCAAAAGATGATGCATTGCGTGATGCAGAAACTTTGAACTTGAATTCTGGGCTTTAGAACTCCGAAAAAATGAACTGAGTGTCCTGTAATGGATGAGCTGTTTGGACAACAGTTGGTGTTAGGTCTTTTTCAGGGGTGTCAGAATTGCTCCAGTAGACATTTCATGGCTGTAGCAGGAGAAAGCTTGAAGGGAGGAATAGCTAGGATTGTAGTAGTGGTTAATTAAAGAACATGCCCCTACAAGCATGTTGGGATGTGTAAGGCATAGTTTCCACTTTTCCCTCCCTCTATGATCACAGCTAAAGCATTGATGCATATTTTTGAATTTCCTATATGTTGTGTGCATTTTCTTCTGGAAGATATGGTGTATCTACCTTTTTACAACGGCAATGATGACTTTCATGCCTTATTGTTCCTTAAATTATTAATTTGTTTGCCAAAATTTAAGTTCTCACAATATACAAATCCACTTGATAAAACCAGGCTATTGCTCTGTGGTTTTCATGTACTTGGATGTTTCTGAAATGTTTGAATTCCAAAGACTTTAAAGAATTAGTAAGATTTTTCACTAAATACTGCTCTGTGTGTATGCACATGTACTTATATATATTTTCTTTCTGTTTAAATCATATGTTCCTGAATAAAGAGTGGTAGTGTTTTCTTCCTATCTTTTTTTTTTTTTAATGTGAAAATCTGGCTAATTAGCTGGCAAAATTAGGTGACATGAAGTTATATATGTTTAGTTGCAGCTATGTTACTTTCAAGTTCACTTGAATCCAGATACTCAAGTGCTCTTTGACCTGGTCCAGGAAACTTTTTTAGTCACTCTAGCATTCCATGTTATGAAAAATTGTTGAGATTGCAAACATTAACGAGCAAGAGGCTTGAGTGTGAGTTGATTAGTTAGTGTCAGAACTATATTTCTGATATTTTTGAAATATTTCTTCTTAGAACTGAGTAGATAGCGGTTACTGTAATTGTTACATGCATCTGTGCCTGGTTGTCCAACAGTAACAGAAAATAGATTTCTCATTTATTAAAAGATTCAGTCACTGAGAAGAGAGTGATTAGATGTTAATCTGGCTAAAATGATAATTAAGAAACAGCAGACAATCTGTTCTTAATCACAGCAAAAATGTAGTCTGTACAACATTCAACACTTCTAAAGTGAATTTTGAGCACATAATCTAGATCAATATTATGTATGCTTGTTGGAAAAACTGAAACACCAGTGTGCTATCATTTTTGTACTAAATCCAAAACACAACACTCGACCAGCTACTAAGAAGAAAATTGTCTCCCTGGCTGAAACCAGGGCAGTGAGCCTGTGATAGCTATCAGTATGACACTCTTCTACCGAGCATGGACTTGTAAGTTGAAGTGTGATGGGATTTTTTTTATTACTTTGTGAAGAGCATGACTTGTAGCATGATAAAATTTTATGATACAAGAACAAAAGTTTGACACAACATTTTCACTTATGGGAAGATGATGTGATCTAGTGAGAAGACTGATAGGACGTCAAAAGTGTCTAAAGTATCTAATGATCTCCACAGGAATTAACTTCTCAGTTATTTTATGGGTTTTTTTATGGTGATGTTTTTTTCTTTCTAGGAAGAAATGTACTATGTAGCAGCATCCATATTTGAAAGCTGCTGCAAGAAAATATAAAGCAGATGCAGTCATTTTATTAATAAAAAACAGTGTAAAATATATGTGCTATGCATGAGGGCATACACAACCTGGATCTTTGTGTGAAACTCCTCCTCAGTATCAGTAAAGTTGTACAGTGTGATGGCTTTGATTCAGGACTTGCTGAAGTCAGTGGTATTCTGCCATTTGGATCTTGAACTAGGTTTCTAATTCCTTGGAGTTCTGAAACTGTAGATGTTTTCTCACATGATTTTTCCCTTTCTTTCCCTTTTAGGAAAGCTCTCCTTTTCATTGCAACATGTATAGCTGTGGGTGTTGCACAAGTACCCAAACAAGGTGAGAGTGCTTTGTTTATAATAGGACATTTGTATAATATGTTAGTAGATGAAAAGAGTAAATGGCTGTTGTTACTTGTGACCTTAGGTTCAGTTCATTAATTCATGTGACTTAAAGAAAATACCAATTACAGCATAATGAGAGCAAAAGTTTAAAGCAGCAGTTTGGAAAAGATGACCTTTTGAAAATTACTCAGATTTTCTGTCTATGAAATTGCTTACATATTTAAGCAAGCTCTTCATAAAAAAGAAGCCTTGTACAGTGAAAAGGCTTTGATTGTGTCTTCACTGCAAGTGGGTGTCCTTGGGGGTGGCAGGCTATGACTGAGTTACCTTTCCACTTAAGGCAGGCAAACCACGGCGCATAATACAGGCTGGCATTGCTAAAGCAAAATGTGAAATTTGGTATTCATTTGGCTTTGCATTCAGATGCAGATGTTGTGAGGAAATAGGATTGTCTTGTTTTTAGTTTCTTTTTTAATCTGCCAGCTGTTATAACAGCACCAGATGTGCAACTTGCTCTGGAGACTGCTGTGGGAATGATAGGTCCCAAAGTTGTGGAGGCCAATGTGCCATTTAGCCACTTCTTATTTGCCATGAGAGTGGCAGCGTCCATTCTCCACCACGGTCCTCTGCTGTACAGGTGAAGCATGAAGTAGGTCATCCTTGGCTGGTGAGTGTGTAACTGCAAATACTCATCTGAATGCAAACAGATGGATTGCGTGGTTAAGGCAAGACTCATTCTTGATAATGTTTTGCTAGAGCCCTTTGGGATATCTCAGCAGCCTCCCACCATTATTCTCACCAATGCGTTTTTCCTGCTTGTCATTCCCAGAGATTGGCAAAGTTTGATTTTTCCTTCAGTCATGCAGTTTTTGTTTTGCCTCCCCCCCGTTGCCTTTGTAGTTTTGCCCTCCAGTGTTGCCCATTGCTTGCCTGGTAAGATTGGTTGTTGATTTTTCACATCCCGCTCAATGGGGGCCATATGCTTTTGTGATGATGGGATTTTCCCGGATTTTTATAATAGCTGAGCCAAGTTCTCACTGGAGGAGGGGCAGCATGTTAGATGTGTGTGGCCTGCCCTGTTCCAGGCCTGCAGGGATGGGAAGGGAAGAGGCAGTTTTAGGAAGGCAGTTTACAGTTTCCCGGTGTGGTGGGAGCAGGTGACAGATGCCAGAGACAGCTCTGTGGTGACAATTTGAGTGTCTTCATCCCTCCAGCCCACCCTCCTCCTCTGCAAAGAAATAAACCATTTTCCTCACTCTCATGCCCCTCAGCCTGAGAATTGCTTTTCACTGACCCTTCAGGCAAGGACTGTGAAAGCTGCAGGGCTGGGGGTGCAGTAACACAGGGGAGTGGGTGGAGACTGAGTCCTACCTGCCTCTTGGCTGAGAATGCTCCATGCACAGAGCTTTCCAGAAATGGAGTAAAGCCTCCAGTCTCAACATGCTTATATTGAATTATTTTTTATTTTGTTACCAGCAGATAAAGGAGTTTCCTTTTTTTTCTATTATTATTTTGTTGTTATTGTTATTACTGCTATTCAACAGCATTTCTAGACAGCCACATGAGAAGCCTTATTGAATGGAAACTCCTCTCCATCCTTGATGCACAACTGCCGTACATGACTTTATTTTCTTTAAATGCTTGCTTGGGATCAAAATGATGCATAGAATCTTGATGGAACTTTCTTCCCATGAGTGAATTTGGTGCTTCTTGCACTTTATTTGCACAGTGTGTAAACAAAGTTGGAAAAAGCAGTTCAGAGAAGGAAACCTCCTCAGAAAAAATAGAGAGCATTTCAAGGATATCCTTCGGTTTCAGTATATAAGCTGCATTTTTACATTTGTGGTGCTTAGTGTTTGTCCAGGAACAGGATTGCATGCCTATCAGGAACATGTTAATGCCTTTGATTTTAAACTTCCTTGGCAGTTGTATTTTGAAAAAAGAATATTCTGCTGAACATGCAGATGTTAGCTGATTAACATGCCTTCTCTCCTGAGCTGAGGAGACAGCCTCTGCATGCTGTACCAGAGAGGATACACCTTGTTCAGTTTGGTATGCTGCTATAAACCATGATCAGTGAAGTACTTGTAAAGATACAGTCTCAGACTTTAGGAATAATACTTTGAGTGGGGTTCAAGGACACACAGAATTAATGTGTCTTGCTGGCTTTTCTATGCCCATAATCTGATCTGGCATCCTGGAGAGCATTTGTTGCAGCCAGGTATCTTAATGTACCCAGTTGCAGATGCATCACCTAGAAAATTGGCGATCTGAAGCGAAATTATTCTTGGTTCTGGTGGAGCTGATTGATTAATGGCCCTTTTCTTTTCCCTTACCCACACTGGAAAAAGGAAAGGGAGAAATGTGTGTACTAAGATTGCTGAAACAGGGAGAGCATCTCAGAGGTCCTGCCTTCAGAGTAGCTGTGAGTATGGAGTAATGTGGAAATGAGCAAGAGGGACTGAAGGGAATATGCATGTGAAACAATCCTGTAGTCAAATCCCTTCATCCCTCCCCAGTTCCTTTGTGGGGTTATTTTTGTGCCACGCAAGGGTCAGAAGGCTTTTTGCCAAGGCTGGTGTAAGGTTTTGCCTTAGCTCATGATGCAGTAAGGTTGTGAATTTTTAAAGATCTCCTAGAAGGTGGAAGGAAAGCACTTGACACCAAAACCTCAAAACAGCCTTTCCTTCAAGAAGTTGAGCTGTTACAATTTGGGGGACTAATGGGTTGAATAAGCAGTAAGTGAAGACAGATGTTTTGCAGACATGAGTAAACAAAGAAAACTGACAACTGATAGGTAAAGCAAATAATGGTTGTCATGCTGGGAGGAAGAATGAGAGGGTTGCCTGCTCCCAAAATCCAGTGTGCTGCCAAGAGCTTCTGAAAGCCTTAAAATAAAATAAATATGCATGTTGGACCAGAAGTGAAATGACTGGCCAAAAAAGTTTGGAACAGCCTTTTGGCTTGACAGTGGGTTAACACACAGCAAGTCAGCAAGGAGTAATTCCTTTATACTTACTTTTTTGATGTCATTTTTCACACAATATTCATTTGCATTTAGCTCTCTCAAGACCTGCTATTGTTTGCAGAAATCTATTTGCAGGATAGAAAAAAAAACTTATTCCTCATCATGCTGATTATTTTCTCTAATAACTTTTAAACTATGTGCTCTTTTCAAATCAGAACTGCCAAAAAATTGACCATTTTGCTTGCAGTTTGCCTTTTATTAGTGATAGGCTTGAATGTGATTTTTAAGCTGACTATTTTAAACCAGGTTAAGCTTTTTATTTTACACTTGAATTTATAATACGTTGGATAGATCACATGCATTACTATTTAAAAATAAAAATATGTAATTACAATTTTTAAAAATTACAACTACTTGCCCAGTATTTCAGGTTAGGATGTGATACTCGGGTGCAACCTTAGGTTAGGCTAGCAGCTGTTCTCCTTGTGCAGTCAGCTGGCCCTGCCAGTGCACAGAGGTAGTGGAGCAGTGCATTCTGCCTTGGGGACTATTTGCATGTGTAAGACTGTGTTGCCCAGAGTTCAGGACCTGTGTTTCTTCCCAGCTTCCCTCCACAAGGGCAGTGCAAGCACAGCTTTCTCCTGCAGAGCTCCAGGCAGACCAGGCAGGATGGGGTCCTGGCAAAGAGCAGTGGTTCATTAGCAGAGGCACTGTGCTTCAGAGCTCTGCTAGAACCTGACCTCTGTTATCAGCCTGACAGATAAAAATACAGCCATGGTGAATTAATTGCTCTGAGGCAAAACATCTTGAGAACTTGGCATAGACAGGACTTTCTGCAGAAATACTCTTTCTCCATACCTTTGTCTGCACTGGCTGCTCGCCAGGATAGTCTTGGCCCGTCCGTGAATCTCAAACATGACTAGAAACACTACAAGGTGTGTAATTAATTTTCAAGATGTACAGTGTGTTCAGGTTGATGCTTTTGGTTCCAACTTATAAATCACTCTCAAGGAAATCTTAGGCACTTCTCATAATTTAGCACTGAAACTAAGCCAACATCTGTCTATTCTTGAAGTTTGCTATGAATACATTCAATAAACAGAGAAAGGGAAACTGGGAAAGGAGACCTTTTTTCCACTTGAAGCGTAAATATCCGTTTGTTTCAGTGGCTCTTTTCTTTCAATATTGCAGCAAATTCTTAACTTTTCTTCTTTACTCTAAATTTTTGTTGTGCTTTATAATAGTTTTATTTGCTTAGTATAAGCATGCCCATAGCAAATGTAGCCTCAGCAAAATGCTATAGAAAGTGCCTGTGTCTGCCCAGCCAGGCTTATTTGAGCAGTGCAACTATTAGATACTACAAGTAATTTTTAATATAGGTGTTTCTGTGAAGTTGTTCCCGTGAGAGGCGGAAACAGATGATATCTTATGCTGCTGTGTAATGCTGTTTATGAAAACTAGTCTTCAGGTTCCCCTTGTGGAAAAAAAAAATCCTAAAATATGGGTTAAGGGGACTCTCAACTCATCTGGTCCTAACTCCTGCTGAGGTCAGCGCCAATGAGGCCAGAGTCACTTCAGGTTGTTGGGTTCTGTCCAATTGGTCTTTGAAAATCTCCAAGAATTGAGATTATCCCATGTCTCTGCCCACCCTGGTCCAGCACTTGACCACTTTTGTGGTGAGACTGCTTTTTCTTTGTATGGAGCTGAAATTTCTTGTGCTGCAGCTTGTGTCTTACTCCTCAGCTTTTCTCTGTTTTCCCTATGGCCTCAATTCAGATAATGGACAATTTTATTTAGATTCCCCAAACCTTCCTGTCTCTAGACCAAGCTAATGTTTCTTCAGCCTTCTCAGTATGTTTTAGCTCCTAATCTTCTCGTTCCATATTTCTGTAACTGCATTTTCATTCAACATCTGTAATATTTCTGCACCTTTCACAAACACTCAGGCAGGCAGTTTTACCAATCAGTCTATCAATGCCATAAATGCTATCTTGTTTTGCGATCCTACAGAAAGGCTCTTGAGGATCTGTGGTTTAGCTCCTGATGAGCCTTTGTAGTGTTTCAGCTGCATCATAAGGGATGTATCTTTATATTCATCCTGAAGGAAGGTGTCTATGCCCACCAGCTCCAACTTGGCCAAATGTGATTTAGGCAATAAGAAATTAATTGGGTCACCGTCAACTGTTGATTTACCCAAAGATGGCTTTGATTTCTTACCCAGAACAGATAAGATTTCAGTTTATCAGGATGATAGATAATTGTGTTTTTACCCATTAAGTGAAGATATTTAGCCAGGTAAAGTGGAGACACTGTGTGACCCAGACTAAAGGAAGGCTTAAAGGACGTGGCTCACATTGAATGAGAAACTAGAGAATCCAACACTGAATAAACCACTGCCTATTCTTCTATAGGAAGATCTATCCAGATTTCTGTATGTCAAAGCCAAATCTATAGAACATCAGTCAGAAGGACAGCTGGCTGCTCTGTCTCCTGCTGTGGAATGCGTTCTTAGTTCAATGTCTTGTCGTGGTGGCTGCAGCCTTGTGCACTTTAGGGGGAGAGATGAGCCAGAAGACAGGAGCACTTCCCCTTGGGTCCTGGCAATTCTCCTCTTTCCTTACTCCTCACCACTTCCACTGCTCCAGTGTTCACCTTATCCATGGCTCTAACAAGTAAACTGTATGGAGGGGAAGGAGGCCTAACTGTGCTATAAATAGATTATCCTTTCTTATAAACTAAGCAACCCTTCCCTCAAATGCTTTGATTTGTACTTTTTAGATAAAGAGCAACAGCATGGATTTAGTGCAGAAGATTTTTTGCAGAAGGAAAAGTTTTCGAAAAAAAGACTAATTCTTTGCTCAAAGAGTAGACAGGATTAGCTTAATAAATAAGGAACTAACCAAAGTGTATTCGCTGATCACTGGAAAGTTTGAAGAGAGCAAATGAGAATTTTTCACTTTCATAAGTGAACTGACCTACAATGGGCATTTTGTGGACCTTTCTGTGTGTTTGTTTAGTTTGGTTGGGTTTTTTTTTTTAAGATGGAAATTTTGCTCTGGCTTTAATTACTCGTTTGATTTATGTGAAAGATCAGTGCCTTCCAGGAGGGATTTTGTGGCCTTACTGTGTGAAGGGTATATGCTCTGAGAAGTATAGATTTGTGAGAACGTTCTGTGTACATTTGTTTATATGGATCTGAATGTATGAGCTTGTAAATTAAATCAACAGTGTGCCTTTATTTCTTTTTACAGCAATAGATGTTCTTCACCAACTAGGCCTTGTGAAAGATGTCCAAGAGCCTTCAGAGACAGCAGTGCCCTCACCATCCTCTCTGTTACCTCAGGGTGTTCGTCTAACTGCATCAGGAGTGGTGCTAAGCGATGATGCACATATTGAGTCCCGCGTCCCCCAAGTCATACCATCAAATCTAGGGCATCAGTTGACCTTATTGGTTGGGCTGTACTCTTACAGAGCCAGTAATGCTTTTCTTTTCAGTGTTAGGAACAAAAGCAGGCTGCAGTTTGGTGTCCAGCTGCTACCGAGGAAGGTAGCAGTGTACACCGGAGGGAAGCAGCCCGTGTACTTTGATTATTGTGTTCATAATGAACAATGGCATTCGTTTGCCATTGGCATTGGGGACAAGACTGTCTCGCTATTTGCTGAGTGTGGAAACAAGTACTACAGCAGTGAAGTACTTTCTGAAGTGGAGACATTTGATTCAGAGGGTGTATTTACCCTGGGAAGGATGAGCTCTCACTCTGTCAGCTTTGAAGGAGTTATATGTCAGCTGGATATCATTCCCTCTGCAGAAGCCTCTGCAAACTACTGTAAATATGTGAAACAGCAGTGTCGTCAGGCTGAAACCTATCGATCTCTGCGGGGGGCTCCACTTCTGCCACATGGGCTGGATGCTTTTTCTAAGATGATCATTGATGAGGAATACCAGGAAGATATATCAGCTTATAGATGGAAAGAAGTATCAAACATGCCTGTTACCAACGTTGCTCAGATTCACTTTTTACCAGACCACTTTGAGTTAAGAAATGCCTCTGTACAGGAGTTTGCGGAGACCAAACCTCTGTTGCTGGAAGCTTGGCCTCAAACAGAACTCCAGGAGAACATTGATCTGGCTCTTCAGCAGCAGGAGGCGAGCAGAAAAAGAAACATCACGAAAACCCCTGCAGCATCGTATCCAAATAGTTCAGCTAACACCACAGAAGATGCAGGCAGACATAGTGAGCTTTCTCTGATCTCCTCTGTAAAACAGAGTAAAACTAAAAGCAAGGGAATGGAAAAAGCAAAACAGCATTTAGATGAACCAAACAAAAAGCAGCAAATCTTCAACACAACTCTGTACAGTTTGCCTGCTGAACTCCCTCTGGATAATCGACTTCATCCGGGGCAGGAAGGTGCATTTGATGCTGATGAGACTTATCACACAGAAAGCACTTATGAAAATGGTATTGATAATTATGCTTATGACTATGAAGATCTTGGCAAAATGTTTGAAAGGGGAAGTGTCAGAGGTCCAAAGGGGGAAACTGGACCTCCTGTAAGTTATCTTTATTACTCTTTTTACTATATTGCAGCAACATACGTTTAACAGAGGCTTTGAAAGAAACCTCTCCAAGCATGCCAAAGCTGTGACTGCAGTTTCTCCCAGCTGTATTGTAAAAATGTTTGTCTGCCTTAAATGTGTCTTTTTCTCACATGTAATTTTAATGTGTCATATACTTTTATTTACTGGAAGAATATAAAGACATCCATGATACTCACATTCTGGTGAAGTGGTGGGCAACCCAGGCTTCTTTAAAATTTGGAATGCAGCTGGATGTTTGTAACTACTAATTACAGAGACTGCTCACATAATAACGTTGCAGGCTAATTTACTGCAGTTCACAAATATGGGTGCTGGTCCATAAAAAGAACAACCAGGCTGCTTGGAAGACTGACACAGTTGTCTTGGTTGAGCAATGCTGTCAAAATTTATAGTTGTAGAAATAGACCAGCTGCAGAATCTAGTCTGCAATCATTCATAACCCAAGGTTATGGGGTTAAGCAAACCTGCATGGAAAACGGTTTTTAGAACAGTTTTACAAGGTTTTGAGGTATTTTTTCAGTTCACAGAGTAAGTGATTTTTTGATACAATGGCAAATGCACAGTAGTGGTTTTAACAGAAACTCGTTTATCCTTTCTTATTGTGTGCACAAGGCTCATACACTTTTTAATAGATAGAAATGTGCCCATATATATGAAGCTACAGAGCAGAAAGAACATCAATTCCTGTGTAGCCTGGGAAATATAATAGATCATGCTTCGTGCTTGTGTGAGATTTTGGTTAAAATTTTAAACCATAGTTTTTAAACCACTTGCTTTTTTTGTTTGGTTGGTTTTGGTTTTGTAAGTGTTCATCTGTTTGGTTATTACTGGAAAGCAATTTGATATGTGTTAAGTAGCTCCTAATATATATTTAAATATGGCCATAAATTTATGGTGTCTGTTCTTTTAGCATTGAATTTTTTTTTCTTGAACTAGTTAACAACTAAGAACCTATTCAAAAGTTCACTTTTTACTCTAAACAGGATCCAGGCACAAAGTAATTGTTACACAATTGGAAAATGTGTTAACAAGTAATTCACACTACTCCAGAAGTGCTCTTGCTTAATCTTTTTTGATTGCGAAGTCAGTCTTTTTTCTCTCTTTGTCCCTTATGATAGCATTCATGGTGACATGTCACTAAGCATGTAGCTGTCATCAGCATGAGGTTAATTTCCATTTTTGGACCTTAGGATGTTTAGTAACCACTAATAGAAGGTTTTAATTTTAGCCTGTAGCTTGTTTGTTGTGATTTCAGTCAGTCACAGTCAAGAAAGTTAAATCCCTTTTTTTTCACGTATCACAGAAATGGCTGCTGATAGTGTTGGTTGTTTGCATTACTAAGAAACTCCAAGCAAATGCTCTGGGTTGTTTTTCTAGACACTACACACAGACACTGCACATACAGTGGCAAAGATGACAGCTGACTTGAAGGGTTCAGAGGTGTCTGTTCCCATCTTCAATGCTGTCTTATGGACTGGGGATAGAGAAGATTGCCTTGCTTAGGAATGCAGACTGTAGTCTGCAGGGGATAGGGTGCATTTGTACTGAGGTGTTTTGCTGGGTCAGGATTTAGAAAATGTGCCCAAAGGTCTTAAAGGTCTGTGGTAGAGCTGGGAAGTTAATCTAGACCCTTGTGGGCCCCAGGTTGGCTGAAGGGACCAGCAGCACCTGCTGGAACAGAGGCAAAGCTAAAACACCACTCTGCCAGAGAGGCTGACACCAAAGGGAGAGGAGATCTCTCCATGAAAACTAAGAATTGTGCTCTATGGAGATTGTGTGGCTCAGTATCTGCTACTGCTGTTGGTCTCAGATTGAAGAGATGATCCTTGTTTGCTTTTTCAGTCTAGTTGTCCCATGAAGAGAAGACGAGAATTAATGCAGCTTTTCTATGTGTGGCTCTAACACTTTAGTATATAAGTACTCATGGAGTCTGCAATGTGGAGCCTAAAAAGCAACACTGAAGAACTTAAAAACTTCCCTTGCAGCAAAAAGTCCTGATGAGGCATGAAACCCCCTCTTTTTACTTCTTTTACTATGTTGTGGTTGGTTTGAATCTTCTTTCAAGATTTGAACACAGAAGTTAATGTTCGTTCTATTGGAATTGACAGGCAAGAACTAGCTTTTGTGGTTCTTAAACTACTCAGCTTCTTTTAGCTTTTAATCATCTACCAGAGCTGATTCTTGCCTTGTATAATTAGGCCTCTTATATTCCATGATCCCACAGCTGTGGAATTCACCCACCGCTGCAAAGCAGGACTCTAGAATTCAGGCTTTCATTTATAGATAGGGTATAAAAAGGCAACAGCTATTTTTTCAAAACTATTAAAACCCTGATTAAAATTCTAGCAGCTGTAATGACCCCCCCCCCCCCCCCCCCAGAAAAATATAAATTGAGTTTAAACCAGAATAGTAAGATTTCCTGAAACACTTCTTTCAAGGGAATGCTGCTCTGTCCATCTGATGAACCACTCCTTTTTGGGATGCAGAGGGTGTTGGCAATCTGTAAAGATTACAAAAATAAATGTGGTGTGCATTTTTAACTGTTTAACTTTCAAGCTGATATTTTTCCTTGCACAATCCTAAAGCAGTTTGCAATAACGGGGGGCATAGTCTTACACTGGTAGAAGGGAGAGGCTGATGTGAGCTAAAGTGCTGATTTATGTTACTTGCTGGTAGGTAATGGCATCTTCAGGCTATCTGCACAGGATGTGGCCTTCTAAGAGGAAGGGAAATGAACTAGGAATAAATTTCCTCTATTGGAAAAGTTTTTCTAGATTTTCAAGATACTCTGCCAGAAGGAGGAATGGTGGGAGACCAAATGGTGGTGTTCTTTCTAGTTGGTAAAGAGAAGCAGTCTGGAATTGTTGTCAGGAGGAAGGGGAAATGGCAAGCCCTGCAATGAGCAGAATTAAGTCCTGGAGGAGCTGTCCTATTGCAATCCAGAGGTGTGACAGTAAGAACACGGAGAGAGCAGTTCTGAGATCCCAAATGTAGCAGCTTCTCTTTCACACTTAGCTTATTTCATTTATTTTACTCTCAGCTAACCTTTCATACTTCTGCTGATTGCACTCTTTGCTTATTTCTCAGTTGAACAAAATTGCCTGTTGAGGTTCCCCCTGACCACAGGAGATATATTGGTCACTTAATCCCTTTCATGCATTTCCCTGCCCAGGCTGAGAAATCTCAGTACCTAATGATTCAGCTAAAGATTTGCTATATGTAAATGAAATGTTTCCTATTACCTCTGGATAATAGGTCAAATTTAAAACACATGTAACCCAAGTAACACAGGGTTCAGTACCTAGGAAAATAATGTAAGTTATTTCATGTCTAGGAAAGTTCCTTATATGTATTCCAGTGACCATTGGAAAGGCTGTGAAAATTTCTGGAAGAGTAGCATCTACTTTTATGTCAGGATTAAGCAATGATTATTTGGAACTTGAGCTTTTTTTGCTCAATAGCTAAATGAAGTTTTTACAATTCCTAAAAACAGTAAGTTGTAGTATCTTTTTAAAGTTACAAATGATCTGTTTTGAGCAAACTGATTTTGTTAAACAATTTTAAGTTAGCGTCGGTGATATTTATGCAAAGTAACTTTTTGTTCTGTTTGATAGTGGTGGTCAGTGTCAAATGCTAAAATTCAGATTGACATTTCTAATTGCTTCAGATTTGTTTAATTACTGTTTCCAGTAGTTGGAAGAAAAGCTATTCAAACAAGTGACTTATTCCTTGGTTTAAGAGAGATTGGCTCACTCTCAGATGTTGATTTCTGTGGTTTACATGGATGCCTGAGAGGCTTAAGTAGCTTCCTAGCAAGTATAAAAATAGTCATACTGATTTGAAGTTGTAATTGCTTTCCTAGATTGTAGAAATACATAGGACAGAATAACGTGGAACTGCTCATTGGGAAAGCATGTCCAGGAAGACTTAGGTGTGCTCTGCTGAAGTTGCTCTCAGCAGAGGTGTTGCCTGAGTTGCAGGGAGGAGTCTGTGCTGGAGGCTAAAGAGTAACATCCTCTGGTTAAGAAGAGTCCTTTAATATATTAATCAAATGCCTGGATGGCTGAGGCTGCCTATTATTGTGAACCAGAGACTTCATCTACAACAGTTGACTTTGTTTTAAAATGCTTTGGGAAAGTGTTTTAAATCTCAGGCTGCCCAGTTCAAAATTTTGCTGCTTCTCTTAGGGGTTTCTGAGGGCTTAGTTGTGATTAGATTTTCCTTTTTTTGTTGGATGTTTGAGTTAGAGTAATCACAGTAAGGGTGGGATGGATTTGGGTGTTTGCTTATTTGTTTTCTGTTGCAAAGGAAGCAGATAGTGTTTAAAAAAATTTAGAAGCCACATAGGGAAAAATGTTCTCACTGCCCTTATTCAATAAATCAGCAACAAAGATCAGGGATCTTAATAGTCAGTAAGATTCTATTAGGAAAGTGGTGGGGTTTAGCTATTCATGTATTTTTAAGGAAATGTCTGAAACAGGGTTAGAGAAGAACACAAGTCAAAACAAAATGCACACTGGTTGCATCTATTTCACTTAACAAAAAATATGTTTTCTTTTGTAGTTCCAGGATAATTATCTAATCAAAAGACATCTCTTAACTTACATTTTGACAGGAGATATTAAAACATGCTGCTTCAGCAGGGCAGGGTGGGAGATCTTTGTGACCTTTTAAGTGGATTTTTGAACCTGGACAAGAATGCCAGGTCAAGAGTTTTCCATGTATCTCCCTGATACATTTCTTTTGCTATTAAGCATGGGGTCTTTCTACTTCAGAAAAAAAGAGGATATTAGTGAGCATTTGTGCAGTCATAATGAATAGAGAATGTCCTATGCTAAAAGCATGACATGTCATGGTATGACCTAAAGACCAGTTCCTATGTTTATTATGATTAATTGGAGAGGAAATAATTGATATTTTTAGTTCCTTAGAACAATGGTGGTTTTACCAGAACTGTGCATAAGTGACTTGTATTTTGGCCAAATGAATGGTCTCCCTCAAGAGGTCTGACTTCCCTGATGCTCATATTGCCCTTGCAGAAAGTACATGGTTCCTGCTACAGCTGGGGCTTGCTGTGTGGACATGTGGATGGGGGTGATTCACCCTTAAGAAGACCCCATTCCTCTGCAGGAATTTGATATATTTCCCCTAATTTGATAGGTTTCTATGTTCAAAACAACCAGATATGCAGGGGCTGTTACACTGTCTAATATGGTGACTAATAATCTAATTCATTTGCAAAAGACACATTTGGTCATATACTAGCATCTTAAAAAATCTGCATTATCTTTAAAGAGAATGATATTCATTATATAGAAGGGCAAATGGGCTACCAGTTATCATTACTAGAAGCTTTTAATAGGAAACTGAACAGTAATTTGTTCACATTCATTTTCTGTATTTCATATTTGTAATTTCTGTGAGGTGGTATCTTTTTTTCTCATAGTTACCACAACTTTTCTGAAATGTTTGGCATGCCAGCAAGCTTATTGAAAAGGCTTAATTATTCTCTGTCCTTTATTTAGATATACATTGCACTTGCTTTCTTCATCAAATCTTTTGTTCCTTTAGTACAAATACACCTGAGTAGAAGTTACTATCCAGGTTGTTAGCTCCAATTTCTCTGACACAGGATACTTTCTAAACAGAAATCTGATTTGTGGTCAGATTAAAAACACACTTTCTTGTCGTTTGGAATTGGTTTTCAAATTGAGGAGGTCAGTATGAGCACAGGGTTGTCAGCAAAACTGGTCTCATCTAGAGTTGTGATACTATCCTTGTGTCAGGTTTTAGCCTCAACTGCTTTGATTTTCTGTCACCAGGGTCCTCCAGGTCCTCCAGGTTTACCTGGTCCTTCAGGGAAGAGAGGTCCTCGGGTGAGTAAAACAACCGTGTTCTTCTGCACCTCTAGGCAGGTCACCAATAATCACACTGGAGTTTGCATAATTTTGTTTTTCTCAACTTTATTCATATGCTTAGTGATTGTGTGAGGTATGCTTGTGATGAAAGCGCATGATTCTGAACATTTGGCAGATAGGTTAAAGCAAGACAAACAAACTGTTTCTCCTGCTGTGAGCTTCCACCACAGTTAATTCCATGTATGGGTGCATACACTGGGAATTGTTATATTTGTACCTGGCTTTTGCTGCTCCCAATATTAACTTCTGTTTTTTCCGTTCTGCTCCCATCTGCTGCAATCTAAAACCACATTCATTTGTTTTGGAGTGAGGGGGAGTGAGCAATGCAGCCTCAGAGGAGCAGGCACAGATACAAAATTAACCACTGCAAGACAGAGTGGGGGTAAAAAGTAATCCCAAAAATCTCTTTTAGTCTCTTGAGCTTCAGCAGCTTGATCCTAGGTTGCTGTCAGGGTGCTTTGCTAAAGAAATGAGGAGATGGTTTGTTTTGTGTGAGTGGGCAGCAGCCCAGCAAGAGCAGGGGCAGCAGCCTTGCCCTGTGCCTGGGGACAGAGCAGGGCCTTTGCCACAGTGACCGTGGGGACAGAGCAGGGCCTTTGCCATGGTGACCCTGGGGACAGAGCAGGGCCTTTGCCACGGTGACCCTGGGGACAGGGCAGGGGCTTTGCCACATTCACCTGTGTCCCCACTGCCATGCACAGGGGAGAGGCCTGTGCTGTGCCACTGTGCTGATTAATGAATGGGACAAAAGAATCTGTGTTTGTGCAATGTGTACTAAACCATGTGCCTGAGCAGTCCCTGAGGGCATGGCTGATCAGGGGGGTTTAGGGGAAGGAAGGGCAGCTGGAGGGAGCAGGTGAAGGTTTGGTGTGGGGATGATTTCAGGCCATGGTAGCTGGAGATGTGAATGGCTGTGGCTGCAGTCAGCAAGGCAGATGGAAAGTGGGAGAAAAGGGCTCGCATCTGTGGGCTCAGCAGATGTGTGGGAGGAGTTTTGGTTCAGCCTTTGAGGAAGGCTTAAATGAGATGCTGCTCAACAGCCTGTTGAAAGCCAGCACAGCACAGGACATTCTAAACTTGGCCTGATGGGTGGGAAGTCATGGTACTGGCACTGGTCAAAGAAACCAAAAACCAAACTGATGTTCCAGAGCATTTTGGAGGCAAGGGAGGAGAAGAGACACATTTAAAAGTATAAAATGAAAAACATCCCTTCAAATTCATCTCTTCATGACTTCTTGGATCCTTCTGTGCAAGAGCTAACAATTCTTACCACTCAGCTTTTTTATGTTGCACACTGCCTGTGGCAAGGATATGTCTGGCATCAGAGGCAGGATCTCACATATCCAGGTAGATCCTCACAACTGGGAAGTTTTCTTTGTTTCAGAGGAGGCTGTTCATATGTTTAAAGCCATGCCTGTTGGTGAGATTGCTCTTGCCCTGCTTCAATTTGTTTGGGATTTTTTTTCTGAAGGTCTTTTTAGTGGTATAGAATACTTAAAAACACAGTGCTCTACTGTGTGAGTTCTCTGGATAAATTATTGTGTAGGATATGCTTTCCAATGTGGGGAGCTTACTCTAAGGGACAGCTTACTCTAAGGTGCCTGAAGAAGCATGAAAATGGCTGAAATGAATATTTACCAGTAGTTTTGAGTTTAAAATATATTTATACAGGCCAAACAAGTCAATAAAACTATTAGATAAATAGTAAATGGATTTGAAATGTCAGTGTTCTTCAGTTTGTATGATTCTGATAAATTCAGGGAGGTGCAGCTAGTGATGATGTATGTTATGACAGGAGTTTTGTGAGCCAAAATGCCTGTGAAAACTGTTTACTCAAAATTCAGTTCCTCATCTAGCAGCCTGCCCTGTGACTTCTGTTTTCCTTCATATGAGTTGCCATTTGTGATTCTGAAATGTGACTCAAGGTGTCAAAGAGAAGGAGCAGAGTGCAGAGCTGCATTGCCTGGGCCTTCATCAGAGTGTGTGTCCAAAGCTGATGCTGACAGAGATCCACATGGTTGGGACACTTGGGGCACATGGTTAGAGACTTCCATTGGAAACTGATTTTGATCCCTGCAATTGTATGGTAAAGTTCACATGTGATAGTGTTTTCTAAGTGTCTTGGCTTGTTCCAAGTTTCTTGATAGTGAAATTTCAGTGGTTTCAGAATTAGTGACGATGTGAAACTCCTCTGATGCCTCATTCCATGAGAATCCTTTTGCACTTCTGTGTTCCAGTACTGTGCCCCAAGACAGGAATGGTGCAGGCAGTGAAAGCTGGAGCCACTGCAGCACTGCTGGCACTTTCTATTTGTTTCCTTTCTCCTAAATCCCTGAGAGTGCCTCCAAAGTTGCCAGTGTGCAAATTAATCTCTCAAACAGCAAGTGGGATTAGCATTTCTGTGGGGCTGTATCAACATTGTCATTAGTGAGAGGGAGCACTTAAGAGATGCAGCTCTCAGTGTTACTGCAAGGTGTAATTGGTGAATGAGGCCTCGTGTGGTGCAAAGACAAACGCTGAGTTTATCTGTTGTTACACCACTGAATATACAAGAAAGTTCAAAGTATTCTTATTATATTTGGTGTTTGGATTTTGGAAGCATTTTGGCTTTAGTGAATTCAACAGAAGCTTTGTTGCCAGTTTGTCAGGGACAGATTTTCACCAGTTTGGTCCTTCAGCACTTGGAAGATGAATAGCTGCTGACAACCATTGCAACAAGTATTTTCCCTAATGTGCCATTTTTCAAGGAGTGAAGATTGCTGAATGTGTTGCAGGAACAGACATTTATACTGGAGGGCCTAGATAATCTTGATAGCTTATTCTGTTCCTGGAGCAGTTGAAGTTGAATTATTTTAGTAACAAGTCCATTTTCTGCACTAGCTGTGGGAGAATCAGGAGAATCTGTGATTTACTTTTTTTTAAGAATGTGGGATACATTGCTTTGAGACATCTTTTAAGTCACCAGGAACTTATTCACTCACTTTTCATTGTGTAGCTGGGTACCTCAGAATGTGATTTTACTGATTTTATTCCATGCCTTCAAGTGTTGTAACCGGAGAGCAACATTGCAGTGACTATGCCAAACCTGTTAAGAACTTCCTGGGAAGACAATAGAAACTGAGATTTGTAATGAAAAAGGGGATACTTACCTTCACTTTTAATTTTTAGGAAGATGTGTATGTTTTATTTCTTGTAAATCCTTTGAAAATCCTAACCAGTGATTCTAAAAGCAGGAAAGATGCAGTAAAATTATTCTCTGCAATCCATTCACATTTGTTCAGTGGTGAACAGAGTAATCCCAGTTGTTGTTCTCTTCATTTGTTTGGGTTGTTTTAATAGGGTATTCCAGGACCACATGGGAACCCAGGTCTGCCAGGATTGCCAGGTCCCAAGGTGAGTTTATTTATCCATGGTGACACATGGAAATACATGAACTTTTTAATACTTTTTGGAAGCCTCAGAACTGTTTCCTATAATAGAAATAATTTGCCTTATTTTGTTTACAGGTAGAGATTGCTACTATAAACATATTTTAATTAACTGTAATCAAATTGAACTTCAGATCAAAACAAAATAGCAGATTATTCAGTGGAAAGAAAATCACCTATGTGTGCAGAATGATCATTTGAAAATGGCTATCTTTGCAAGTAATCTGTACTTCCCAAAAGAGCTCCTATAAATCAGCTCACCTCTGATAAACTGAGGTTTAAATGCTTAATTGCTGTAAACATTTGCTTTGTTTAAAAAAAAAAAAGGAAAAATGTAGACTGTCAGTCCCTATCAATTGCTATTTTATTGTCCATGTCCAAGCTTTGCTATTTAAATGTTCTAATATCTGGGACACTGTTATTTATTAATATGCTAGAATAATTTTCTGAAGATTTATGGAAGTGATATTTAAAGTCAAAGACAAAATACTGGACTTAAAGCTCAAATAACATCTTCAATCTTGTGTAACATAGGACCTTTAAATAGATTTGACAGATTTGTGCAGTTGCAGAATGCCTTCAACTCATATTTAGTTTGAACAATTTGATAGATCTGTTGGGAAAAAGGCAGCACTGTGATTTGTTTAGTATGATTCCTAATTGCAGGAATCTGACATGTCATGACAGGTGCTAAAATCTGCTTGAGGACATAAAAAGAAATTTATTAAAGCTTTCAGTGTTAAGTGCTGTAAAACCTAGTGATTCTGGTTTTTGTGCGTGTTTTTGTTTGTATCTAGTTCTATAGGGACAGTTAAAGATTCAGAATTAATTTTTACTGTATTTATGCTGGCTATGTAATAAAATGCATTTCTAGGGAAATAATTGTAGCCACTTACTCCTAGGCTTTGTTTTATAATTTATTTTCTCCCTCCATTGGATGATAATTTTGATCAGTTCTGTAGCTCTGTCCATTAGTTTAAGAATAGAAGGAATTATACATATGTGTATGTACCTATATCTATTTTATTTAAATATCAAAATATACATATTCCTAGGTGCTTAGTGAGCTCTCTAATTTCTGTTAGATTATAAATTATCCTTTCAATACAAACACATTCTGAAGTGGTTTTCTCTAAATGAAAATTAACCAGATGCTCGTGAAGTTTTGTCTATGAATATCCAGCTGACCACACTGAAACAAATACTCTTGTTTGATATTAAAACAATGCAGATTACCTGCAAGAATTTTCTAGCAGTAAGTGAAGGCAGAATTTTATTCTGTCTTTACGATGCATGAATGTTTCCCTCCTGTGTCAAAGGATCCTTTATGCATTTGCTTCTGAAACATGGCACAACATCAGTATCCTTGCAGCAAAGTGTCCAGCCCTGAGTGAGGACCACCAGTTCCAAGCAGTGGCCAATCTCTCAACATTTAATTCCTGAGAAACAACTTGGGGGTGTTTTTAAAGTAATGTCAGGGTATCCATGAGGTTTGGCTTTATTCTTGACTCTTTAGAAAATAGATTAGTTAAGAAAATCTAATTTTGTGGATTCTGGCACCGTGGGAAGGCTGAGCCTGAGGAAACCTGTACAAGGTAATGGTTCATGCAGTAACACAGCCTGATAACCCTGCACATGGCCCTGAAGTGATGGACACAGGGGCAGAACAATTTGGCTGGAGCATCTGCTCTAATCCTGCTTGGATTGATCAAAAAATCTGCTTTTCAAAGTTTTGTGACTTTACAAAATTTGAAAAATGTAAATCTCATTTCAATGTGAACCTGCACTATTTTATTTTTTTCCTAGTTCTTTACTGAAAAAGTTATGAGAAAAATATCTATAGTAGAAAGCACATTTACATTTTTTTTCTGCTCTTGCTGTAACAGTTGAGAATACTTGTTTTAGCGTGTATTGTTAGAATCCTCTTCTGATAGTATTATTGAGCTTAATTTCTCTGTGACAGGGCCCTAAAGGAGACCCAGGATTCTCTCCAGGACGGGCAAAACGTGGAGAAAAGGTATTATTTTCTTAATTATAGAAAAATGTTTTGTCTATCCCATTCTTCTGTGAAGTCTCATTTATTATTCAGATAAATTATAACAGAAAAATGTTTTGTATTTATTTTAACACAGGTGTATTTTAGCAGTTAATTATGTTAGACTGACCACTGTAGACACAGGTGGCATGAATTCAAGGAAAATTTAAAAATATATTAAAAGTTGAAACTTAAATTATGTATTTGATTTAATTTATAAAAATAAAATGTAAGGACCTCAGACCAATGAAATTGGATTAGATTCACACTGATATAACAAAGTACAGATTCCAGTTTACTTAGTACTTTGCATTATTCCAGAAAGTTGTGTAAAACAGAATTTGGTGATGACAAGTGCACACATTCCTGCTGCTGCCTCCTAAGCAACTTTAGCTAAACTAGTTGTTACTTTCTCTGCCCAAATATTTGAGTATAAATATTCAGATATTCCATTCTGCATAGAAATTGTAGGCTTGAAAGCTTGTGATTGTTTCATTTTGAGATTTACACTAAAGTATCATATACAGTAGTGTGATAGCATTTAAAATATAATTGGATATTTTTAATATGCTAGTTTAAGAATGTCTTGCAATTATGCTAAGTTCTTTTATAAGCATTTACTAGTAGATCTATTTTGGAATATTTGTGCTAAGTAGGAAGCACTGTAAGGTTTGAGGACTACTCTCTATTATGAAAAAACATCAGGAAATAACTATGGTTTACTGGCTGCTGATAACTTATTTTTTAGTGCATCCGTGCTGTCAAACCCTAAAATTCACAAATATATGTTGTCAACGTTCAAGGGTTGCTGAGAAAAAATGCAGAAATATAAGTTGATGCACTGATGAGAAATTGAAGTGCAGCTTCAATAGAAATATTTTCATCTAGCCAGGTTTTTGGCAATGAGATCATAGTGTGGTGAACTGTACATGGCTGCCTGAAACTCAAGCTATGTTCTTTGGCATGAACCCAAGCAGCCACAGAACAGTCTAAAGCCCACATTTGTATGACTATCCCTAAATACATGTAGACTGCATCTATAATCCAAAATTATGGGATTGATATGCATTTTTATAGTTCTCATTATTTTGTGTTCTTAATTTGCTCACTCTAATTAATAGACTTACATTTACTTGGACAGTAATTCACTTCCAGGATGCATTCCTTGACTTATTGGGCTTGAATTCAGGCACTAATCATGAAAGAGAGAATCTCTTCACTGCCAGTCCTGAGCGAGAAGACTCTCCTTCCCCATCTGCAACAACCCTGAAAATATGTGTCTTTTCCATCTCCCCAGCATTTGAGATGCTCTGATTCTTATTGCCATATACCATCATGTGGTTGTGAAGTTTAAAGAAACTGAAGAGAGCAGCAGTGCTCCTCACAGTCTCTCTGTCCATATGCATCTCTCAAGTTATCTTTCACAGAGATCAGATTTATGCAGGTTTTGCAGAGCACACCCCATAATGGTGTCTTGGCTCTTGGCTGCTGATTGTTGACATAACATTAAAACAAACAATACACACCAGTGGTTATATATATTTATTAATTTGAGGTGAAACCACTTGTTTCTGAGGAAAGTGTTGCCTCAAGAGCTCTGTAGTTTCTTCACTCCTGTTCACGTTGGTTAAAACTAAATATTGTGAGGTTGTGAACCAGGTCTGTTCCAGCCATGTTGCAGGAGCAGACATGCTGCACCCAATGGTTGCAATTGAGGAACTGCTGCCTTTTCCATTTTCTTTCTCTAAAAAAGTAATAAAATCAGACAACATCAGCTAGTTCTCCATACCAAATAGCCAAGAGTGCAGAGAAGATCTTAAGCACTGTATGTTTATAACCCTAAGTCATGTTCCAGTGAAACATATTGATTCTGGATGTTTTTGTTCTGCAGGGTGATCCAGGCCCCATGGGCTTTCCAGGCCCACCTGGGATCAAAGGCCAGAAGGTAAGGTGGTCCTGTTTCCATTTCCATGTTACTCATCCTGGCTCAAATCAGTGCCAAGTGTGTGTCTGATGGTCCAGAGGTGGTAGAAGAACTTTAGGCTTGCTATTGGCACTCTGTCTACTGTGCAAAACCTCCTCTTAGAACAATTCAGTGGGATCACCATAGCAGGATGTAAATCACAGCCACATGAAAGAAGCTGCAGAAGAATCAAATACATCCTTTTTGCTTTGTACTCCAGCACTGCTGAGAAATTATTTTATACTGATATATATTAAATTAAAATATCATTAAAGAAATTCTATAATTACAGAAAATAAAAATATATTGTTAGTTACTATGAAATTATCACATTTAATTATTGTATATAACATAATGATATTATTATATAATGTTATTTTTTTATATACAAGATATTTTTTGAATAAATAGCATATTTCCAACATTCTTTCTCATCCAGGTAAGAAAAAAGATTTAAAAAGTCTTACATATGACTTAATGGTGTCCCATATTTTTTTAAATTTTTTTCATTTTTAAATCAGCACTCAAAACTTTCCTTATATCAGTCCAGAGGCCTCACAGGGCAGAAGGCTTCCCTTTCCCCTAAGTTGACTTGGCTGTACAGAGAGGCCGGTACCTGCCCCTGCAGCCAGGGCACTTGGGGGGGGTTGGCACCAAAGGACAGCACTCCTGGGCAGGGGCTTGCCTGAGTCCATGGCAGTACCTGAGAGCCTGTGCAGTGCTCTGGGGTACAGGTGCTTTGCAATGGCTCTGGGAAGGAGCTGTACCAAGATTGGCTACAATTTTTGCTCTAGTTTATTCCCTGTGTGTGACAGTAATCATGAGCATCTGGATCTATAAAATCATGATAAAATTTGCATACTGAAGTAGAGCATGGTAAGAAATGTGGAAGGAAAAAGCTTGGTTTCAACCTGAGGACTCCATGTTTCATTTTGTCTTTAGCATCATGTAAGGGTAAGGCTGATCAGCAAATTTCAAAAGCAGTATACCTGTGGTAAGATCAGCATTATTCTATTAAGTGTCAGCTTTATGCTACTGAGTGTCTCCCAGTGCTTCTTCTACAGACTCCTATTTCCTTGAGCAGAAGGAAACTCCAGTCCTGTAAGAAAAAAGTAGAATTTCCGTTCCTTGGGGTATTTGGGCTGAGTTGCTAGGTGAAGTCTTAGTTGTGGAATAAAGGTCAACAAACAAGATAGAATGGAGCTACTTAGGAAAAATAAAACAAAGCTGTTCTCTGATGAAACATTTTTTCAGAAGTCAGCATTGTGAGGATTCACATGGGAGTCCTTTTATTTGCTGCACTTACTTTCTCTCTGTAGCTGATGGTTGTAGCATTAGTCATAACACTTTACCTACTGACTTTTACAGGTTACAGGAACTTGCTGGCATTCTTCTGTAGTTGCCAATGTTGTGCTAGGTTTTAATTACAAATACCTAGAAATTCTGGTAAAGCACAAAGGGCAGCAGTAAAATGGAAAGACTCATTTGTTTAAAAGAGTACAAGTCTGAAACTGCCTTTGAGCATACAGATTGACATTGTCTAAACTGCCAAGTTTTCTTACTTTTCTCTAGCTCAGTTTTCATATGAGCTGCTAAATGTAAACCATACTAACTCTGCAGGCAGAAAAATCTGGATTTTTTTCTTTGATGAAAAGAGAATAGAATAGAAAAAAAAGGTCTATTTTGTTTAATTGTATTTATCACAGATTTCTTTCTCTACCTGCAGGGTCTTAAGGGTTACCCAGGACTGCAAGGGCCACGGGGTGAGCAGGTAAGGGATGCAAGCACAGAGCCCTGTGCTCTGCAGATGAACCATTAGGGTAGGGGAACGTATAATCCATTAGAAGTGTTCAGTATAAGCAAGCTGTGTAAACTGCTTAAGGAAATATTGGACAAGTTTTGAGCAAGAATTCAGACTGTGTTGAGATCAGTGTGGTAAAAATGACTGTAATCTATCAGTGAGATAGAGATAACTAGTGAGGGAAAAACAAGCTGATTCTTTACATCATAAGAAGGTGGAGAGAATTGTATGCATTCATGATTTATCCAGTGCTATATTGGCCTGATTCTGGAAGAAAGAAACCACAAATTGGCTTTGTAAGGACACGAGAATTCTTTAGTGGTAAGTTTAATGTATTTGTTTCAAATACATCTAGGACCAGTGCAATTACCTCATTGCCTCCTATAGCCCTCCTGAATTATTTTTGAATTATGAAAATAAAGTATCCACTGTTGTATTTCACAAAATCTCAGATAGTTTTTAAAGGATATGTGACTGAAATTGGCAGAGTTACTTATGTGTGATGAGTCAATTTTTGGGTGTTCTGTGTAGCTTGCTTAAAGAGTAATTTTTCCGTGTGCTTAAGCTGTGTCATACGACTAGATGTTAAAAGAGAAATGATAGAACAGACTCCAAACCATGACATTAAACATGTTTGTTGTTTATTTTCCTTTTCTTTCTTCCTTTTCCACTTAGGGAATTCCAGGAATGGCTGGCAATATTGGGGCAGTTGGTTACCCTGGCAGGCAGGTGCAGTAACTATTCAAATGCCTTTGCATTATAATTTTTGTTTTTCTCAATTATTCTTTTCAAAAGTACCATATCTAACTCTTTTGAAACTACTGGTTGTAAAAATGTATTTGTTTACGTCCTATCTTTTTTCTTTGAAACAAACCTCTTTCTCTGGTAGTGCCTTGGAGGGAATGTTGCGTGTCGTGGCTTTTAAACTTGGATGTGTTAGATGCAGTAATGTTGCTCCTTTCTGAAGTATATAAATGGCATTACCAAAGAACTGAATGTTTGAATACTTTACACTCCCTTCATAAAACTCATGTGGTTCTGTGTGGTCTATCTTCTTTGTTTATCTATCTCTGGACTTTCAAGTCCAGAGGCAGTAAGAAATTACTTGTTCCTCCTGATTTTTCACCAATGTGTTTATTTCACTGCTGAAACTGTTTCTTCAGTCCATTAGGGAAGGGGAACTTTAAAAATTTGATGGTTTTTTTCCCACTGGGATATTCTAGGACAACCAATAAAGCCAGAAAGCAGCCTTCTTTAAACAGAAGTACTTATATAAATATTGATTTATGTATAAAGTAACAGATACCTCAGTACAGTAATACAAATAAGATAAAAAGTAGAAATGCTCAGCATCTTCCTTTTGTAAAGGTATGTGAGCCAATTGACAACAACTGATTTTGTGGTTTTGTATCTGCTTAAAGGGTGAATTTCACCAATACTTCAGTGTTTTGTTGAATTAAGTTTGTAGTGGCTATATATTTCCAAGTTCCATTACAATATTTTGTAGAGAGTAATGGATGATAACATTTTTTGTGTTCAATCACATAAAATGTTCAGAGCATTTGGACCACATATGCAATTCTGACACTAGCTTGAATGTAATTGAAATGCGTCCAAATACAAAAGCTCATAAAAAATCCTGTGACAATATGTCACTCTAATGCCTGATCACTGTATCTGGAAAAAAAAATTTCTCCCAGAAGAAATAATTTTAATGTAATGGAAGTTTCAGTCATGATCTGTGTTTCAGCCATACACTAATGGGAGACCTTTGTGAACATGGTCCCAGGGGACTACTTGATGACACCTTCTTCAATCTTAAAAATTTCAAGAATGTGTTGCCAGTCTACAGTTAACAAGTGCTGTTACAGTTCTTTTACATGGAGCATATCTGGTTGTTTAAAATTAATTACAGCTCTCTCTTTTTGTAACAGGGCCTCGCTGGACCAGAAGGTAACCCAGGTCCTAAAGGAGTCAGAGTAAGTAAGCATCTTAAGCATTTTGATATCCATGTCTAGTTTTACCCATACATTAGGTAAGAAAGGGGATGAGGAATTTAATTCAACTGTGCTAGAGTATACCTGCCGAACCACACTGCCTTTATAGACCCTACAAATGAGAAAACTCATTTCAAAATATGTGCAAGAGTTAATTTTTTTCCATGGTGAGCAGCACAGAGCAGTTTTCCATTGTTGCCCTTCCTCTCACTTGCATGCAGGAGAGAAAAGAAAGCCATGCTGGGTGTGAGGGCTGAGTGGATGTTTCAGGCCTGAAGCATTATTTCCATAATGGAGGCTGTCAAGATGGGAGACAGATCTGACATTTGCAGTCTGTAACAACTGCAGAAGTAGATAAAGGGAAACAGTCTTGTCACATAAAAACCATGAAAGGGATCTTGAGATTTTAGAATGATTCAGTCATAGTTATATGCATCCCAGGCACTGAAGGTTCTTAATGCTGCATACATTCAAGGTTTGGTTTTGGTTAATTATTCTTGGAAGCAAAACAGATTGGTTTTTATTCTTGGCTGTTTTGGAGTTTTCTCTCTGTGCCTTTTATCATGGTCTTTCTTGGTGGTTTGGGTTTTTTTGAGGGTTGTGGGTTTGTTGGTTTTTGTTTTGGTTTGGTTTTTTTGGATGGGTGCTGTGTAATTTAGTTTATTTAGTTTTCTTTGAATAGGCACATGAGCATGCCTACACATGCTTGTGCACGGATAAGTATTTCTTCAGACTGACTCTCACCATCAAGCAGAAGGCACAGGTTTCCAGAAACCTTTATGTTGCTGGTTGCATCTGGGATTGGAAGGAGGCTTTTGGTGGGTGTTTTCAGGCCTTCAGCTCATGTACAGGTTGCTCAGCAGTGTATGGTGTTCTCAAGTATCAATTAATCATCTTACTGTGTTGCAAGAGTTACTTTTGTTTTGTTTTTTTTTTTAGTGTGGTTACTAGAAGCCTTTACCTTCAGCAGCTTCTCAAACACATGTCTGGGGGTTTTGGAATTTTTTTATTTTTTTTTTTTATGCCACTTTTGATTACAGTGATGGGAAAAATTAGTTTGGCAGGATCAAGTGCCAACAGATAGTGCACCCTCAGGGATTGCTTCCTTTATGTTTCTTCAGTTTATTTTTGCTCAGATTCTCATCTGCATTTTGACTTGTTCTCCCTTCAATGAACAAGACATAAGTGATCCCAGTCACTTCCCTAAAAGTTCCTGCTTCTCTGTTTACACAAAGCTAAAAGTGGGCAATGTGTGAGTAATTTAGGGGAAAACACCTCAAGGCTAAATCTTGTGTATGAATTCTAAAAGTAACTTCCAGTAAAAATGATGACACAGCCCTCCTGACACGTACTGCTGTGCCATGGAGGTGTACAGCAATGGGATGTGAAGTATCTTTAGAGCTTTAGGTTTCAAATATTCCTGTAATCAAACTGTGCTCTGCTTCTCAGCTGTTTTAAGTAACTGTAGAAAGTAGAGGTGCCTTTGTTTTCCTTACTCCCTTAGGTCTGGATGACAAGGTAGGTACCATCTTCCATAATTAAAAAAAAAAAGATCAACCTCCAAGAAATTAAATCCTAGTCACATTTAAATTTCTGGAGCTTCACTGGTAGTTTCAAATGAGCCTGAATTTAATCCTTGCGTCTTGAACCCTAGCTGGCCAGTACTGAGGGACAAGCAGCCTTGAAATCAAGCACTTTTCTTACATTTTAGGGTTTCATTGGACCTCCAGGTGTGGCAGGACAACCAGGACCTGAAGGAGAAAGGGTAGGCCTAATGGAACATTACTGAAATGTTGATGTTTGTGTGGTAATGTAATACATGTTAGAATGGGGGGAAATGTACAAGGTTTAACCATTCATTTGTTCTTTGGTTTTTTTTGGTTAAAAGCAAAACTGATTTGGAGAAAATAAGATGACTAGGACATACCCAATTAGTCTAATCAATGAAATGCCTTGGTGCTCAAGTAAAATGGGGAGCAGCTGCAATATATTGTTTTACTTTAATCTACAGCTGCAAGGATTAGGGTTATTTTTTTTCTTCAGCAAAGTGTGAATGAATACTTTTCATTTAAGCAGTTTCGTTTGGACAATAACTAATATTTTCTCTTGTTGGATGGTCTTTTCAGCAGAACCAGCCATGGAAGTGTTAATCTCTATCACTCTGCTTGAGCCTTTTCTTATTGCACTTGAGCCAGCAGGCTGTCTGGGCATGTAGCGTGATGGAAGCAGTACAAGGCCCTTTTTCACAATTGTTCTGCTATTGCCACAGGAAAGACAGACAAAGTTTGTCTTTCTGCTCCAGGACATTGGCTCTGTGACACTTTGCTCAAATACTTTTTGTAATTTTTTTTAATGGTTCTCCTCTCACTCTGTTTTTTCCGATCAAATGCAGGTTTAATTACTTGAATTTAAGTATTGAAGAAATCTATTTATGAAGTGTTATTTCTTTCTTAGGGTATCCCAGGCCTCCGTGGAAAAAGAGGTCCTAAAGGGAGACAGGTAAAGATTCTAATACTTGTTACAATTCCTGCTGCCAGTGTAAATTCACCTGGAATTAACTCTGTAGCTTTAATCAGCTGAAAAAAATGTTAGTTTTATTTTTGTCCATAAATAACTTTCTATCACTTTCAGTTAGTACTTTTCAGAGCTGCAGATTGTGTGCAGGTTATAAGCACTAAAGTGTGGAAGACAGCACTGTGAGCTTTGTGGCAGGTTACTGATATCAGCTAGGAGGAGGATTAGAAGGTGACAGAAACACACAAATATATTGTGTAAAATTGGTGTTAGCATGAGGTGCAGATATGATGCAAGCTTCATAAGTCTGATGTTGGCTTGGATGAAAATCAGCTTCTTCTAATGTCTGATATTTCTGGACTGTAGTAAATTAAAGTTGTCCTCTTCTTAACATGTATTTCTACAGCTGAGAATAAACACAAATCTGCCAAGTACCCATTATCGGGTTTACATATTTCCTGTGGTGTGTCTTCCATGTCAAATGTTTTGTTTTCTGTTGCAACCATATTATTTTAGGTCTTTGAAGCTATCCAGGAGTTTCCAGTTTTAACTTTCTTGTGGTTTGAGATTGGAAAACACCATAGGGCTCTCCAGCTGTGCAGTCAGTTGTGCTCAGCAGTTCAGCTGATTTTCATCTACCACGTTGAACAAATTTGTCCAGCAGTAGTATGATGATCATCATTTGGCCCTTGATCTATGCTATGGAAGTTGTAGAGGATTCTTTAATTGTGTTTTGTTTTCTGTGTAATCAGCCAAAAAAGTCACTAGCCTACAAGAATTGCTTTGATATAAAGAAAGGCAAGCAAAATTAAATTAGGTCTACAGACTGCTCTTTCTGGAGCTGCCATGAGACCATATTGCAGTTTGCATATAATCTGGGTGAAATGCTGCTCTCTGCATCTGAGTGTTGGGTGAGCAGGGCCCTGTGCCATCAGTCCCTTGGCAGTGTCTTGTGCCCCTGAGGCACAGGCAGCATTTAAAGAGGAGAAGAACCTGGATGGGAATCAAAGGCTGGTGTTCAGTGTGAATTGGAAGCTGAGGTGACAGCAGTGTGCACTGGAGCACATTTTGCCATCTGCCATCAGTCTCTGTGGCAGGTTTCAGTGACACTTCTGCCTGCCAGTGCAGTGGTTCATGTAGGATTTGTCCCAGTCCATAGCAGTCTGTTGGTGCTGTGGTCAGCAGTTATTTTCCATTTAGAGTAAGAGCAGAGCTTCTGTCAGTACCAGACTATGTTCTGTAAGGACTTTTGCTTGCATAAATCTGCTCAGAGAGGATTCACATAGGTGGCAGAGCACCTGTGCAGAATGTCTGTGATTACTTTCATTTAGTACTGATTTCTTTGTAATGTCATTAATTCCCTCAATCCCAAGATTCATTCCAATTCCTATCTATGATCTATAAAGTACTTATTTGAGTAAAGGCTACTAATGTGAGACCAGCCAGGAGAGAAATCACATGGGAACCTGGCTTGAAGCACTTTGCTGGATCACATGCCTAGAGAAGGCATGTTATTTTAACCCCCAAAACAAAGATAGCTGTAATGACAAAGTTTTTTGGCACAGTGCCCTAGAGTTAACAATGCTTTGGGGTAGGGCACTGTCACTAAAAGAAATTCGGCATGGGAATTCTACAGTGCCTGAAGCCAGGATCCTCACCTTTTGTTCTAGGGTACAACTTATTTTTTTGGACAAAACTGTCCCTAATAATACTTGAGAAAATAAAAACCCTGTCTGGCAGGGTTTTTTGAAAGACATGAGATCAGAAGTATAATCTCATTTTTGGAAAGCATTTTTTAAGTATAGAAGTGGATCATACAAGGGATTGTAAACACTTTTAATTGACAAAATGCTGCTACTTAGTAGGTTTGATGAACAGTTGTTCATATTTGTAATATTTTTGGCGTATTTGAAGGGGAACAAAATATTCAATTGCCTGAATCTATAGAGTGAGGATTTGTTTTAATTTTATATTTGTTTTGCATACAATATCATTTAAAAAAAATATTTCATGGTAGAATTATATGTGTTCAATTTCTTTCTGTTGGCTAGCTCTGCAGTATTTCTAATTCATTTTCTGTCCTGTTAGCATGATGCATTTTGCTTTTATTTGGGGGAAGATTTTTACATAGTTTTCTTCTATCTGTGATTAGTTAAAATCAGTTGTCAATGAGTCAGAACACACCTTGTAAATTTTACCAAGAATTCAGTAATCAAGTCCACTGTAACTGTAAAAACAGTTCAGGTTCTGTTTTATATTAAAGTTATGAATAATCGTCCTTTGTATGCTTAGTAATAATGGTAAACGATAATATTGATTAAATAAAACAGTTGTTGCACAGTAGTTTTATTATATTGCTTCCAGTTTTATACTTTTGTGGCTGTTCATTTTGCTTTCATTTTTCTACTTACTAAGATAGATTTTTCAGTATCAGTTCAAAAACACAAGCTGTTGAGAATGTGATAATAATGACTGTGGGTGATCTGTCACTTCTGTAACCCTTGCTGTGCTGGGATTGTGCTGTATCATTTGTGATTCAGTGTGGTTGGTAAAACTGTCCCACAGCATGCTTCATGTCCCCTTTGAGGCCTCATTTGTAGTTTCAAAAAATCTACATGTGTTATGACAATTCTGCCTCTTCCAACATCTGCCAATGGTAGGCAGTACAACCCAAATATGCTGTTTAGGAAAGGGTCATAAATTAATCTTTGGCTTCATCCTCTTAGTTCACTTAGGTCACTTTTAACAACAGTCACTCTCAAATGTCCATTTTACATATGTAAAATTTTACACACATTTTCACAGCTAGGAAAAAAAAAGTCCAATGATGTACAACCTCTTCAGAATCAATTAAATCTGCTTTATTGACCATTTCCTAAGAACCTCTACTTTTTAAATTATAAGGTGGCAAAAATTTGAGGACCTGTATGATCAGGTCTTACAGTTACAGCTATAGATTCTTATTTGTGAGTTCTGTGATCAGATGCTGAACAAAAAATTCATAGTAGTGAGAGGAATTCCTGTATTTAGCTTTTCTGAATTAATAGGAGAAAGTAGAAACAATCTCCACCTAAAATCAGCCCAAAAGATGCTACAAAAGGCTGTCTCAGATTACTTCACATTATCATTCATGATGATGAGAATTAATAGCTATTTAGTTGCTTCAACATATTTTGGCCGTGTGCATGCATGTATATGTATATGCATAAAATGTTGCCTTGCTTTTTATAAAATTTTGGCTTGTTACTAAAGCTAAATATGGCTTAACTACTATCAACTACTTTGATTTATTATATGATTTTTCCATCTCCTTGACACAGTTTTACATTCTCTGTCTGACTACTGTTGGAATACTGTTTTATGGTGATGTACATCCCCCAATCCATTGAGGATAGACACTGCTGCAGCAAGTGCTGGGCTGGGCAGCTGTGTGGATGCCCTCTGAACAAAGCAGCTTTAAAAGGCCAAATGAGCTGTGCCTTGGAGCTGCAGCAGGTTTGAACATGGTCTCACTGAGGGGAAAGGTTAATGCCTCCAAGTGCTGTTCCTGACACACATGGAGGGGGAAAAAGATTCTGAAACACTGAAAGCACAAAGAGCATTTCACATATTTTTGTGTTATTTTATTTTATTGTTAAGGATGAGATTCTACCCTTACTCCCCGCTAAAAACCCAAACAAAAATGAAATAACTTTTCCCCCAGCAACTTATATGCTTCTGCAGTGGGCAACATCTGAAAGAAGTAAAGCAATTTTCAAAACTCTGACAGGAAGGACAGAAGATTAGAGCCAGTAAAGTGGTGGAATTCCATTCCATTTTCTTTCTGAAGCAAGAAATGGAAATTCTGTTTTAAGCTTCAATGCTTGACTTGGCAAATCAAATTTCTTTCCTATTCTGATAATCTAGTCTCTGAAGTCAAAACTCTCATAAAATAAATGAGGCTTTACTATGTCATGAGTTACTGTTTCGGTGTCTAGATGCAGACTCAGGGAAGTGTTTGCATCAGTTAAATGAGAATTCTGATTTCTAATGAATAGGAGATCTCATACTGAGATGCTAACCATTAGTATTTGGGGATGAGTTAAGGAAAGGACAAATGTTTTAGGGAATCTTGAAGCAAACAGGAAAAAAAAAAGAGTTAAGAAATAGGAAAACAGGCTCCAAGAAAACAATTCAAGTAATACTTGTTTAATATTGCTCTGAAAGTAATTCAATTGTTTGCTTTTTCCATGTGTTTGCATTGTATATAGTTTTATCATCTTGGCTTTATGACTTTAGGAGGCAAACAAATATCACTGTTCTGTTCATTTGAACTGTGTAGCTGAAACTTACTGCTTTTCCCATTCCTCCATCACACTCCCTCAATCTATTTATGATGACTTAATTCTCCAAATCTATAGGGACTCAGTGTTCAGACCACCTTTCATGTCTTGAATAATGAAGAACAGGTATTTTCTATTCTGCTTTAGGGTTTTCCAGGTGACTTTGGAAATAGAGGCCCCCCTGGTCCAGATGGAAGTCCTGTAAGTATTGAATTGTGTGTTGATTAACATGATAAAATTTGTAAAACTCAATGTTAACTCCCCTCCAAAATTAAAGGATACTTTGCTTCTAAAGAAATGTCTGAAAGCCACAGGAAAATTTTGAACTTTTAAATTTCCCATGGCAATTGGTAGGAAACTACTATAAGTATAAAAAAGAGGAAGAAAATATTCAGCAAGCTGCAAAGAGAACACATTTTCCACTGCAGCATGTGCTGACTACCTTGAGAATCAGATCTCTTGCTCTGCTCATTCCATGAGTGATGAATGTTCTGTCTTCCAAAGTTCTTGCATTAGATGACTTAGTGTTGTTTTTTTAAACTATTATTCTAAGATCACCTTAACAAAATAGGATTTGGCCTGCATGTAGAACCCCAGCTTTTGTGTGCTTGTGGATTTGATAGTTGATTTCATCCTTTGAGCTGGTACTGAGCACAGTTATGCTAGCCTGTCATTTAGTGCATTGTAATCAGTGCGATAACAGCTTTGTCCCTGGCAGTGTGTGCCCTTGCAGTGTGCTGTCCAGCCTGTGCCACAGTCACATCACTTCACAGGCTGCCCTCAGAGGAGCTTTGCTCTCTTACTCCATTTGTAGGAAACTCTGGCTGCAGACTCCAAACTCAGGTTTCTTTTGGTGTCAGAAACCAGTGAAAGGCTTTGGGCAAGAGAACAGCAATAAGTGCTGGGGAAAAGAGCAGCTGATTTAAACCATTTGGTATTGTTGGGTGCTCCTTTGGAAGCTGCTATCAGTTTGCTTCTAAAGATGTTTCTGATATGGAGCAGAGTCATCAACCAGGCAGTTTCTCTATTTTTGAAGGCCTGCCTTAACACCCATCTTAGAAACTTATTTTAGAAAGCTTACATCTTGAAAACCCACTGAGGGCTTGAGTGTCACCAACTGCTTTGCAAATGATATTAAAAGGTGAGTTCTTCCTTCCCCTCCTCGTACTCCCAAGTCTCCCTCCATTCCTGATAAAGCAGATATTGTCTTTCCACCAGATCTGCAGAACAGTGCTTTAATAGAAACAAGCTCAGAAAGCCTGGATCTGAAATTACAGCCTTGCCCATTACAAAGCAGCCCATTTCACTGCAAGCATTTGCAAACAAGTTCCATCTAATCTGCCAAGACAGCTGCTGATCTTTCTGCTTTCTTTGACAGGCAGCAGCCCCTCTCCCCTCCTCCCCAGGCTCGCCCTGCAGGGCTTGTTCAGGCAAGGGGCCAGTGCTGCAGCTGCAGGGTCTGCAGTGCTAAGGGCATATTTACAGAACCTCTCTGGGAGCTGGCACTGGAGACCAGGGGCTGCCTGGGAGGCCTGTGGCAACAGGAACATGAAGGGAAGACATTTCTTCCCATGTGCTGACTTAACACTAATGGCATTTGTCTCCATGCCTGATTTCTTCTGCTTAATTGGCTAATGCCATCCTTCATTTCCACAGCACCCTCTCCATTCTCTGAGGATGTCAGTCTGCCTTGGAGGATGTTGCTGGAGCATTCAGCTTCCCCTGGGGATAGTTTAGAGCAGGTTGGGGAAAGTGTGAAGGCACCTGAGGAGGGAGGGGAGCACCAAGGTGTCTTCTGGGCCATGTCCAGCAGCCATGACCAGTTGGATAAATTCAGAATGGGCTTAGCTTTGCTTTCATAAAACTTCCCCATGAGTGTCAGCAGGCTCTTGTGGTTGTTATCCAGAGTAGCAGGTCCCAGGTGCTGGCACAGCTTGCATGGGACATGGAGACCTGGAGGACTGCACTGTGTGTTTCACATAGGGCAAAGAGACTTAGCAACTCTTTTCAGCAGTGTTTTAGCCTCTTCTCAGTTTAACTGAGATGGTGTTCTTATTTATTTTTCTAGGGAATCTTAATAAATTTGTTTTTCACCCTTAAAAAGTTGATTTTTCTTCCTTCCACTTTCACTATCATAGTAAAAAAATTTCACATTCCTATATTAACAGCAGAGATGTTCCCATGATGCAAATATCTGGTGATCTCATTCTACAATTCAGGGATTTTACTAAGCATGTTTCTCTATACAGTGATAAGTTGTCAGTCTTTGGAAACTGTAAAAATCAAAACTGATTTGCTTTGTAGGTCACCTTTATCTTAATTCTAGGATTTCTTTTTAAATGGTAAAAATTAGATAATCTAAGATTAACTTTCTTTAAAGGGAGTTGTTGGTGGTGTTGGTCCTCCTGGATTTCCAGGACTAAGAGTAAGTATACTTTTATTATTTGCTTTGAGATGGCTGCATTATAGCACTTGTCTTGTGTGTTTGTGACATAATAAAAACAATTATGAAAATTCAAGGATTTAAACAGCTTTTGTTTTAGATAGCCATGATTTTAAATAGCATCACTATGCAAAACTGCTGTCATGTTGGCAGCATGGAGCACTTCTATACTTGGTGTGGATTTGTATGCTTGTTTCTGACCCAGTGTGTTCAGGTCTTTTATTTGAAATTGATTTGAAACCAACTTTGCTAGTTTATAATTTATTTTACTAAAGGCCAGTGTGAAGGGTGCAATAATCTCAAATATTTTAATGACAGCAGTCCTCATTGGTTCCTGAATATGGCTACCACATTCAAAGCAGAATTAATTTCTAAGAAAAATTACTTTATCATGTTTACAATATCATATTAATTTTTAAAAAATATATGTAGAATAAGGCTGTAATGCTCACTTTGGAGTTGCACACTCTAGTTGTATCTATCAGTTGTGCCAGAGAAGCTCTGAGTCCCACAGAAGGTGGGAAAGACTTTCCTTCTGAGTAGTCTCACTCCCTTATGTTGTTTAATTTGTGTATTTGCTCATAGAGGACCTCTGATTCTTGATGTTGTCTCAGTCATGTCTGGCTACAGGGCCACATTCTTAAAAAGGGAGAAATAGCAAGTGTTTACACTTGAGTTAAGAAAGGCATGATTGTCTGCAGTGATTGCTTTGTGGGTTTTTTGCTATCTGCAGATCTGAAACATTCTTGATAAGTTTATATTTTACAGTGATGGTCATCTTACTTTTCCTTTGAAGTGTGACAGTTGAGTTCAATTGTTACTCTTCCTAATTATGTGTTCATAACAACAAAAAAAATCCTGTAAGTCATCCCTTGCTGTCTGATTAGGATTGTTATGGCATTGCTATAGTGAAAACAAAAGCTTGGTCAAGAAACCTCTGTAGCTTCCAGCCTTCATCATGCAAACATGATTTTCTGTGTGCTTCAGACCAAATGACACACTCATGAGACTGGAGCTTGCACTCTTGAGAATTTGCTTAGAATTGTGCTTGGTTTTCTCTCTTACATGACTGTCTTTGGAATTTAATCTCAAGGACTTTGATAATTGTACAAACGTACTTGAGGTTTTTAAAGAATATGTCACTTCCAAAAAGATTGTTACTGATTATTTTGACTAAAACTTAGCAGTTTAGCCCTACCTAGAGTTTATGAGCATAAATGTTTGCAGGATCAAAGCTACATGTGCCTTCTTGCTGAGTTGCAGTCACGTACAGAGAGATTGTGTCAATTTGTGAAATAGAAAAATAATTATCTATAATCAGTCCAAAGCTTTTGCCACTTGTACATAGATGGAATATAACCATAATGAGAGCTATTTCTTGGGGGAAAAAATGTTTAGATTTGGCATGTTTAGATTTTTGAGCAGCACAGAATTTACAGTTGTTTAGAGTGTGAGCTCCATTTGAGTGCCCTTCTTGTGTTTATGTGTGGGACTCTTTCTCATGGTTCCAGTTTATGAGTTAGTTTGGTTTCCTCTTTCCCAGTCAGATAATTGGAAGAGTTGTGCTCTGCTCCAGAGCTTCTTTACAAGGGACCATTGCACTCTTTAATCTGCAGCAGAGTTTCACTAAGAGCCTGGGGCAGTTTCAGGTGACTCCAGCATCCCTGTTCCTCAGCCACCCCTGCTCTCCAAAGGGGTCTGTGCTCCCTGGCCTCAGCTTTCCCTTGCCCAGGCAGATGCTAATGACCATCCAAAAATGAGCAAAGAGCTACAGCCCTCAATGTTTGCTTTAGAATACTTAGTCAGTAATAACACACTATACTACTACAAGATGCAATATTGTACATGGGATTAAATCTGTTTTTCTGGCAGAAACCAAGAGCATTAATTCAAGTAGCTTGTCCAGCCCAGCTGGTCAATGTCAAGAGTTAGTTGTATTTTTGTCTTTGTTCATGAGAACAATGGCAAAATGAGCAACATCAGCAAGCTGAGTCCAGTAATTCCTTCCATCCATGATTATTTTCAATATACAAAGCTGTTGCCAAGTTCAGAGTTTTGGCTGACTGAATAGTTAGTCTTTCAAAACTTAGCAAGGCCACGAGTTTTAATAAGATGAAGAGTTGTAGAAAATTTACTGCTAGATACCCAAATTAGTTTTTAATTTTTAATTTTTTCTTCCCTTTTAAAAAACCCACTTAATACTAGGAAAACATTAGTCTTCCTTTTCTGGTATTTTATCTTTTTGCCTGGAAAAAACAAGTTGGTTTTAGTTTAACTTGTCACCTAGAAATGTTGGAAAAGGTACACCTTATGTAGCTGCAGGTTTTTTTGATTAGCAAGTTTTGTCCAAAGTGAAAAGAATATCTTAGGTGGAGAATGATTAAAAAACCTGACATACTAACTAATTCAACGCTTGTTCAGTTTTATTTTTGTGTAGTTCCCATTCTTTGCTGTTGATTATGTCACTCAGTGTATCTGGAGACTGTGATAGGTGTTTAATGAACCTGAATGTTGCAAAGCTGTTTTGGAATTCCTTCCTCTTGCTGTTGTAAGCTAAATTTCCCAGCTCAGCATCCCTTTGTGATTTTCTAATCAATGCTGTTGTTACCATAAGTGTGCATTTCAACATTCAGTGTCATGAATGCATAAATGCCTTGCTGAACTAGAATGTGTAGCACAGCTCAGAGACAGCAATGTAAACAATTTCCTTGATCAGCTAGCATGGCAGAATTCATCATTTAAGCAGTCATGGAAAGCTAAAGCAATGTAGAGTGAATGCTCTTGGGAGCTCTACCAAGCACCATTAAGACACTAACTAAGTGATTGGTCTTGCTTTTGCTTCACTGAGCCATAATCTGATGGTGGCTGCAGAGAATGTGGTTGCTAACATTGCTAAAGAGTCTCCAGAGAATAATGAGTGTGTGCTCAACTGGAAGTGCATAGATGTCCATCTCATCTTTTCCATATCACTCTCAGCAAGTGGCAAAAGATTTCTTTATTCATATGTGTGGTTAAATTTCTGCATAGCCATAGAGATATTACATTGTCTTTTTGGTTTTTTTTTCCCCCAAGTTTGAATAGGCAGAAAGCAGGTAAACTTCTCCCTTTGTAGTATAGTCTTAACTATTCTGAGTCAGGTCTTATGTTTAGCTCATGCTTTTTCATTAGTATTATTGCTGTGCTGATCTTTAAACATTCTTAAATTTTGTGACTCACTCCTTTTTTTTCCTGTCATAAAACTGCCTAAATAAATCCCAGAAAGAAGAGCTGTAGTAAGGACTTTAAAGGTACATTAGAACAGAAAAGGTTAGCATGCCCATTGGAACAGGGGTTTGATTCTGCACATGTGGTATTTAGAGTCACATTGCTTTTTTTTCTTTTAACTCATGGAAGTCACTGATGGATAAAAAATTGAGTAAAAGGACCATTTAAAAGACTGCTTTTTATGGCCCTACTCATCATAGAATAATTTCTTTAAGCCAAATTTGATGCCTACAGAGAAGTGCTGTTGTGTAACCCCTAGGACAGCAGTGATGGAAGGCTTCCTTAATTGGCATTGCCTAATACACTGAGATCTTCTCTGGAGTTTATAATCTACAGGAGAAGAGGCAGGTTTGGTTTCTTGTGTTTCTGCTGATGATGTTGGGAACTGTAAACATGGAGGGCCTATGATACCAATACCTTTGTTTTTACCTGAGAAATTAACCTGAAAAATATTTTGATTTCTGTGGTACAGAAATTTTGGTTTTCTGTGGTACAGAAAAATGCCATATTCTGTTAAGAGTCTTTAGGTTACTCCATTTCACCAAATGCAGTCACCTTTCTTGCTGTTTGATAGGGAGACATTGGGCCAGCAGGACCGAGTGGACCATCAGGAATTCCAGGGCCCACGGTATGGTATTCAATCATCCCACATATGCTGCTTTCCAAATTATAGTCAAGCATTGGATTTATGTTTTCTTTACTTTAACAGGGTTTCCCAGGGAGTGTGGGACAGCCTGGAATGAAAGGTGATAAGGTGATTTAAATATTTTCATTATCTTGGAGATACACAGTTCTTTCAGACTCTCTTCATTAAAACTTGAGCATAATGTGCTTGGCAAAGCCTTGCCTTTTTTCTTTTGATTTCTTTTGTCTTCTGACTTTTATTTTTTAAATTTGTGTCAGACTCATGATCTGGTAGTTTAGACAAGGTTTTTTCTGAACAGAACACTAACGACTGAACATAATATGCAAGTCTGTGTCTTTCCTGGAAGAGGTATTTCAGTGCAGCACCTTGCATTGTCAAAAATCTGTGTTAATTTTAAGTAGTGAATATTGAATTAATCTTTCTCTGTTTCTGAAAACTACCCCATTTTAAGCCATACACATATGTCTGTATAAAATTATATATTGTTTAGGGTGAACATGGCCTTGCAGGAGAGCCAGGAGATCAGGGGTACCCAGGAGACAAGGTAAGTTATAACTGCATTGTTTTACAAAATTATCCCATTTCAGCAACTTCATCAGGCTTATGAGTCTCTTAAAATGCAGCAGGTTGGTTCCATAAAAGTAGAATGCAGTAGTAATACTATCTGGATACCACTGTATGAACATATTTTTAAGAAATTCTGTGCTAATTAAAACTCATTTATGGGAGCGTGCACAAAGCCAAGTCAAGAGCACAAGCAGAACTCTGGCAGCTGTGTGTATAGAGATGCATCAAACAAGGATTATGGTGTGGTCTCAGTCTTTCTGAGGAACTGTTGTAAAAGGCATTTTTCCCTTGCCCATTGAGGTTCATCTGCAGCTCACCTGGACCTACTGTGGTTAGCAGCAGCAGAGTCTGCCATGCTCCTTCACATCATCAGACTGAGATAAATAAGGATCTTCTTTCCTGTTTGGCTAGTACATCAGAAGTCGCTAAAATAGCACATCTTGTGAGAACTCTTTTGATGAAAGTTGAATGTTAGAAGATAGTTTTCAACCTGAAGAATTCTTTTGAAGCCTGTTTCAGGTGTCAAAATACAGCAATTTATTGCTTCCAACAATTTTCATGTCTATTTAATAACTTTCTTTTTTCAGGGTGCTCTTGGTTTACCAGGACCTCCAGGGATCAGAGGAAAACCAGGACCTCCAGTAAGTTTACACATCAAATCTTGTTCTCAGTATATCACTGTGTGTTGTTGGTATTTTTACTACTGTTGATATTTGACACTTTTTGTGTGATTGTTATGTTCACAATGCATGTAATCCCTAGAAGTGACCTAATTAAAAATGCATAAGAATAAGGTCTAAGCTGCTTTTATTTCTAGTGACTGGTGTTAATGAGCAAGTCAGATCCTAAAATGTGAAGCTTTATTACCAAGATTAGTATATGTGTCAAATTTTAATAGAGTGCTTAGGATATTAGATATTCTGGGACAATTGCTGTGGGGGGGGAATGGACATGTGGATAATATTTGAAACAAATCCACTGAGAGCTTTGGGAACTTGCAGAAGACCATTTGGACTAGCTGGATTTGCAGGGAATGTGTGAGATCACATTAATAACAGCCAGTAATTTCTCACAGGGATGGGAGTAGTCACAAATTCCTGTATTTACTGATTTTCAGCAGCTTTAAAGGCTTCTGTGCACTGCTGCCACTTCTGCTGGGTTTTTAGATGTTGAGGCAGAAAAGGCAATACTGCACAGAGTTACTTGGCTCTTGCTCACCTGTTTTAGTGCTAATATCTGTCTCTTTTCAGTATTTCATTAAAAGCTGCCAACACTCACTCCACTGTCAATTTTCTAATGTACAATCAGGCCAATAACTGGTGAACATACTTAGATCTCATAAATGTCATGAGCCCTTGAATTCATTAACACTTTCCTTGTCCTGTAGAATTTACAGTATAAACATGAATTCTGCAATAAAATTATGCCTATTTGCTTAAGCTTAGATGGGAAAAGTCATATTTTTTGTTTTCAAGGGTGCAAGAATTTCCTCTTTCAGGATCAGGCTGATTCACATGCTTATCTTTTAAGATAAGCATGTGAATCAGCCTGTTCCTGAAAGAGCTGTGGATTTTAAGCACAACCTTGTGACTTATGTTAAATTAATCTATGAGACCTCAGTCCTGCAAGTAATAGAAATTTACCTTTGTAGAATGAATTTACAATGAAGTCATTCATGTTAAAAATTAGAGAAATGTTTCCCAGGTCAGACCTTAATTTTGCTCAAGTGACATCTACTTACGGTGGCAGAAAGAGTCTGAAAATTTGGAAGAAGATATAACTTCGAGAAATTTGGTCCATTTTTAGATGGGTTGAAATTTGTATATAATGAAGTTACCATTACATGTGGATAGGACCTAATTTTATTGTTATTAATCACAAAACTGCCATTTCTTTGGCTATGATTAGATACTTAAAATATGTAAGTGTGTAAACCAATATCTGGAACAGTTACTTTCTGTATGTTTAAATAATATGTAGTTTTTATTTTGAAAACAGCTATATATTTAATGTGATTTTTATGTGATTCCTCCCAATTTTCTCTGTCCTAAACTATTTTGAATTTTTTTTTTGTTGTGACTTCAAAGAGATATGAAGAACTAGTTTTAATAGTATCCAAAGAGAGGCAGATATAAAATTTACTATTTAGTGAAAAAGTAATCTCAACTTTCTGTTGGCCTTTTTGTTAATAAATTTTTTTAAAATTCTCATAACCATCTGTTATTGAAAGATGAATTATCATCAGAAATCTTAACTGTTTGGATTCTTTTTAAGGGTAAAATTGGAGAACCTGGACCCCGTGGACCATTGGGTCCTCAGGGACCTGAGGTAAGAAATTGCTTGGTAGTGGTAAATTGAATGTTGGTTCTAAATGATGAAAATAAGAGGTAAATGAGTTTGCTCCATAAAAGACTGTTTTCTTAAGTGAATTAGGGAAATCTTCTTATTCAGTCATATTTGATGAATTCATTCTCCTCCATAAAGTACAAAAGATTCCAGCTCATAATTTTTTTCTGCGAAATGTTAATGTGCAGGATCTTTGCATACAAAGTAGTTCTTCATTTGCTCATGTGATTAGGATTTGCTGTCTCTTGAACCCTGTTGTTATGGGGTACACCTGGAGTGAGACTCATGTGATTTCTGAGGCACACTTCCATTTGTAAATATTAAAACATGTTTACAAATGGGATTTTCCATTTTCCAGACCTGGTTGCATATTTATCACTTACAAGACACAGAGGGTAAACCCCAGTCACCTGGGAAGGGTTGCCAAGCAGTTGAATCTGGAAGTGAAGTTTCCTAAGAACTCCTGAGTGCTATGGAAGTCTGTGCAGAAACTCAGTCTCCAAATTGTCCCATGTTGGTGCTTTTCAGCATTTATACCACAGGCTTTAAGGAAAAATGCTGTGGTCTGTACCAAAAAGGCATGTTTATACACAGACACATGTATCTGCTGGAGAGATGAAAGCAGAAATTGTGGATTGTTCTTTCTAATCAGCCTCCTGCAATGAATGTATTTTGGGTTTTGTTTGGTTTGTGGTGGGGTTTCTTTGTTTGTTTGTGGGTTATCCTTTTTTAAAAAAAATATGAATGGAAGACATATACTAGTAATGATCCTTTTTCTGCCTTTACATGAGCACATCTCCTCAAACCAAGGCTCTGTGCTCCTACCTTTCTTATTAGGCAAAAGCCCTCACTGAGGGAAAACCCATTGTAGCAACACAAGGCGGTCTGGTAAGAATAAGTTCCTCTCATTTTTTCAAAAGGTGTGCAGAAGACACAAAGCCTGTGCACGTTGTCCACAGCTGCCACCCTCGGTGGCTCAGGATTTTAGATTTTTCAAGACTCTTCATTGCATGATTTCTTTGCATAGCTTCCAGCAAGGGCGGTTAATAAGGTAACTTGAGGCAGGTTAGTCCCAAATTGTTGGTCTTGAGGCCTGTGTCCTGTTGTCCCTGCTGGTAGCCCTTCCTAGTTCCAACACACACATGCTGCTCCTTTGTGTCTGGGGAGAAGATCATCCTGGGCTGCTTACCCTTAGGGCAGATAGGGATGGGAATCTTTCTGTCTGAAAAGCTCAGTATTTCCCCTTGCTCAGGAGTGCAGAACTACTTCATCATTAGAAGGCAAATAAGGTGCATGATGCTAGATAATTAAAACTTGGGTGTCCAGGCACTTTTTTTGAGTAATTGTCTGCAAAATGGTCAGTTTAAACCTGCAAAGCAATGTTTCTCTTAACTTCAGTCATGCAAGACAGTTCCAAATAAAGTAAGAGGTTTTTCCACCTTTTACTTCATAAAAATATGGTCACCATATGGCAAAATAGAAACAGAAGGGATGTAGGATAGCAGCATACTGGGATTTTGGACAAATTGAAGATATTAGAAGTTCTATAATGAAAGGAATTTAAAATAAGAAACTTAAAACTGAAGAGTGTATATGTCCCTCCAGTTACATTGTCTTATAAAAATAAACTAGTTGTTGTTGCCAGAAGTTATTTAGACACAACCAAATAGATGAAGTATGAGCAAATAATGTAGATTTTTCCACAAGAAAAGCCTGATCCAGTCTCTTCTTCCAAAGCCAGACAGCTAGCAGGTCAGACAGGGCTGCTTTCCTTGTTCCTGTTTCATTATCTGAATGGTCAGACTTCCTGTGACCCCATGTAGAAAACATGCATTATATAGTATACTCAATGATCCCTTGATGTTTCTGGAAATAGAAGAATGTGATGAATTAGTATCTTTCAAGTATTCAGGGTAATTTGGATTTAGTATAGATGTGACAATCCATACCATATGCCTTCTATGAAAGATTTCATTTTTAAATCCCCCAAAACTTATATTGGGATTTGTTGGACTTTGCTGTGAGCAGGAGGAACAAGGCTGTGTCTGCCCAGTGGCAGAACCTCTCAAAATCTGCTTCCAGCTATTCCTCTCTCCTTTTGTCCAACATTAAGACAGTGGGATTTTTAAATGTGCTCCGTCCCCGTTTGTTTTGGGTACATGTGTAATAAGAACCTGGGGAAAGATCCTTTGATCTTTCCTGCGACACATTTGAGTGTTTCATTCCCAGTATAAAGAATAAGTGCTGTCCCTGATTTTCCTCCCCTGTAAACTGCAGTAACTCTGGCACTCCAGCAGCTGAGCTCTGTAACTCTCTGTGCACACAGCCGTGGGAGCAGGGCAGGCAGACTCTGATCATCCTCACGGGGTTTTGTGGGTTGAAATGCAGATCACCAGTGAGTTGCTTCCTAAATCTTTCCTCTGCAGCTGTGCAGCCAAGGTACACCAGGTCAGAGTTGAAATAAGCCGCCCACCTCTCGCCAGGGTCCATTTGGGACTGCAGTGCTGCTGGCAGGAGGGCAGAGGGAGGGACAGAGGTCTGGTTCTTGCTCTCTGGGTGGCCAAACAAGTTCTGGCTGCCAAGTGACTCTTTCAGGGCAGGAGTCCTGCAGTGTCAGGCCGAATTCTCTATTGGGTGTGCTTCTGCAGAGCCAGGGTCTGTCGTGTGCCTGAATGCCTGCTGCTCACCAACCACTGGATATACTCAGTGAGCACTTCATGGAGTGGAGTCTTCATCATTGTGCTGCTTTGTCATGCATCTGAAAATGAACACTGAAATATAAAATTTCTGTAGAACTTTGTTTTATTGTCATGACAACTGGAAAGTGCAGATCAGACTGTTCTAACCCACAATGTCTCAGTTTACTGTATACAATGAGGTATGCAGTGCTTATTGTTCATGTGAATGAAATTAGACAAGCCTTTGACAGGCTTCCACATGTATTCAGAATATTTTATAGTTAAATTTTGCTCTAGGAATTGCATTTAATTATCCCCCCAAAATGAGGGTGAGTTATAGTTCCCTTTAGATGTGCCTTGAGAGTGTTATAAATAGGTTTCATGTGAAGCAGAGAGAATTTTTCATTGTCTTCAATAGAACCTTTTTCATCTGTGCAGTATTGTGTTTTGATCTGAAGTCATTAGCTCACTCCTTCAGGAAGATACTTGTATGAGACTCAGCTGGTGTGTTCCATGCTCAAGGCAGCAGCCTTACAAAAGGAAAGGATACATTCAAAAAACAGCAAAGAGTCCAAAAGGCAAACATTTTGTAAGTGAATCAGTGGCTGCTTTGAGGTCTTCATTTAAAAAACCCCTTTATTTTTAGTGCATGTTTCACATGCATTATCACATGATTTTTTGAGTTTTTGCAAACAATGCCAGGTGTGCAGTGATAACATAGCCTTCTGTTTCAATATTGCATCAAATGAGTTGCATGCAAATGATTTGTAGGAAATATAGAAATAAAGATAATTTAAAGGCTGAACTAATTGTGTGTTCTGGCACAAATCTAAGGAAATGGTCTTGTTTTGAAATTACTTATACTCTCTACTTGCCTTTGCACAGATTCTTCATCTGGTCCTTTCCCAAAGTTCTGTGTCTGCATAACACATGCTTTCAGAAGAATCATAAACACTTACTGGAGAATAGTAGGTTTTTGCAGAAACCACCTTGTGATGATTTGATTATAATTAGTAATGAATCTCTAATAAGGTATCTTGTTGAAGTTCAGTAGCTACATACAATCAGTCTTGCTTCTCAAAATTTATTCTCAATTCCCATTGAAATTAATTTCAACCTGTGATTGAATGAACTCTTATTGGAGTAAGGTAACCTGGTGACTGAAGGGGCTGTTGCACTCCCTGGAGACATTTTCCCTCCACGATGCCTCTCTACCCCTGCTTGTCCTGATCCCCTTGAGGGCAGCCAGGGGCATGAAGATGGGTGGCCAGTGATGCTGGCAAATGTCATGTGAAAGTGGTTTGAGGTGATATTCTGCAAATGAGAGAGAATTCCCCATGGAAATGGAGTGTAATGTCTCAATACTTCTGATATTCTGCTTCCATATTAGCAGCCACCTAGAAAAACAAAAGAAAAGCAAAAGCTTGGCAGAGTGCTCATCTCTGGAGCACTGAGATATGCCCTAACATAGTAACAACTTGGTCATCTCTGCATTTTTTCAAATTACACATTATATCAATAAATGAGAGCAATAAATATGTTAATTTTATATTTAAGTGTTCAGTACAAAAAGCAAAACTCCTGCAGGAAGGATAAAGCATGCTTTTGTTGAGATAGTTGGCACTTCAGATTTCTTTGATGCCACATTTCTTTTGATTAAATGAAGTGGATTCTAAAGTGCTTTGCTGGCAAAAGACCACATCTGTAGCAAGATTTTGAAAATAATTTGTATCCTACCAGCTGCTGGGCTTCTGGCTGATGGAAATGAATAATCTGCATTTCCTTAGAGGTCAATACCAAGGGCTGGTTGGTTCTGAATAGTCTGAAAACTACATTGCAGCTGGAAACTATACACTGATCTCCTGGCCTTTCACTTGTGGAAGAATAAAGAATTTTTAATCTGGAGTAACTTCCCATGGAGCTGGCTGCTGAACAACTCATTTCAAATTTAAGCATTGCCAGAGATACATCCCATTTCACTATGAGGAATCTGATTGACAAATCATTATATGAAATACCATTGCTGAGGTATTTCAAGAGCTCCTTCCTGGTTCATTCTTTTTCTGGAATTGTCTAAAGTGGCTGTTTGTGTCCTGGATTATTACACTTATTCCTGGATTATTAATGTGAGAACATCTTAGAAAAAATGTTCTAATACTGCCATAGCATCTGCCTTTTTTTAATGGTTGTGCTCAAGAGGAAGTCTTAATCCATCTTCACAGAAAAGATAAAATTATGAGGATTTTAAATTTTTAAATGCATTGTTTAGTGTTGATGTTCTCAGACAAGTAACCCTCTTGTATCCCAATACATGAAAAGATTTCAAAATGCCATGTTTGTTCTACCTGCAATAGTACTTGTCCATGCCTACATCTCATGGTCCTTACTGAATTCCCTCTAGAAAAATTTAAACAAATAAATAAATAAAGTAGATCTATTCATTCATAAAAGCATTAGAATCTTTCTTAATTAACATTTTTCTAGGCAGATTGTTTTCTGGAATGTTTATTGCCAAGAGGAAGTTGTCTGTGTCAGCATTTAGCATTTGTTCACACATTAGAAATGAGCAGATTTACAGATATGTGAAACAACTCACCCCTTGGTAACTATTTAAGGTCTGTAAACAAGTAAATTTAAAATAAAGAAAGGACAAGCAAAAAAAATTTTAAGGAATTGACTTAACTCTTCAATGTATTTCAGCAGACAGCAGTGGCCAGGATTTTAAAAACAACACCTCCTCTTTTGAACTGTCTAGAAATGAAGGGTGATGCAAGTGAGTGTTCTAGGTGTGAGTCTCAGGACCTTGGTGACATGTAAATAATATGCTCTGTGCCACCTAGAGGCATGTTGGAATTGTTGCACAGCTCTGCTTGTAATTGCTTATTTATGGCAAAAGAAAAGGAAACCACTGTATTTCACAATATTTTCACAATACTGATGTGTTGTGTAATATTGAGTGTTAGAGTTGTTGCCCATCTTCTGAAAACTCAGACCATTCTTACTCTTTTTTGGTTTTCTTTCAGACTCATTAGCATCCAACTTATTTTTAAAAATGGTTCTGTGTATGTGCTTTTTGTTTCCATTATTGGAAAAATATGCATGTATTTTAATCTATAATGATTTTCTCTTAATGAAGAAGGAGGCTTGTTCTCCTGAGTGTTAGACCATGGGTTTGGTTAGATGTATTAATAAATATTTTGCTCAGAGGAAGTGGCAGTCTTGCTGTTTTCAGATGGTCAAAATTTAATGAAATGTGGAAGTTTATTAAAAAAGCAAAATCCTGTCCGGGGACTGAATGAGCAGTGTGCTAACTACAGGGTCAATTACCAATGCTTTATTTTATCCTACAAATGTAAGATCATGGATTCTCTCTGGCTGTTTATGAAATTTAACTCACTACTACTTAACTACTATTGTATTACATAAAGGTTAGTGACACCATTTTTTTCCTTAAAATACATTTATTTCTTCTAAAGCAATCTAGCTGGAGCTGAATTCCTCTGACACAGAGGCCTCCTCATGGTGTCCCAAGCCAATGCCTTCTGGCCAGGTGGTTTGCAGTGATAATTTTGGTTGATTCCTTTCCTGTGCATATTTACTTTTCCTTTACTAACAGCTTGACCTACACTAGAGTGTATTTCACAAAGGCCAGTTCTGAATAATGCTGCATGCTGATGACCTTCAGTTAGTGCCAGATTATCACCTGCTGGTCTGGAGGCAAAAGCCTCTTCCCTTTTTCTTAATCTGGCAGTGATCTTGTCCTTAACGTGGATTCAAGGGCATCAGCTGCTCTCTCAATTTTATGAAAAGAGTAGTTGAATTCATAAGTACAGGACTTGATGCAGGCTGTTCTCTGGTGATTTTTTTTTGTGCCTCCAAACCAGTCCAATGGTTTAATTTCAAACATTGCTTAACGGATAAAAAGTCTTATCGTGAGAGAAATTAAATCCATGCTGACATCTGCTAAATTGAGTTTAACAAAAGCTGCCTAAAATCTGTCACTTATCCAAGTCCTTTCAAGGAAACATAATGGATTTCGACATTTTTTGGAATGGTAGAAGAAATTTATTTCTTGTTTCTGTGACTCAGGTTTATTAAATGAATGAACAGAATCAAAACAAGTACATTGAAAACATTCCTACTCTGCAAATCATTTGTCTGTATGATTTCTTTAGGGTTTTCCAGGAGATATTGGTGTACCTGGATTAAATGGCCCTGAAGGTCCTAAGGTAAGATTATATGAAAACCTTTTAAAAATAACAGGAAATAGTGTTAATCTCTGAGGAAAAGGCTCTGAGAGATGGACACTGGCATTATGAGAAGATAATCCTACTGTCAGAATGCAGGTACTTTGCCTCAGGTGTTTATATGAGGAAGTTATTTGAATGTTTAATGCTGTCCACACAGTTCTGAGAGTAATTACAGCGTTAGGTGGAAGCTTGTAATGGCAAAATAAGTTTGAGAAAATGCTATATAGCTAGAAAGTAGCATATGTTTCACCTGTACTTAAATAGAATGCATGCCAAATGTATGCAGATCTTTGTATTACTCAGGTTCCACCTGCCCTAAGAATTATTTTTAACAATTTTTAAAAGAAATCATATTTGAAGGTATGAAAATGTGTAAAATTTATGCACCAGATTAAATTATAGACAAAATAATTGATATAACAATTAAGGATAAAAATTATCTACAAAACTGGGCCAGAATAATTTAGTTTCTGCTCTTTAATATATTAAATTTTTAGACCAAACTTAGGCAATAATTACACAGATAGAGTTTTCAATGAAGCTTGGAATAAAAGCAGATTTAGGAAATTTCTCTAGAATTGGAAATGGTAGAGACTAATACAAAAAGTGCAGCTAGCTCAGAAATAACCCAGAGGAAAATGATTGGATGATATCTAAAGATTAACTGCTTGTTGAAAGACAAATACCAATGAAGTTTCTCACTCATCAGCCTTGGGACTATTCTTACACTGTATTTTCTGTGGTGAAAAGGCACAAGTATGGCAGAATGAAATCTGTATATGAAACCAAGTTGAACATCTTTAGATTACCTAAAAAAATGCACTTTTTGCTAATTCATTCCACCTCAGTTATTTCAGTTTGATTCATGCAAGGACTAAAACAATAAATCCCGTTATAAACTTAGACCAAAGACATTGCCAGATCTCTTTGAAATGAAAGCACAATAATGCAGTTAGAAATTAAGTGAAATTGTAGAACATATGAGTCAAGATGTCTCATTAATGCCTCTGCTCAAAGCATGAGAATGCTTTATCTCTGTAGTACATTACTGGGCATTTTTATTCCAGAAAGACTCGGTCAAGTGAGACTAGATGCAGAAATAACACTTGAATGGCTTTATTCTGAGGGACAGTTTGTTTATTAGACTAAAATGAAGGCCTTTTTTGACCTTCAAGTAAACCAGAGGGCAGAAACTGGTGAAGCAAAAGAACTGTGCAAGACCAGCAATATAATTTGTCCAAGAACAAATCATGCAGGTTGTCTTTGAATAAACAGACATTTTCAAATAATCCAATTGCTGAAGCCATAGCCTATGTTTTCTGTATCTCTTCTCTTTCAACCATGGCAAGAGCCTTTTACCAAAATAGACATTAATTGGCTAGGCAGGCTGAGAGCTAGTTATCTGATGGGGCAAATTAAGGAGAAATTAAAATGTGTTTCTAGAGGGGGTCCACCTTCAATTCTGATTTATTACTTTGCTGACTTGTTTATATGCGTGCATGCATAATGTTAGCAGCCTTATGCGAATGAGTTTGTGCCACCATTGCAGTGGCTCTTTTGTTTCTGAGTTACCTGAGTGTTCACAAAAAAAAACCCTGAGATGGTGAAAGACTCTCTCTAGGGTCTAGGGGAAATACTAGAAGAGAAATACAGCAATTCTTGATCTGCAGTTCAGATTTAATTGCCCAAGATTATACGTGAACAATGTAACAGATCTAATCCCTGCTGCTCGGTTTGTTCAGTGAGATCGAATTGTTGCACATTATATCTGAGGAATTTGCTAGAATTCTGTTTCTGTTTAATACATATGTTACAGATTTGTTGCATTTTCACAGATTCCAGGGGAAAAAAGTTACTAAGAGGTGGACTATAAAGTTTGAGACTCCATGTTCCTTTGATACAGAATTACACAGCTGAACCAGATTTGGTGCTCTCCAGCACATTTGGTATTAGAGAGAAAAAGCTTAGACAGCCTGCCCTAGTCAGGGAGAACTGATTGCTTACATTTGAAAAGAAGGATTACCAAACTGGAAAAACTGTTATACTGCTCCCAGTACTGAGGGAGAAGCTCTGCATGACTTTGGAAATGTTTGGCTTTTGGGATTCCATCTGCCCTGAGTTGACTGCAGTTCTAAAATTTTCCTCCAGCTTTTATTTTTAGAAAACTGTTCTCATTATGCTGCTATTTTCCTCATGTTTTTGTTTATGCTTCCTCAGAAGCAAAACCCATTTTAAAAGCCAAGAAAGCAGGGAAAGCTTTATTTTTTAGGAGTTGGTGTGGGATAAATTCAACTTCTTGGACGTTTAAGCACTATTGAGTGTGATCAGCTGTCTCTAAATGCCAGTAGAAGTTCTGGATTGTAAATGTTCCCCAAATTAGTGAAATAATCAGCAAATATGATCTTTCTAAATCAATGTTCAAAGGATTTATTATGTAATTTGGTCTACAGAACATTACTCAGCTTGGAAACAATATTTTAGAAGGTGTTTGATCTTGATCCACTGCTTATTAAAAAAATAGCAAAACACATTTTTTTTAAAAAGGGAATAAGAATGTTTTTAAGAAGTTCTGAAATAACTTTGTTTGTTCCCTATGTTATTCTTTGCAAGTATTTATGCTCTCTAACCAAGAAAAGTGAGAGGAAAAGATGGTGAGAATATGCTGACTTCTACTGTAGTTTTTCCAGCAGTGTGTGTTGTACCATAGAAGAAGCTAAGAGCTTCCTTCCCCTGTTAACTTATGTTTGTTTGTATAACACATTTTAATAAAGTGATTATTAGGAGTTTCACCTCTTCTGGAAGGAATGGTCAGCTGGGAAGTTATGTATGGGAAATACAGGATACCCCATTTGCTGACTCCTGTTTTTTTCCAGACACTTTGGCACATGTGCATTGCCTCCCTTCATTTTCCTTTTTTGCTTGAAACCCCAAGGAGGAGATGGAAATGTCATTTAGTATTAATTTTCAGTTTACAGCCTGGAATTTTTTCTCTGTATTCGGTTCAGTGCAGTGGAAGGGTGTGTACAGTAGCACTGCTGCTGCCATTTGCATTTCAGTGCACTGAAGTCCTTATGTCCTAATGGGCTTTGCTGTTAGACTTAACAGCTGTGCCAATGAGAAAATGTCATTACTAACCATAGGAGAGTATTACTTATCTAGTAATATTTTAATTACTGCTGAAAGCCCTCCTGTCACTTTTGTGGTGGTATGTCCAGCAGCACTCCACCCCAGTCCTTCCCAGACTGATGGGCTCTTCCATGATGCTCACTACCTTGAGATGGGCTGTTCCAGTTTTCTCTTCCATTTTACTTTGCCTGCTGAGTAAATTGTTACTGGACCAATGCCTGGACCAAAGTCTAGACTTCAGCTTCATTAGTACACAGTTAATAAGGCTTACACTTTCCACCATGGCTTTCCTCAGAGGATAATCATATCTCTCCTAAAGGGAAACTTCTTTGTTCTTGTTGCTTTATCTGATATTGTTAAGCTTAGGTTTCCCAGAACATTAATATGTTTACACTTTTTTTGTTGTACTATGCCAGGTCAAGTGCTTTTCCCAATTATCCCATTGTAATTGGAGTGCCCAGGGTTTTTGATACTCTGCTAGCTGCAAAGTCTTTTTAACAAAGTTTTGAAAATGTTGGTGTGAGCAGTCATGAAAACTCTGAGCTGGCAGAGGTTAAGGTGCTTTATCTCTGGGTAGCTGATTATAATCCTAATAGAAAAGTAGGGGCTGAACATCACAAGTAGTTTTGGACAAGCTAGTGGTCTAAATTCACTTTGTAGTTTCTTCCCATTGCAATGTGTCAACATGTGTTGTTCTAAAGACTTCCTTAATACAAGGTCTGCACATTGATGATGCTTTAATCTTACTATGGTAGTGTGCTTTGCCTCTTCCAAAAGGAAGAAGTTGTTCTATCGTGTTCAAATATTTTTTTTTCCTTCTCACAACACAAAAAGAATAATGCTTCAGCAAAATCTATGTAGAAGGTTTTACAATGCTTGGTTTTCTGCATCTTTGCCTGGCTTTATATGGGAAACACTATGAACCAATGTAAGACATTAGGTGTGCTGCCTCACTTTTGGGTTTGTAGAAGGAGAGAGACTAGACCAACATGATGAAAGTTGATCTAAATTCTCACTGTGTTTGTTTGCATGTTTAGGGAGCTCTGGGTGACCGAGGGCCTCCAGGGCCACAAGGCCCCAAAGGAGTTGAGGTAAGATGAAAAAATTATCCAATTAAGAGATTATGTTTCAAAGTTGTGAGGGGTTAAGAGGGTTAGACAACGATGGTTAGATGTGCATGGTGTTGTCAAGCAAAATTTGAAGCCTCTTTTGCATTTTGGCAAGTGTTTTAAATTTTTTTTTAGCAGCCTTATGGGGATATGCATCCATTATGTGGTTTATTTCAATTTCAGCGGAATCTCATATTATATATGTCCAGAGCTGTATGTGGTTGTTTTAGTTAAACTGGGGAGATGGGAGGGAAGGGAATGGGAGCTGTATGGAAATAGAAAACATATACCAATTTAATTACAGTGTCATAGATACTCCTAAGTAAACACTTAGACCCCTATTAACTGAAAGGAGAGAAAGGCAGTTCCTCATCTTATAGATTCATCAAGTATTCTTAGTTCGTCATCATAAAAATAAAAGCTTATATCTTGAATGCTACAAATAATTAATATTAAAAATAATTTAGTTGGTGGTTCTGAAGGTAGAACTCTAGACTTCTAAGGGGCTAAACGATGGGCTTCTGTGCCAGATACTGAGTGAGTGAAAGCACAGTGGTCTGCTTCCAGGTGTTTCTATCAGACTTGAACTCAGGCAAACACACATGAAGCTTAGGATGGTATAATAAATACAAACAGTTATCTGCAGACTTTCTTTTTTAAAACTGGACTTGTTATCAAGGTCATTGAAGTCCTGATTTCTTTTAGGGAGAAGTGGGACCAGCTGGACCTGTTGGAGTAGTCGGCCCAAGAGTAAGTATGAGGAATTTTGGTAGGGCAGGCTGTTTTTCAGTAGGAATACTGCTTTGAAATGTAAGTTTACTGTGAGAAGTGATAAAATGGCATCTCCTGATTGAATGTGTGTTTTTCCTCAGAACACACTCAAAGCAGAGCTGGGAGGGGAAATTATTTTCCATACAAAGGGTTTGAAAGGAAATCACTGCTATAGTGCACAAAATATAATGCTCCTCTGAGACAGATGAAACTGCCATGCACCTCATAGGGACTGAACCAGCTGATATATCAAAATATTTCAACTGGGGAAGAACCTACTCAGCTCACAGGGAGCAATGTAAAGGATGTATGCTTTAAGAAATCTACCAGAAACCTGGCAGATAGTTACTGAAAACAATAAAGCTGCAAGGTCACAATAAACATGCTGTTTATGCTGACATATTTTAAAAGTTAGCAGCTTAAAACCATCATCCAATTTTTTTGTTAGTTATAAAAATATACTATTGTCTGAGAGTATTTCAGTGGACTTGAAGCTTATTTTTAGAAAATTTCTCTGCTAAGATGGATACTAACCTGCTCTAGGGATTACAGGAGTGTCTCTAAGTTTATTGAGTGCAATTTGATCATCTGCCTTTACGTGATTTGATTATGTGTGGTAATCACTGACTTGGCTTTCATTCTGGATGACTTCCCATTTCTTGCATGGGTTTGAGAGTCTTTTCCACTATTTTCTGCTTTTGGAGTGGATATATGCATATGTCATTTTTCCTGTTCAGTAGCTAGTCAAAGCTGGGAATTTGCTTTCTGTTAAAAATTATATTAAAATATTTATTTGCCACATAGATTAGGTGTTAAGACAAACAAACTCATACCAAAACAAAAAAGGCAAAAGACCAAACACACAACTTTCCTACAAAAGTCTCTCTGTTTTTCAGCTGAGGAAAACATGCAAAAAATTAAACAGAATTTCAAAACATTCTGTGACTTAGTTCAATATTGAGTTTAATCTGTCTGAGCTTCTGCCAAGAGCCTTATGGAAATTTTTATTTTGGCTGTATCATTCTTTGAATCTCCTCCTTGGGCAGGGCTTCATGGCTGGACAGCAACTCCCATGTTGTGCTGTGGCCATTGGAAAGGAAGATGCTGCAGTGGGTGACTCATGGGCAGTGAGACACCACCTTCCATCCCCCACGTCACCGGCACGCACAGGCCACCATCAGCCGCTGTCAGAGTGACCCAGGAGGAAACATTTTTGTGTAACCTAGCAAACTGAAATATGTTTTATCTATTTTGGGTCAATTTGACCCAAATTATTAAGGTTTTTATTTCTCTCAGTGGGAAATGTGCACACCATTGGCATGTCTTATGGCTCTCTGGTTTCTTTCTCACAGCAAGCAGCTGAGAGCAGAGTATGTGCATCTGAAGGGAGCCCTAGGGTTGCTGGCTCTAGACATTTTTTAGTAGCTTGCTGGCTAACATACTCCTGAAATGAGAGATAGGGGAAAGGGAATTTTGCTTGATGGGCAGCTCTGCCTGTTTTTCTTCCTTGTCCAGGGGCCCAGAAGCTCTTGCCTGGTTTCTCTGGCTTCTCTGGACTCCAGCTGTTTCACAGCTCCAGGCCAGCTTGTTTGTGCTGCTGCTCTGCACTCTGCTCCCACCTCTGCTTGTCCTTGGTGCTGCCCTCCCACATGTGACACACACCAAGTGTGTGGGTGAGAGTCACAACCAGGGCTGAGATCTCACACAGTGTAGCAGGACTGAGTCAATAAGCTGCTGAAACACATCTGTCTTTTTAAATTATGCTTGCTTGACTGCAGTTTGATGTTCATTTGGTTTACATAGCTTTTGCTTCCATCTTCAGTGAAAGGAGTTTTAAGAAGTGGATATTGCACCTGAAAGTAAACACTGTCCCAGCTGTGTTGTCACTGCACTCATTAAATGGCAAAGGGGGCAGAGGAGGGACCTGAGGAAGGGGTCTGGCCATGCCTGGCCCCTAGGCACCACCAGCTGTCAGCTCTGTCTTTAGCTGACAGATATGTTTCAACTTGTGTTTTGCAGCCTCCAGGAGTGGGAATTCTTCATTTTCCTCATCAATCTGCTTCAGTTGTTTTCCTGGTTTACAGTCCTTTTTTCTAATGTCTGGCTGTTTTATCTGGAAGTCTTGCCTGTCTTTTTCTCACTACTTTCTTCTTGCCCCACAGGCTTTATTTGTGGGCAAGGTTAAATAGGTTTGTTCTCTTCTCAGCCACTGTTACCTTAATTTGCTGGGGCTTGTCTGAGGTAGGTAAAGTATCCTTGTAGGTGATGTACTGTAAACCCTTCATTATTCTTGCGAAACAATAGCAGAGCAGGTTTCTAGTGCTTCTGGAATCCTCATCTTTTTTACAATTTCTGGTCAAAATATCCAATCCCTAGTTCAGGTTTAGGCTTGTGGCTAGCTGGCAGCCATAAAATGTCACCTCATTTTTCTCCCTCCTCCCTCCCCTGCCCTTTTTTCTACCATTTGCTTTTAAAAACATGAAGGAGACCAAAGACCTCTGGGACTCTCCTGACCAGTGCTGCCATCAAAACAGATCATCTTCTGCTGGATCAGAAGTGAATTTGAACCTGTACAGGGGTTCTCAGTCCCCGCTCAGAAAAGAATTTCCAGGTGTCTAAAGCAAACTGAGGATGTTCCCCTGCTTAATCAGGATGTATCTCAGTTCCAAAGACCTCAGTCTGTCTCAACTTTGGAAGAGGTGTTTGAGCTGAATCTGTTCACATCATTTGATATTTCATGAATTCCTTTCCAAACCTTCCTACCCATTCTATTCCAAAATCAAATATTTACATTCTCTTAAATTAATCCTTCTACAATGAAAAAAAAAAACCACCTGATTTTTTGGTGCTTATTTGTCCCATAAAACTACAGGAATTGCCCTACTAAAGATGTGTTTATTCAGTGTCCACCCACTTAACCCTCTCTCTCAAAGGCTATCCAAATATTAACACTGTACTCTCAGTGTAGCTCAGCTCACTCAATTCAAGCATTGGTCCTTTTTTCTTTTTTTAATTTCTTCATTGCTGGAGAAGAAAATGCCTTTAAAAGAGTGGAGATTGTTTTAAACCAGAAAGTAAAAGGAACTGTTGCAAGGTGATTCCTTTCTGAGCTATATGTGTTAAACAGAAGCTGGAATTTATGTAGTCAAAAGATGAGCAGTTTCTCCTGATGGTAGTGGAAAATGTTCTCAAATCTGCCCCACACCCCAGCGCAGTATCTTTTGGAAGTGCCTGCCTGTGGGCTGAAGCATGTGGGAAGCCTATGGAGGGATTGAAATAGAGTGATAGTGAGAGATATTTATATCCACACCTGTACATACCAGTTGTGAGGTGAAAGGAAGCACACTTGGTTCCTGTTTCCTAAAAGAGAAGGGTAGAACTTGCAGTTAATATTTTAGGAAACAGACATTTCCTTCGGGATTGCCCGCCCTGGAAGAGTAATTTTCTCAGGGGTTTGCAAGTAGAAAAGCAGCCATCCCTACTTTACCCTTCTGTCAGTGACTTTTCCTCCATGTGTAAATGTATTGTATTTCTGTTTAAAGCCAAATCCATGTGTTTCAGATTGCTTTACCAGTTAAATCCACTTGTTCCATTTTCTGATCAACTTCCATCTGTTCTATGTCCTTTGCAGCTAGTATATAGCTGAGGAGTGACAGCCAAGAAACCTTTACAAGCTGTAACTCCAGTTCAGCTCTCATAAGGCTTAAAATTATCAAGGCAGTTTATAGGGGCCACTGCTTTTCTTTTGATGAATTTCACTTAAAGTATTTTTATGTTACAGTCTTGCTGTATAGAAAGACCATAAGTTTCTTTACCGCAAAGTAGTCCAACAGTATGTAGTGACCTGCAGAAGCCCATCACTTGTTTTTTGTTAAGCCTTGTGGAAAGACACGACTTGATTTATCTGATTCTTTCAAAACTTCTCTTCATGGTCTTTCCTCCCTACATTCTTGGCTTTTCCATATATTAGTCTATTGGCAACAACAAAAATATGTTCCTAAAGTGATTTTATTTATTGGAACTTGTTGGGCAGAATGAAATCACTCAGGTGGGCAAAGAGAATGAGAGTAATAGAAAGGGATTAACACAAGAAGTCATGGAACCTGCTGAGATAATTTAATACCATTTTATCCATATAGAGAATTTCTCAGATGCTCAGAAATTAACACAAACATACTCTGAAAGACAGGAACAGAGCAGCTGAAGCAAAAGAGCCAAATGAAAAAAAGCCATCTCTTTTTAAGAAAAGTTTTATTATCTGTTGCTTTACTTGCTCTTTTCTCAGTTTATATGGAATGGAAAACTTTTACTACAGACTCTGGTGATTCCAATTATTTAGTTTGCTGGAACAGCCACTGGTCATTTCTTTTTAGGACCCATCTGCATGGTTTTGATAGTGAATCATTAAAATGTTGAATTAATTTTCTCTCTCCAGTTGTCAGCCTCCAGCAATCTCATCAGCAACTTGCTCGAGAGCCAGGTCCAGTCCCCTGGACCTTTGTTTGCTGGACCAGGGCCTTTTCCTCAGAGCAGATGGGGAAAGTTTGTCTAGGCAGGGCTGTGCTCTCCAGATAGACAAACGGTCAGGCCATGTTTTATGTGGTAGAGGAAGTAAAGTATACTGGGACGGAAAACAATTTCTTAAAAAGGAGACATAATTACAGTATAAACATCTACTTGAAAATTAAGGGGGAAAGCTTTCTGGTTTGTGTGCTTTTGTGAGTCTATGTGAGTGATGACAGAGGGAGGGATGCATGTTGTGAAGTGCTTCAAAGATCCTGTCCCTTTGTGATCCTGCTCTGATTGATGTTGCTGCATTTCTTCTGGCTAGCAGTGCTATTACCATAGTATCATGGCAACCAGATCTGTCAGCAGCAAAATGCTCGTGGAGAGAAATGAGGCTCAAAATCATCAATTTGCTGAATAAGGAGAGGGTGTTTGAACTGATTTTGTCTGGTTCAGGAAGGACAGTTATGACAGCAGTCCCTCAAGTCTAAGCATCAAATTTTATTAGTGTTGAGTCCCTGTTCTGCTGGAATTAACCGGGAGAGAACATTGCCTTGCCCTTTTTTTTGTTTCCCTAATATGTTTTTTCAATGTGAAATTGAAATGTGTTTCAATCTTGGATTGTGACAGTTTTTCCTCAGTGTTAACTGCTGTAAGACTTAATACAAATTTTGCTTACTGCTCCAGTATTTGATGAAACATTAAACAATGTATTTTCAGATACAGATTTCTAAATACACATGCTTAAAATTTTTATATTAATTATTACTAAACTGTACATTTTTAATGCATGTATTTTGATAAATGGATAAACTGGGATGAAATTATCTTTTTGAAATAAAATATTTACAATATTTTATTCTAATCCTTACTTTAGGGAAAGCCAGGACAGAACGGTTATGTAGGTGACCCTGGAGCAGAAGGTTTGAAGGTAAGTGATGGTTTTATTATGAAATAAATAGAATGTATTTGGAATAGAGTTATACACAGCTATTTACAGTGACATACCAGTGAAAGCACACATGCTTCCAAAGAATATAGATGTGTATCATAATGATGCTTCTGTTTCTAGCAAGATCCCATTTTGAAAAAGGAGAAAATCATGCAGGAGGCAGGATTTCTAGGAGACACGGATGTGTGAGCAAAGACTGCACCTGCTGAAATGAAATTGAGCAGCCTGGGAATGTGAGGGTGCCTGAACCAGGGGGCAACTAGGGGCTCAGGGCAGTTCCTACACTGGCAGGATTTTGGAAGTGTGAATGGGGATGAGATGAAGGGCTGCTGCTCAAAGGAGGAGCTCCTGGCAGCAGAATTTCCCAGTGGTGACCTGCAGTCTGCATAAACAGTGCACAAATAACTGTTTATCATTATTAGATAACTGGATTGTAGTCCCAGCCAGATAAGCAATAGTGCTTACACACCCAGCTTCCACCTGTGAAACACACAGCAGAATGTTCCAGTTATGTAACAGCGTTATTTTTTGGAGAACAGAATTAATCAGTACTTAATGACAGTTTCAAGATTTTGGGGGAAGGGGGAGAAGTTTTTTAAAATGTCATTCAAATGTCGATTTTCCTAATATTTCATAACAAAATTACAGTAATCATTAAAGTGGACAGGCAATATCTACTTTTAAAGCAGTAGTGAAATAGTGAAGGTATTTTGCTGAAAGCCTTAAATAAAAATAGAATAATTAATTTATAATGTTTGCTGACCTAATGTGTTTTGTGAGCACTTAATTGATAGTTTTTATTTGTGCAGGCAAATCCTGAATATATTAGGACATCATTTTACCAGATCAAAATTAGCCACTGACAAAATTGGTTTTGGTTACTTAATTTTAGCTTTTAAAGTTTTAATTGGCAGATGTAATTTAGAAAATGAGGAGGCTCCTAGGAAAACAGAGGACTTTAATATACACATATGAAAGAAATTACTTTTCTAGTGAACTCAATCATCTGTTTTCTGCATTTAACAGGGAGAAAAAGGAGACCAAGGAAGCCTTGGAAAAACTGGTGAAGCAGTAAGCTTGAATTCTCTTTCTGGTTTAATTTTTAATTCTGTTTTATTTGTAAGCGAATGAATAATTGGTTGCAGACATTTCTGATGAAGTTTGCTGTATTCAAAGCTGTAGTATGTCAGTTATACCTTTGTAATGTTTAAGATTCATACTCTTTAAAGAAATTTCCCATTTTAAACATTTTCCAAAATTAACTCTACTTTTCTCCCAGCATGTTGTGTGAATATTGCAGGTGGTTGTAGGGATTTTCCAAGGCATGTTCATGTAAGTGAGCAAGTGATCCTTTTCCACTGCATCATTTGAGAGGCTGCGTTTAGCCTGAGATGAATTTTGCAGGCTTGTTCTGTCTCTGCTCCATAAAATCACAGAGCTCAAGGTGACCTTGTAGTGACACATATCCATCCTCTTCTGCCTAGGCAGGATCTGTTATCTTTGCATAATTTCTGACAAATATTTGTCTAACCAGTTATTAAAAGGTTCCAGGACCAGGGCTTCTCTATTTTTTAAAAAGTTCTTTCACTTGTGTAACCTGATTCCTTTCTGCTGGAAACAGCATTTTACATATGGTGGTTGTTATTCTGTGCCTCTTTCATTCTTTCTTTTCAGGCTTAACAGTCCCAATTCAATTAGCCTGTTATGTTTTTGAGATAATTTAAGTCACATTCTAACTCCCTGTAGTCTGTTTCCAATTCATCCAAACATCTGTGACTCCAGCTTACTGCCCAAGCTGCTAAGAATGCTGAGAAAGGAAACATTGCTTCCTACAAGCCTATTTCTTGCATAGATGTGCTCCCTTTTACAGTAGTGTGTTGTTATTCAGTTTGAGATCCACAACCTCCTATCCTGCTTTTTTTAAAGGCATGATCTCTCTCAGTTCTTCCACTGCAGGTGCTTTTTTAGTTGATAGTTGTCACTGAAACATACCACGTTGGAATTCTCTCTACTTCATCCCCTGCCCTTCTGTAGTCAGAGTCGGCTCCCCATTGTCTGCACAGCACTGAGCAGATGTACCTGAGGCACCTCATCTAATGGTTGGTGACTGCAGGAGTGGGACAAACTGCTGCTGCTCAGGTCAGCTCCACTGGGCACTCTGGAGGTTGTGCTCTGGGGAAGGGCACTGAGAAGCTGGACTCTGTTAAAAGCATCTGCTGACACAGGAAGCAGCAGTGCCATGACATGCCATAGGGTCCCCTTGAAAGTCATGCAGCATATCTCTAGGGGTGGCTTTTATTACGTGTGAATTCTGTTTTTCAGCCTGTGACACGTTAGGGGAAACTGTTAGCATTTACTATGTTGTACAGTGCCACATGCACCAAAACCCTCAACAAAAGACAAATCTAGGCTCAATCTCGAATCCTTACATCAATACTAGTACGTGAAACAGCCACAGAACCTAGTTACTTAACTTTCTGGATTTGACATAGAATTTTTTTTTTTGCTCCACAGTGGGCTTGAATTCAGTGGACAAATTTTGCACAACTCAGATATTTTGTATAGGCATAATGTCTTTCACCACTAGAAGAGCTCCATTCTATGTAGTAATTACTAGCTCAAACACATAATCAATGATGATACGTTGCAGTGATGTTAAATAAAATCATCATACCAGCTACCTGACTATAGGTCAGGGGCAAGCTGCAAGAATGAAATAATATTTTCTATGCCAAACAAATCCTGTTACAGTCTTGTAAAGAAAGATAATTATGGCCAATCATTAATTGCCATTTTCCACTTGTGATATTTGGAGAACTTATCGTGTGCCATTCTGTATCACATACCTGAAAACCTAAATAGTTTCTAAGTTATTGATAAATATTTCTTTTTTTTACCTGTGGATTGTAGAATATCTTCTGCTTTATGTACATTTATCTAATCAAATGAGCTTCATAGGCCCTTGATGTGTTGTTAGCTTTGCATTATCTGGCAGCAGAGGACCAGTGCCCACTACATGATCTTTAGGGGGATAATATATATTTTGTTGTCATTGAGGCCAGTGATGAAACACCAAGAGGAGACACAAGCACACTCAACTCTTAGACCTTTCACAACCCCTTTCCTTCACCTTATTCACCACTGCAATCTGTAACAGTTAAACTTTTCCAAAAAGAATTGAAAAGTACTAACAGGAAGAATATGGTTTTTCTCATACGCATAAAATGCTTTTCCAGACCTGAGTCCTGATGCAAAATATTCGCTTCTGTATGCTTTGGACACAGACCTTGCTTCCAGCTTCTCAACAGCTTCTGTTTGTAACAAGTAATTTCTCTTTCCCTTGGCATGCGCACGGAGTATGGACTTGTTAATTCACAGATAAATCCACTCACTGCTATTCAGCATTGGCTCTGGTGGCATGAGCACATCTCTGGAATCAAACATGCCACACACAAACAAAAAAAAAATTTGAAAACCAAAGTGCAAAAGCAAAGTACAAATGCTACCAGCCACTGGGACAGATTTTGAGATGGAGTCAAAGAAAGGGGCATATCTGTCCTTACTGATGCCTTGTGCAGTTTGTGTGCTACCTGGTGCTTGGTGACACTAAATACAGAGAGGAACTGTACAAATAGCAGTAAAAAATGTGCAACTACTGTAAAGTTTATTCAATATTAAAGATAAAGGGGAAAAGAAATTGCTAAAATGTTGATAATAAGCCCAATGTCTAAAGAATTTTGTGTATTTGGTTTTTCCCTTCTGCACCGCGACCTCACCAGCTTCTCCTTTTGGCTTGTCTATGGTTTTTCTGTTTATTTATTACATCTATGGACAGACTTCTTCAAATTACAGCATATAACACATATTTTCAAGTCCATGGTTAAAATATATTGTACTGGTTCTTAGCAGTGGGGAATCCATCATAGCATTCCAGTTTTCCAAATGACAACTAGTGCATTTCCTGAATAAGCTGTCCAAAGAAGCAATTTTGCAATCATAAATCCTGTAAATGCTGAATTCATTGAAAATTATGCCATGACCACATGTGCCTGTCTGCTAATGATACCAAAGGGTTGTACCAATATTTTTCTTCTGTTTCTTTCAATTTGCTTACTTCCCCTGGTATCATCCATCTCTTGTCATTGACTAAAATGTCTGCAACACCTGTTTGAGGTGCCAAAATAGTTATTCCATTTCTCTAGCAGCTTTCCCAGGTCCTGCGTAATACCTGCTTTGAAGAGCACAAATGGCAAGTCTGCACAAGCAGGGAAACTTCAACAGCAGGAGATTGGACTGTAACACTTGGCTTTTCAGCCCAGAAGGGTGGAATATGTGCTGAAATTCAGCTCTGTCAATAGGATAGAAGCCACAGCATCCAACATTTCTTAGGTCACATGAAGCGGCTGATTCCTCAGAGCACATTTCTGCCAAAATATTTCTGGATGCTTGTCCACTGTGGAAACAGAGTAGACTAAATTTATGAAATGTTCGCTGTGCTCATAAGCATAAATGACACACATTTAAGAGTAGACCAGGAATGTGCTTCAAGTCAGACTTCAGACACTATTCCTTAACCAAATCCTACAACAAAAGCTGTTTTTCTGGCTACAGCATATGTTGTGTTTGTTTAAAGGCGAAGGGAGGCAGATTGAGGTGGGGCTGCTTGGTGCAGCAGAGCCCTGAGCTGAGGTAGAATCCAGCAGCTGTTCCTTGCTGCAGGATATTTGGTTAACTTTCAATAAGTCCAATTGAAGAGGGATTGGTTAAGATAGTGAGAACCAAGGGAACAGCAGACAGAGCAAATGTACACTGCTGATGAGACAAAATCTTTTGGAAGCCATGCCAAAAGAAACAACCCCTTCAGCTATTGAGAAAATTCCCCTTATATTTTGGGGAGGAAATTTTTTTTCTTTGCTGACATGTGCAACTGGATGTTTTTATGTTAGATAAATGCAGTTCAGTGATGGAGAGCAAATATTTGAAACTGATTTCAAGCATCTCATACAAATGATCAATTTGCTAAAATTTGTTAAAGAAATTGAGCCTGTACACTTCTGAATTCGAAATCCTTGATGTTTGTACACACATTGAGACAGAGTAGAAGGGTAGAACTGTCAGCTGTAGTATGTGCAACTGGTGTCAAAAGGCAGAGTTCATGAACACAAATCCTGGAAAAATAATCTCCAGAAATTACATGTCAGCAAATTTCCCTGGTTGCACATAGTTTTTGAAATAACAGAAGGAAACCAAGCTGAAATAAAAAGTGCTTTGCCATGAAAAAGCCCTTACAGTGCAGCAAAGGAAAAGCAGTGATGTTCAGGCTGTGGATGGCAGCTCCAGAGCAAGCTGCAAATGATCAGTCTGCAGGAGTCTGTGAAGGACAATAAAATACTGCAGTCAGGCCATGTGCCTTGTAGCTGAGCTGCTTTTGGGAAGAATTACCATAAAGCAATGACCACATCCTTCAGAGGGGTAAAAATCAGCTGGATTAGGCACCAGGGATGTATAATTCAGGGAGAATGGAAACTGCAGTTTCTTCTGCTTGAAGAAAAGATTAAGTGAAGTTTAACTGATGTGTTCAGGATGCTCAACAGAAGGAGTTGTTTGAATTATCCTGAAAAGTCTGGGCTTTAGGGATATACAAAAGAGAATTTTAAACCATAGGCTAAAAGATAAGTCAATTGAGGAAAGCCTTTTTTCCAAAGTCTGGTGAGTGCATGGGACATTGCCAAGGGCTTCCAAAGAAGGAACTGCTCCAGCTGCTTTCAGAAAGCAGTTGGATAGAGATTATTGTGGGTTCTATGAAGGACTTAACAGTGAATGGCAATAAAGGTGCTTCTGTGTCTTACCTTGTGCTTGTTTCTACCCCAGGTGACCTGATATGCTATAGCTCCTGCTGAAAGGAGTGCAGAAAGAGTTACAGTAGCTAGAAGTTAGCTTTATCAAGCTGCTGCTCATTTTTCTTGAAGGATTTTTTGCTAGTGGTTCTTTTTATCATTTTGGTTTCAGCTGTTTTTTAGGGTTCATAGTAGTACCTGCACATGATATCTGCAGTTCAGCTTCCAAAATTTTGTCAGTGAGCACATCCTACCCCCACTTAGTCAGGCAACTTCCCTTAAATGCAAGCATTCCTCTACAGGTGCTGTCAAATAGAATTACCCTGCTTTACACTGGAAGCAAAATTTAATCCATTTATTTATTTCTTAAAACTGCTGTTGAGTAGGTGATTGGTGCCAGTACATTTTGCCTTTCAAATATTCAGGTAGTTGAGTTTTGGAGTCCTTTAAAGAATGGAGTAAAATATCAGCTGCAAGGTACAAATATGGTGTATCTCTGCTATTATTCACTTCCTCCATTGGCCATAGCAAATCACAGATTTTCACTCAGATTATCACCTCTGGTTGGTTACAAACCAACTTTCTAAACAGACAGAAAATTAATAGAAAAATGTCATTGTGACAAGATAGTATTTTAAATGTATTATGTCATCTTATTAAATGAATGTTGAATAAAGACGTTTGAGAAAGCTGAACTGTAAATGAAATAGCACTGGATTGGAAAATTTTCAATTATCACAAAGAGCATATTAAAGTACAACCTGGCAGGTAACTGCTGCCATGGTAATATTTGGAACTAGCTGTATATTCATTTCTCACTAGCAGGTTTTTCAATGGATTACTCCATACTTGAGTTTGCATTAAGTGTACAATGTGTTTTCAATTATTCAGCTGCAGTCCAGTTTCTAACACAGAGCATGTGCCCTGGCAAGATGTTTTTGTCTTTCTCAGGCATGTGTTAGTTTGTGAGATCTGGTCTTTGATTCATTTTCTACAAAATGCTCCTGTCAAGAAGGTTTCTAAAATGCTGTTATTATGCTGCTATTTTCACTGGAGACTTTTACACAAGTCCTTGTAAACGAAAGTTGATGACTGTTTTTTTAATAAGTTGCTGATTTCTTTTTTTAATCACTTCAGGATTTTTCCTTCACTTTTTTGTTTTCTAATATATTCAGTTTTCTGTTTGGAATCCATCACTGCTCCCCAGAGGATTGAAGGGATGCTGGAAGACATTGATTCAACAGATCTGCTTTGGACTGTATTCATTTTCTTACATAAGATGGAGAGAGAGCTGGAACCTCAATCCAGTCCTAGTAGCTGGTCTTTATAGCAAGCCAGTCCAAATCTGGGATTTCAAGAGACACATGATCTTACAGAAAGTCTGTCAGGGATGATGTAGGGACATCACTTTATGGTTAATATGTTGACAGAACAAGATGTTTTGCTCTCTGTACTTTCTTTTCACTGAATACTACTAATTGTTTGAAATCCAAGATTCTATTCTTAAGTAAGTATTTTGGTGCTCTTGCCTGTGTGCATACCAGCCCTAGCATTTTCTCAGTCTCAGATACTTGACCTCTGTTTTGAATAGAGGAATGGAAGAGCATTTAGTTAACCTGTCATGAATTTCTTTCGCCTTCATATCTTCTGAAGTCCCTGTTGCTTCTAACATTTCACTGGCTTCACTTCTAGTCATCTTGACTATTGTTTTGCTTTTCATGGATGTCCAATTCCAGGTATGCCAAGTTTCTTTTACATCTTTTTATCAGCCTTCTTAGTGTTTTTACCATAAATTTTCTTAACTACTTTTGAGGAATAGCCAATGTATAAGAAACATTCTGTTTAATAGCCAGCTTCTGTCCTCTCTCTGGAGGGTGCCATAGACTTGTGCTAGGGCACATTCACAGTCACTGCTTCCTAGTCATTGCTGCTCTTGCAGCCCAGAGCAACCAAATTGGGAAGACAGTACTTCTGAATTGAAAAAAGAACCTGAGCAGAGCTGTATATGAAATGATTCACTGCTGGGGCAAGGCACAGCTCTCCATCTTTCTGATCAACATCTTCAGTCCTGCAAACAGCATGGCATTGGCCATGGGTGGGAGATCAGGAGTGTCTCTGTGGGGAGAGAACAGGTCTGAGTTTCACCTTGGCTCTAATTATGTATTCTGTGCTTTCTGGAACAGGGGAATCAAAGTGATTCATCTTTAGCGTTTTGAAACTGTACCTCCACACCTCTTACCTTGATAAGCAGGAGCACAGGGTAATTCTTTGTCTCACAGCTTTCTGCCTGCTACTGAGGCCTACTGTTGGCTCTGACTGGGAGCTCTCACTCTCAGAATCCATCACAAAAGTCCCTGGTTGCTGCCAGTGACGTCGGGGCCATTGCCTCAGTGCCAGTATCACCAGGACCCATCTCTGGCTGCTGCCAAGGCAGGAGACATCTCAGTTCTGACATATAATACACAAGTTCCCACACATCATATATCAGTCCAGTGGCCATACAGGTGCCTGCTTATCTCTTTAGTTCCTTCCATAAAGTAATTTGTGCCAGTATTGTCAGCCTCAGAAGTAGCTGTATCGCTGGCTCTTTGCCATGTGTTCAAACTGTGGGATTTCCAGCATAGCTAGCAGTCCAAAAGAACAAGTAATCATAAAATCTCTACTTACTTTGCACCTGTTTTGTTAAAGGACTTGAGGCTGAACTGTATCCAGATTCTACAGATAAAGACTGCATTTTTAATTTTCTTAAGTAATGCCTTTTTTCTTTTCCAAATTGCACTTCAATGCCAGTGACGTGCTACTAATGCTAGTTCCTTCTTGCACACATAAAGATGGCAATGCCAATGTGTGAATTGGCATCGCTTTCTCTTTTTTTCCTTTTTAAAGTGATATAGGCATCACACAGTTGTGTGTTATATCACTACTGGGAGCTTCCACATTTCTGCCATGTTCCCAGAGCAGTCCTGCAGTTGTACTCTGAGCACTTAGTGCATTTTCTTCAAGCTCATTGTGTCATATTTTTCTCAATTAGAACCTTGTGCTATAATTTCTTTTAGCTTTCATAACAAAGTAGGTATTGTTAGCACTGGGAATAAGGTTTTTAAAAGTACTTCCTCTCCTGTTTCCCATCCCATATGGTTGTACTTGTTCTATCCAGTGGAAATTTGTGAGAGAGCCTCCGGAGAGAATTATTTCATTTTTGAATGCCTGAAAGGCTCTGATCCTCTGACTTCAAAGGCATTTGGGGCTACTACTTTTGAAGGGCAAATTCTGACAACACCTGATCCAATATAAGTTTGTTTTGACTGCATATTTCTTTGTTCCACTGAATTTATTCCCTTTGAAATTTGTGGTCAGTCTGAAGCACTAGCAGAGCAATTATCACCTTTATTTGTATGTTTGTGAAGCTTTTAGCAGTGCAAGGTTGAGCTGAGTGGCAGATCTAAGTTGGTAGGGTGGCATTGTGATGAAGTGGATGCAGTTTCCCTCCTGGCAGCAGCTGTTTGCTGTTGGTGCTGATGCAGGGTCCCTGTGAGCCCCCACTGTCACAAGGTGCCCCTTAGGCTGACATGGGCTCTCTGTGAGAGACACATGGGCCCTGCTGTGTCTCACAGGGCTCTCTGGGAGGGAGAAATGGGCCCTGCTGTGTCTCACAGGGCTCTCTGGGAGGGAGAAATGGGCCCTGCTGTGTCTCACAGGGCTCTCTGGGAGGGAGAAATGGGCCCTGCTGTGTCTCACAGGGGTTTCAGTGAGGGAGAAATGGGCCCTGCTGTGTCTCACAGGGCTCTCTGGGAGGGAGAAATGGGCCCTGCTGTGTCTCACAGGGCTCTCTGGGAGGGAGAAATGGGCCCTGCTGTGTCTCACAGGGCTCTCTGGGAGGGAGAAATGGGCCCTGCTGTGTCTCACAGGGCTCTCTGGGAGGGAGAAATGGGCCCTGCTGTGTCTCACAGGGCTCTCTGGGAGGGAGAAATGGGCCCTGCTGTGTCTCACAGGGCTCTCTGGGAGGGAGAAATGGGCCCTGCTGTGTCTCACAGGGGTTTCAGTGAGGGAGAAATGGGCCCTGCTGTGTCTCACAGGGCTCTCTGGGAGGGAGAAATGGGCCCTGGGGTGTCTCACAGGGCTCTCTGGGAGGGAGAAATGGGCCCTGCTCTCTTGCTGTAGAGCTGCTGACCATGAACTAGTAGAGACATCATGCAAGCAAAAGTCTCCTTTCTTTGTATACAGGGATCAGCTGGCTTACCTGGAGAAGCTGGGCCGTCTGGAGACCTGGGTGAAAAGGTATAATAATGGATCTGACTGCTCAACAGCTTTGAAAACCATTGGGGTGGTAAAGTACTGGTGAGAGATCATTTACTGACACTGTCAGAGCTAATGTTCCTGTAGCTATTTCAGAGCATGGGGATTTAAAAACCTGTAATCCAAATGCTCCTATATGAGGTATGTATCTGATATCCTTGATTTTGCTTCACAGTTAATTTGGAGTTGACAGATTTGATACCTTTCTTATATCACTTTACTATACTGCTGTTGTTTCAAACTGGCATGAATTATAATTATTTTATACAGTACTCACTGGTTTTGCACTCCTACATAATGAAAACAGAAGTAGAAAGGTAAAACTTGGCTGCATACATTAACTGAATCAAAAAGACAAGCCTGAGTTTTGTCTGCTGTGCAGTAACAGTTGTGTTTGTGAAAGCAAAGCCTGGCAGACTCAATGTGACTAGAACAGTATAAATAGCTTAAGTGTGTTTGACATGGTTTTATTTAGGTGAAGTATTTTAAAACTGAAAACTAGGAAGTTATTACTGGACTGCATGTCAGCTTCAATTATGATAAAAACATAATTGTTTGTCAGAATGATGCAGCACCATTTGTATTTCTTTCCTGCATGGCTGAATTATTTCACCTAGACTAGTGTCTGCTATTTAGATATTTTATTGAGGAAGTCTTAATCTTCTATTAGAAATTCACAGATTTATATAATCTGTGAAAGGAAATACATCAGTGGAAAGCCCTGTTTTAGATTTAGACAAATCTTTTATGGTTTTAGTGATAAAATCATCTTAGAATTTCCTGTCAAAGGATTCTTGTTCTTCATAATTACACTTGGCCCAAAAAGATTACCTTGTGATACTGCTGCTAGCTTAGCTAGGAGGGGAAAGGCAGTAAAAGACTAATTAATTTATCATCAGCAAATATAAGGAAGCTTCTTCATGGTGCAATAATTGTCACTGCAATGCTGTTTCTATAGAATTTATTCTTCCTCTCTTATGGATTAAGTAGTGCAAGGTAACACGTGCTATGTGGATTTAAATGACAAATGCATTTCCAGCATAATTACAGTATGCAATATAAATTAGAGTGTTATTACTATGTCATGTGCACTATTTGTACTAAAAGTGTAATCTTCTGTGGATAATCTACAGCTAAGTCTGATATTTGGGCTGTATGTGACACAAATGAAAAGTGAAAAGGTATGGAAGACTAGAAGACACCCTTCCTGCTTCCCCTGCTGAAATTGCTTCATCAGCTGTTGAAGGGCTGGCCTTCCTTTTGGAGCTGTGCTTTCCTAGCACATGCTGAAGAAAAGAGGAAGAGAGAAAAAATATTGTCTTTTTTCTTTGTTTGCTGTCCTGAATTTTATGGATTAAGGAACATACTATAAATATGATGCATGCAACAGAGAGAAAACATCTTCTAGCAGTTCTCAGAGACTGATGTAGTCAAACCTCTTCTTCAGTCTTCTAGGAAAAGAAAAGACAGAGAAATTCAATTTTTTCAATTTTTTTAAAGATGAATAGGCTTGTAGGAGGAAAGAATACAGAAATTCAAAAAAAAAGAAAAGTTAAAAAAGGTCTTTGCACTGTTTCTGAAGGGCAGTCTCTCAACCAATAGTGTGATGCACTGACAGGTGTGCTCAGTGGACATTGGTAAAAGGGGAAGAATATTCAACGTTCTTTTCTTTTTCTTCTCTTTCTTTCTTGTTAAAGGGTGAGAGGGGCAGTCCAGGACCTGTAGGTCCTCCTGGAGAAAAAGGTGTCATGGTAAGTTACAAGTAATGTAAAATCCACAATTATGTTACTTATAAAAGCACTTTAGTCTCCAAAACAGTAATAAGTTCTCACCCTTCTAGCTGTGCAGACCTTATGGGAGAGCAGTATTTGTGATGCATGGTCCCTACAAAGTTTCATTTTATGGCTTTATCCCCTCTGCAGCAGTGATTGCAAAGTGATCTGCTGAAAGAAACAGCAGAGCAACTGCATTTTTGAAAAATGGCTCTAGGCAGGGAAAATTAAAAGGAGGGAAAGTAAAATAACCATTTCCTGTGTAAACCAGGGTGTAACCCAGGCTATTCTAGTAGACAGAGTAGTAAATATCATCACCTCTAGTTCCACTGCCCAGCACTTCCCAAAGAGCTCCTGGGTGCCGCTCTTGTGGGGCAGGACAGGCCTCCTGGCCAGACCCCTTGTCCCAAGGCAGGACACAGCACTCCATGCAGCCCAGAGGTCACTGCATGGAGGGCTGCTGGGCTGCAGAAGTGACACACCACACACATGTGCCCATGGCCTTGTTGAAGCTTTCTAGAAATGTGCTGCAGGCTTGGCTGTTGCTATAATAGCAATTTAGATAAAACTGTTCTGTCTTTTCTGTTTATTTTAATTCTAGGGCTATCCAGGACCTCCAGGAGGCCCTGGACCTGTGGGACCAGAAGGATTACCTGTAGGTATAGGGTGGTGCTTTGGTTTGATGTAAAATGAACTATTTTCAAATTGTCTTGTTGCTTTGGTGAAGCTAAGAATGGTTTCTAGTTTGTATTGCAATCTATAAAACTGTCATGAAAATGCACATAAGGGCAGAATCTGTTCACTTGCTCTTTGCCAGGATGATCTACGAGAGAGGGAAAAATAATTATATGATTTACTCATCCATTTAAAAATCACTCCATTGAGACAAGTTGGGAAATGAAATTTTGCAAGGATGGTTAATAATTGCATAATATTTTTAAAATTCATTGGTGCCTAATACAGTATGAATAGATTCATTATGTGTTTAGTTTCATTATTAATAAAAAATAAATTACAATCTCTTGTGTATAATTGATATAATTTGTCTACCATGGGTCTTCAATGCAGATAGAAACAAACCTTTTTTCAGAAAATATTCATGCTTTTTAACATAATGTTGCTGAAATACAAGTATCTTCTAAAAATTTTGGGATAGTAGAAGTAATCTATCCAACAGTCACATCAGTGTTTTGTAAAAATAATGTTACATAGAGTGTGTTAATTAGATTTTTCTACATAAATTGTACAAACAAGATTAATTGAATTTGAGCTATGAGTGAAAGTGATTGATTTGTTTTTCTTGCATTGGTTGTTGCTCGAGGTGTATAAGCCTTGTAATTTTGAGGAACCTGTGTTTAGAAGCCAATGAATAATAAGTTTGTTTGACATGTAGGGACCTTCAGGGGCACGAGGACCATCAGGGCCACAGGGACCCAAGGGAAGAAGAGTAAGTACCCATGCTCCTTGTGCTCCTTAGAGCAGAGCGGTGTGCTGCAAAGATTATTCTGGAATATAACCCATTTACAGCTGCTCCCTGTGTCCTCTGCACTGAACTCCTTTGTACTGAAATCAGGTAGATTATTCTTGTATTTCCATGCAGGAAACAATATGAATCTTCATTTCTCCTCACAGTGAAATGGGCTTTGCCATTGGTGTCAGCTGAGAGCAAAACTAGAACCAAGATGACCTCTTGACTCTTTTCTGTACACAAAAACCTGCAAAAGTTGTCATTTATAACTACCACTGGACTATTTCAGTGTTTTAAGGACAATTTTCTTTACCTGCATTTAGTTCCTTGGAAATGCAATCAAAGTCTCTCAAAGACAGTTTTGAGGGAGGCAGAAGTGTAATCAGAAGTTACTGTGTGCTAAACTTTGAACCTGCACTTGTCAGATTGTCATTTCCATTTCACTTTTATCAGGGAAATGGAAACCATTTTCTCACTGAATACAAAACCCTGATCCAAAGCCCACATTAGTGATGTGTCTCTCACCTCACCTACCAGTTTGACACCATATCCATGATTCCTAAGAGACTTGTGCAGCTCATATCAGGGGCTGCACCAGGGTGTCTTCACAGCTCCATTTATTCCTGATAAATATCTCTATGATTTTGTTAGCACATCATGGAGTATAGTGCTTATAATTAAAGATCACTCAAAATAAATCCCAAATATCCCGAGCTCTGTGAAAATCCAGTTTTGGAGTTGTGGTTTATGCCTTTGCCTCTGCCCAGCATGACTGGGAATGTCTCATGAAAGAGTCTCTCAGAACAGACCCAGGTCCTCAGGCTCTGAGAACAAACTCCCACTGAGGCCACTGAGAATTTTTTCTGCTCTCAAGATCAAAATATCAGACCAAAAGTGGAATCTCACATAAGGAAAATATCTGAGGTGCCCTGAAACCTGGGGTTTGTCATCTCTGGCTTCAGAAGAAGTGTCAGAACCCAGAGGTCTGTGTGGAAGGCCTCAGAAAATGCATAGCACAGTCAGATACAGCAGTTAAATGGAAGCATATGGAAACTTCCCTTCATTGTGTGTGGAAACAAGAATGTAGCCTGTCTTCACAGCTGGAATCTGTGAGAAGTCTTAGAAACACTGACCCTCTGCTTGTGCACTGTCACAGAATGGAATTCATTCACTTCATAAATTCTGGACCTTTCAGCAATGGTTTTGCATCCAAGCTTACCCAGCAGCTCACTCCTGTCGGAGAGTATCCAGCTGTTCACTCTGCAGTTCCCCAGGAGCTCTGGCCAGCTGAAGGCAGCCTGTCTAGGAGCCTATGGAGTACCTCCTCACCCTGGGGGATTTCAGGGAATATGCCACTGAGCACAACGCTAGCTCAGACCTTCCTCAGCTCATGCCTGGGACTTGATGCACTTGGCTAGAATCATGTGGAAGGTTTATTACACTTTATGTTTTTAGTATTAATCTTATGAAAACACAGAGGGAGAGCACCCTTTGTAGATACTTCAATGGCAGAATGCCACTGAGGGTGAATGTATCAATATGTAGGAGAAAGAATTTCTTTCCATGACCAGAGGGAAGAAATGAATTAGTCTGGAAACCTGGCAGTGTAAGCAGCCATGAAGTCATTGTTGCATGACCTTCTGTTGTCTTTGCTGATGTGACATAAAATACAACATCAGAGACTGCTTTCACTTCGTGCCACAGTCTTGGACTAACACTGCTGTAGCTCCTAGTTTGAGAGGAAGAGATTCTGTATCATTAGACTGATTTCATAAGTGAGACCTAGGCAAAATTCCCAACAGGTGCTAAAATTCTTGGCATTTGGTATTCTTCAGATTGGCATTTGGTATTTTAAAGCTCAAAAGAAGTCATTTTCTGTTCTTACTTTCCTGGAATACAGATCGTGAAGTTTGGACTTGAAAATGCAGAAAAATGACACAGTGAACTGCTGTAAATTTAGGGTCAGGCAGCAGCAACCCCTGTCTCTAGCAACCAGTAGGGTCTCCCTGGCTTAGTGGTGTCTGTACTGCCATGAAGAACCTCAGCTGCCTGAGGACATCTGTGCTTTGTTTTAATGAGTGATATCTTTCATATTTCTCACAGGGAATATGGAACTTAGCAAATTGTGTGCACTTGTAAAACAAGTGTCCAGTATCCAGGGTGGTTCATTGATAGCTGAATGTTTATGTCTCTTAATTGTTTGAAGGAAGTGAGAGTAAATTGATGTAGTTTTCTAATATTCTTCCATATCAGCCACCAAAAAATAGTAGCTATATATTGTGTTCGTGTAATTTCTGCTCTTCTGGTATTTGGGAGACAGGATGAGAAAGAATAAAAATAGTTAAATTGTGCTTTTTACCTTCTTAGATGAACTTTTTCTCAGATGATCATCCTAGAGTTTTCAGTGTAAAATGTTCCATTTTAGAAACAGAGCTGAACCCAGGCCAAAGAAAAAAGCAGTAGCAGTCATTTGGCAGCCTCACTCCCCAGCTCTCTTGAACCTAATTTAAATAACAGCAGGCAAATCAAGTATATCTCTCATTCTGTACTAGCTATAGTAAGAAATTGTACAATCCAATTCATCTCTGCCAATAGGAGTCACACCATACTATTTATAGGAATGTTATTGTGTGCTTTTGTCAGGATATTAAATTGCCTTTCCCTTGGATTCCTGCCCTTTGTTCTGTGGCTGGCTAAAGGAAGGCATGGCCCAGAGGATCATGTTGCTTGCTGTTACTTTGCTTTCAATTCAATGTTATATAGTAGAAGGTTGGTTGACTTTTTTGCTTAACTATTAGTGATCAGATCAGTTGCCATGGGCTGCCAGGAACTCCAAGGTGAACTTGAGGTGAACTCCACTGAAATGGAGATCTGTGTGAGTGCCAGAAGGGTTTTGGTGTGTTATGTGCATAACACAGACTAAGAATCTTGTTCAGTCTTCTGACAGGCCTGTTTCTCAAACTGCAAGCTATGGTCCTCTTCATGATTAAAACTATGTCAGAAGTGTTGAAAGACTTTATCTGGTAATTCTGAATGATAAAAGATAAAACATAGAAAGACAATTCCTTATTACACAAATCTGTAAAATCTGTCCTTTTTCTTCCTTGAATATTTTATCGTGAGATTCTGTCCTCTGGTCAGCCCTGTGGAGAACACACAAAGAGAAATGACAGGTCACATATCTAAAAAGTCTGAGAAAATCTAAAACTATCCTGCAATTGCTTAACTTTATGCTGTCAATTTCCCCCTTCCTTGTGTTGCCTTAGGTGGTTCCTCCATGGGTCTTCCTTGAGCTTTTGCCCCCTCCACCCCCACAGCTGAATGACCTGTCCTTACTCCATCTCAGTCTCTTCTTGTCCCTTCTCCTCCTGTTCTTTGAGACAGATCAGAGAACAATAAACCTGCCAAATCTGCCCTGAATTTTCATCACAACTGATATGTGTGTTACAGATAGCAGTGACAGAAAAAAGTGAAGAGCAGTAACCTGAAATTTATTTGATCAATATGTTTAGCCTTTTTTTTGAATTATGCTATGTAGCAATTCAACAATTGAGTTACACAATTGCATAATCTTAACATGAGTCCCAATATAGATGTTTTTATAAAAGCCTCCTTCACCTTTGAAAACACCAGTAGTGTTTTGTTTCTAATCTCTGAGGACACTGAAGTCACAGACTTTTTTTCTGTAGACTTCAGTATTGTTTGGTTTGGGACCTTTCACATTGAGTGCCATATGGCAGCTCAGTCTTGTCTTCTGTAGCCTCTTTTCCTCTCTAGCCCAAAGAAATGCCTGTAACTGCTCAGTCCTGGCTTACACCAGAACAGAAAAGGTGGCCAGACTAGCCCAAGGATTGGCTCACAAAGCTGTATCCCAAACTATAGAGTATTTGGTACAGCTCTCCCTGCCTGCCCTTTTTCCTTTTCCTATGCTTTCTGTGTTCCTCTGTGCTGGCCAGAAGTAGCAGTGCTGAAATGATGACAGATGAATTCTCATGGCATATTTCTGGCTTTGCCAGGGTTGTGGTTATATATCAGCTCACAGGAAAGGCCTGTTCATGAGACGTTTTCATTTCAGGAGAAAAGCCTAAATGATTCTGGATACACACTGTTCCTGAGTTACCAGTCAGCCATTTTCCCTTTTGCTCCAGAGAAAAGTGTTCCAAGGGAGATTTTGATATTGATCAGTCAGTCTGAGTCAGAGAAAACAAATTCTGGTATGTTTTTTCTCAAAATATTCAAGGGAGATATGGAAGTCACTGATATTTTTTGGAGGGAAAGTAAACTAAATTAACTCAGATGTGCTTCCAACAAAGTCATTTTACAAGCCCCTATTATTATCATTTAGAACAGTTATATGATTGAAAATCAGTCATGATTGGATGCCCTTCACTATAAACCATGACCTGAGATGTCAGGTTCTCTACAACTCAGAAATTCACCATAGAAATGGAGACTGTTTTCCTCTAGGCACTGCCATAGTAGTGTATTAACTCCTTCTGATGCCAGCCCAGCCCAAATGCCACCAGGAAAGTTGTTATGTCTCATCCTCTCAATGCACACTGCTGTAAAGAGCCTGTCTTGATACTTATCTAGCTCTTCCTTTGAAGTGGTCATTAGTTTTAAGTTGTTATTAACTGGTTTTAATTTAATGCTCCATAACTAAACAGTCATGGTTTTTAGAATTATGGAAACAACTTCCTAATCAGCATGGATAAAATATTATTTTCTATTTTGCTCATGACATATTTAAGGATTTTTCATTTGCTTGTAAGCTTATGAATTTGGATTCCCAATCTAAATAATAAAACTCTGAATGTTTTGGCAATAGGTATTTGCCATATTATGCTACAATAATATAACAGGCTATCTTTGTTCATCTATTGCTTATAAAAAAAACCATTTTACTCTAACAATAGACCACAATAGTTCACAATTATAAATTTCTTCTAATCTTGCCTCAGACTGGTTTACTAGTGAAAGAGTTTTATCTTTTTTTTTTAGTCTTACTAGCAAGATTAATTTTTGTATATACATCTTAAAATGTGCTCAAAAGCAAGTACTCTATATATCCAGTGATCATCTAAATCCCTCTAAGTCCATGGCTGTTGCTTGAGTACAAGGTGGATGAAAAAAAGAGCAGAAAACATCACCCTGCCATCTGGCTCCAGCAGGGACACTGAATGTTTTGTTTACATACTTTTAAAAAAATCTGTCTTCCTAAGATCATAATTCAACAAACCAGAAATTTATTTTATTCTTTGAAACTTTATTTCACACTTGACTCACAATGAAAATTGGTTTTCCTGCTAACAAAATGTTTCCCCTCTCCTAAAGCTTATGTAGCATCTCCTTAATGACAAGCAAAAATAATGCATAATTAGTATTCCCAATCACTTGTTCAATATTCAGGGGCCAAGAGGTCTCGATGGTCCTCCAGGAGAACTGGGAACAGAAGGTGTTAAGGTGAGTGTTTGCGTTGCTCAGTACTATATAAAACACTGAGACAGACCATAACAAAGAAAAGTAAACAAACAAAAAACCTCCAGCTCAACATTGCAGAAGCCAGTGATTTAATCCAAGAGATTTGCAAATTTCTGGCTTTTCCAGGTACATTGAAGCATTTTCTGTAGTTACCCAGTGTTTTAACTCACAGTAACTGCGTGCAGCTTATCAAGCAAATGTATGTAGAATTTACACATTGTTTGTTATTTATCAGGGAGAAAGAGGTGATCCAGGAAAGAAAGGAGTCCCTGGGCTCATTGTGAGTATTGGAGCCAGTGCTTGTAGTAAGCTTTAACACAGAAACTCTGATTTCTCAGCTGTGTTTGGAAATTACTTGAAGCTGGCATTTTCTTTTGATTTTTCTCTTTAACCAGGGTAAAGCTGGAAATCCAGGAGAAAGAGGAGATCAGGGTGCACTTGTGAGTATGGCATTCACTAGCACTTCTAAAAAAAAAAAAAATCCAGAAAATCTCATACTTTGTTTGACACTTAGGTATGAGGAAGTTTATCTATTTCAGAGCAGCTGGAAAACTCTGACAGTTTGCATTTATTCATACAAAGAACCAGGGACAGAAGTGCAGTTTTAAGGATGAAAGTCTTTGTGACATAGAACAATCATTCTTTGATAGAATTTGGAGTAGGTCTGTGTTATCAATGTAGGGATAAATGTAGAAATGTGTTAAATGAATATCATGTATAGAAGAAAATTCCTTCTTTTAGTGCTTTTTTGAATGGAAATCTAATGTGTTCTATTTGAGGCTTTTTTTACAAAGCAGGTTATCATTCAGTCCAAATTGTACTGGATTTTCAACAAAGAGAGAAGCAAAAAACCAAAAATAAAGCAGGAATGGTGGTGATTTTGTTCTGCAGTTGAAACTCAAAATGTTGATTTTCCCCATACTTCTCTTGCCTCTTCTGCTCAGATTTAGGAGCTTGTTGCCTCTCACATTTGACACAAGGGGTTTTCATTTCCTCTTCATTCACTAGAACTTTTAGATGTATTTATATTCACAGAAATAAATGAAGCAAAGCTTCATTAGGCTGAAATGATGTGTAATTGCATACTTATTGCAAAGTTCAGGATACTGATGAATTATTCCCACAGCTACAGTTTCTAGAAGACTGTGAGAAAGAAATGCTATGAGAAAGGTTGAGCAGAGAGAGAGGTGTGCTGTGAACCTTCCTGATTATCTAAAATACAGCCCCTAGGGCAGTTTGGACACACAAGCAGCACATGGATCTAGGGAGAATTACAATGAACTGGTAAATGGTGGCTCAGCTAAGATCCATTTGTATGTAAAAGAAGCTTAGGAAGGACTTATTCCAGTGATATGTCAGAGCATGTCAACCGGAAAAAAAGGCCACACATATTTCATGGGTGTTTCTGTGTTAGTTACTGTGTGAGCACAAACAAGAGAGGAAGTGGCTGTGCTCAGACTATGAAGGGCCTTCTTTCCAGTGATTTTTTATTTTATTTTAATCTTCCAGGGTTTGCTTGGGCTTCCAGGAGCCACAGGAGATAGAGGACCAACGGGAGAGCCAGTAAGTTGATCCTTATGCCTGCTCAAAGTTTTTCCATGTATTTATTATACAAGCTCCCTGACAACTCAAGCTCCATTTTACTGAGATCCCGTATTTCCAGCTATGGTTAGGTAGGAATTGTGGGGTGATTGCTCCACAACTGCAGAGCTGGAGTCTGCCTCCCTTGCTTAGTGTAATTTGCTCATAGAGAGCTGTTAATCTTGTTGGGAAGCTCTGTAGTAAAGGGGGCACAACACAAGAGAGCATAACAGAGCACAGGCCATGATATAATGTGGCTTTACGCCACATTGAGGTAGAAATCTGTGTTATGGATTAGGTAAATGTATGTGGCAATACTTTAGTGGTGTTTTTTTAGGCAAACATGAAGATTGTTGTTCAGGAACACAGGGACCACATCTATTTGGCAGGTTAAATTTTCAAGAAGAGGCTGCTGTAATAAACCTCGGACATTCCTCTGCTGGATGGATTCTTGTTACTGTGTCAAAGCCTGGCTCACTTTCATGTGGCTGATGTTGTTACAGAAGATCAGGAAGAACCTGCAGCAAATAAATGCTCTGAACTGCAAGATACAGCTGTGACAGGAATAGTATTGCAGCACCATCTCTGGGGGAAAATCGGATTATGTAAATACAGGAAAAGAATATATGCTGTCTAAGTAGGATTTGGGAGAAGGCTCCCATTTTCTGGTGCAGAAATCTAATAGAGTGGTTAAAAATTGTGTGTTAACATTGCTTCTGGAGAGTAATTTTGCACAGTAAATTGCACATAGTTAATTTAAATCTCGAAAGTGAAATGTTGATAAAAATTGTATTAATTTTAGTTTCATTAGTATTTAGTATTTTTATAATATTATTTCTACTAATCCATGCTTACAAAAGTAATTACACATTTTGGGGGCTAGAAAAACCCCAACAAATTTTCTTTAGGATAGAATTTTATATTTAACTTGAGCTCCCAACCTGTAGGAATGGCAAAATATTTCACAGAAAATGTGTTTCTTCCAATAGTTATCACTGGATTCTTGTTCTTTCATCTCTTTCATTTATTATATCTTATCTTCATGTTGCAGCATCTGAGAGCCTTACAGTGAAAGGTTTATATGTCAAATTCCTGCCATTTTCTGGCCAAGTCTGAGTTTTCATATCAATAGCATGCCTGTCTGCCTTACCTAATCTAAGTGGTCTACATTGCTTTGTGCTCACCATCATAGAAACTACATGTTCACTGTCAGAAGAAAAACTTATCCTGTGAACGGGATATCTTTTCTATCAAGTCCTGAAAGAGTAAAATGTCTTCAGAAGAAGGTCTGTGGAGCTAGAAAGTGATAAAATGACAGAAGATATTGCACAATAAAATGCATGGCTCTTTTTTAGCTGCCTATCCAAGCAGCTTGATTTCATCCTCTGTCAGCTGGTCACTGTGTGGGAGCCAGCTGCTGAGCTTTTCTGGCCCTGTCACCAGTTCTACACAGAGCAAAAAGCCCTAATTGTTGATGCAGAAGCAGAGAAAGATGAGCAATTAGAAGTATTTGTATTAACAGGATTGATCTAAATTGCACTGAAACTTTATCTACTTGTCAGACATTTCAGTAAAATACTTTGCAAATTACCTGATAATAATGGTTAAAAGGTGTTCCCATATTGCTATAAAATTTTGGTTTCTGAAAGTCTTGGGAGAAAGATACATTACTGATCCAGCAGCCTTATCTCCATGGTAATATGAAGAAATACTTGATTTGTGAAGCAAACTGAAGCTTTGTGACACTTGCCTAGTGGAATTTCATGGGGTTTCTGCAGATGAAAATCAATTAACTTAGTTTAGGACAAAGTGAATTATCAAAGGGAAGTAACTGCAGTTGTAGTTGTTCATATTTAAATGAAGATAAAAGGTAAAATAGATGCATCTGCTGGAATTCTGTCAGTAAGATGCAATTTACATTATTTTCAAAAGGGAAGGGAATATTCACAGGTCATCAGGAGGAGCAAAACCATATGCAGAGGCTGTAAGAGGAAGTGAGACAAAATAAGAGTAAATATTTGTTTAAATGGCTTCTGTCATAAATAGAAGCAGCATCTTTCTTTTACATGAGAATTGTAGATCAAGAAAATGTTTTGAATTTAGAATGTGTTTAGACATAGATGAGTCCCAAAGGGATAAATAGATATGAACTTGTAGGAAGTTCAAAGACTGGTTACATGCAGAGAGCTCATTTGTCTGGACATAGATTCCCAGTGGCTGTGGAATCAGCTGTAAGCTGTTACAGCTTCTGCTCCCAGCACACAAATCCTGCTCTGTGAGCTCAGATCTTACATGTGCAGAGAATTTGAGCATGCCACTTTGGGAAATGATCCCTGGCTGTTACTGCAGTAAATTTACTCCTTACATGTAAGGCTTATCATAAAATGCTTATGCTGTAGTTATCAATGTTACTAAGAAGCCTGTAGTCTGTTATGCCTCAGTGACTGTCCTGTCCATGGTGAAATAGTTGTTTTCAGCTAATTCCATACCAGACTGTAGGCTTTTTCACAAAGCAAACCAGACAGTCTGACAAATCTTAATTAAACAAAGTCTCAGCTACTCAAGAGAAGAGCTTAGTTCAGATAATAATTTATTTTTGATCTAAAAGAAAAGACATCTGTGCTATTATTTGAGATGTTATTTCAGTGCATCAAGGTTGGTACTGTATGCCATCATGGGACTTGGATACACTGTTGGATTCAGGAGAAGGGACAATGAAATACATTTCTTTATTCCAGTTGGAGGAGTTGTGAAGAGACAAATTGAATACTCTACAATGTAATTTAATATTAATTGAATAATGCATCCAAAATTTTGTTTAATGCCAGGGTCCAAGAGGACAACCAGGGGATGCTGGCCCTATTGGAGAAACGGGTTTTGAGGTGAGATTTTAATCACTTATCTATCAGTTACAAATACTTAAACAATTGACTAATCCTGGACAATATGTTTATAAAAAAATTTTATAAACCTGCAGCTGACTTAAATATCCTGAGCTTGTCAGAGACTGTTACTTAAAGCTGTTACCAAAGAATGTCTAAAATAAGTAGCTTATTCTGTTATAGGCACTGTCTTTGAGCATATCGTTATGACTTTGTCATAGAAGGTGAAGGTTTAATTGAGCAAACAATTTTTTTGAAAGCACTGTTCTCCTTGCAGTTAGCAGTAAAACACCATTAATCATATGTTCTTTCAATTTGTAGATAAAGGAAAGCAGCTGTAGAAAGCTGAAGCACTTCTGCTTCTGTTTTTTGCTTTATTTTTAATATTTCATTGAGAGAAATGTGACAGAATGTATTAGCAGCATTTGTAATGAAGTACCTGAGGGATGAGCTCACTTAGAGCAGTAGGGATTTGGCGTATTCAAAGAAAAGCTCTTCCTCAGTCACCCAAAATCCAGACTTCTGACTTAACTACCAAGGTTTCTGTGTAAACTTTACGAAAAGCAGTCTGATATCATCAACTCATTAGGGGCTGAGGCCTCCAAAAAGGGTTCAGTTCTCCAAAGGCTGTGTCTACTTGGCTCCAAGCCTAAACAGAGCTGAAGTTGTCAGTCAGATTTGCAGAAGATAGATGCTTGCTCAGCAGTAATTTATGGTGAAAGGTACAGGCTTAGGGGTACTGCTGAGTCTTCAATATGTTCCTGACCCACACTGTATTTCCTCTACTCTTTCTTTTGTGTTTGGCTCTAGAAAAAACAAATAACTGTGTTGTCTAGATTTGATTTTTCAGACCTTCATCTTTCCCAGTGTCTCAGGCCATTCAGCTGCTTTGTTTTTGGGTGTATTATTTAGTTGTTGCAAAATTATTACTGTGATCATGTAACAGTAGCTCTTGTACCATGCAGGGACCTCCTGGTCCTGAAGGAGAACCTGGTCTGCAGGGGGAACCAGGCACAAAGGTAAATGTTGAAATTTTTCTCTCTTAAGATCTTTATTTTTTCATATTCTCATAAAAGCAAATCAGAGAGCTCTGATTCATTAGCCAAGTAGACAGTGACAGATCATTAAGAAATAACTGTTACTGTCATTATGACTCCATCAGCTGTAAACCTGTCATTGTTACAAATATTGTCCTTTAAAGTGGATTTTCCTTGTGACATCCAGGGAGACATTGGACCTGCTGGGAAGGCTGGAGAACCAGGTGATCAGGGTTTGAGGGTAAGCTGTGGATGCATATCTTCTTCCATAACAGAGAAGTTACAAATGAAGTGCAGGTTGAGAAATGTTGATTTAACAGAAGAATTCAATAAGAAGCTTTTTTCTGATAGCCTCTTTTTTTAAAGGAAAAAAAAAATCAGTGTAATATTGTAGCAAGGTAAAAAGAGTATTGACTGGGGAAGGGTGGCTCGAGAGCTGCTCAGCAGAAAGGGCCTTGGAGGTGCTGGTCAACGGCCCATCTGAACATGAGCCAGCAGTGCCCAGGTGGCCAGGAAGGCCAATGGCCTGCTGGCCTGTGTCAGCAATGGTGTGGCCAGCAGGAGCAGGGCAGTGAATTTTTCCCTGTTCCTGGCGCTGGTGAAGGTGCACCTTGAGCTTTGTGTCCAGTTCTGGGTCTCAGTTCAAAAGAGGACATTGAGGTGTGGAGCATGTCCAGAGAAGGACAATGGAGCTGCTGAAGCACAGATTTTGGGAAGCAGTTGAGAGAGCACAGGTTGTTTAATCTGAGGAAAAGGAGGCTCCTTTCTCTCTACAACAACCTGAAAGGAGGCTGTAGTGAGATGGGAGTCAGTCTCTTCTTTCTGCCAGCTGACAAATGGTAGAATGGATGGCCTTAAGTTGTACCAGGAGAGGTTCAGATTGGAACCTTCGGAATAGAAGGAAAATTTTCACTGAAAGTGTGTTTAGACATTGGAATAAGTTGCCATGGGAGGTGGTGGAGTCACAGTCTCTTGAAGTGTTTGAGAGGCATCTGGGTGTGGCACTTGAGAATGTGATTATGGTGGTGCTGGGCTGATTGATGGTTGGACTTGATGGTCTTGAAGCTTTCTTTCAACCTTGATGATTCTGTGTGATTCTGTGATTATAATGTTGACATATTTCTAATGGTAAATGGCCCTACAGAAAACATACCAATATACTAGTTATCCACATAAACATGGAAGTTTCAGGACAGAACTGGTATATTTCTGAGGTTACTGTAATTACATGTTATATGCTCTGAATCCAAACAAAATTTCAGTGCCACTGTCTAAATCTCCAGGTTTATATGGGCATAGTGTTGCCTCATTTTTCTAATGCTGATCATCTTTTATGTTTTCTTGCATTGGATATTCATGGGCTGTGACACTGAAGATAAACTTTAACAGCAACTAAAAGTTTTCCAAGGGATAATAAACATGTATAAAACTAGTCAAGAAATACAGGCAATAACTTTGTTTTCAACTGTTTCTTTCTCTAAGGGTGAACCAGGGCCTCCAGGAGAAGACGGTGTTCAAGGAAAAGATGGCCCAAAGGTACATTAAATTTTTGCAGCAGATTTAAAGTACTCTTATTAGCCTAAGGACCCAAATCTCCTGTTTTATCCTATGTCAGTACCAGATCAACTAAGCCCATTGAGTGCACTTAGTTTTAACACAGGAGGTCCTGTAAAGTACAGGGTTTTCTGTATCTTTTGGGTACATACCTGGCTTGCAAGGGCTGCAAAGCTGAGTGGCTTGACAAAGAAAAGCAAGTTTTACCTGAGTACAGCTTTTGTCTGTGGTGGCTAAAGTGCTGGAAGAAGCAAGCCCAAGGCTGCTCTGCTCCCCAGATTAGATCTGTGCTGTGCCAGGGACTGTGGCAGGTGCCAGCACAGGGGATGTCATAGAGAACAATCTCAGATACTTGGTGATGGATGAGGCAAAATGTGGCTGTAGGAGTGTAGGAATGGGATAAACAGGGCTTTACCCTAACTTAGAGCCTGATCTGAATTTGACTGGTAAGGTTCACATCAGTTTCAGTGGGCTTTTTTCAAACTCAGAGATCCAGAATTCTCTTTTCTTATGAACAAGTAATTCTGTAGAAACAGGCTGACTAAGGGATTTTTGGGGTTTTTTGACTGTGTTTTAGGGAGACCCTGGAGACCAGGGACTTGTTGGAGAAGGTGGTGAAAAAGGAGAGAATGGATTACCAGGAATTGCTGGGCCCCCTGGTGAACCTGGCCTAATGGGAATTCCTGTAAGTGTTTTCTGGTTGAAATGGACTTCTTGCTTGTTTGCTTTTAGTAAACAAATTTAATTTTTCTTTCTTCCTTTATTTTTGATTTTCCTGCTTTTCTATGTAATTAGAGATGACTGTATTTAAATAAGCTTCCAGTGTGGTTCAAGATTGGTAGAGAGAGGAGACAAATACTTTTCCTATCTTAAATATGGGACCTCTTGGCAAATAGTGATTCCTCACCATCTGTCATCCAGACACATGTACCACACAACCTGGAGCCTCTTACTTCAGCTCTCTCCTCTCCAAACAATGTGGCATCAAACATACACAGATCAAATAGTAGACAAGCACTAGAATTCACAGACAACATTGTTAGATCAGTTTGCCTGTTTGTTCTGGCATCACTCCTAGCAACTAAAATCCATCCATGAAATTGTATGCAACTCCTTCATGGGAACAATTTTGGAGCATAGCTTCCAAAGCTAGTATTGTAGCTTTAAATCAGACCAGCTTCCCTTACCAAAAACCATCATGTTCTCATCTGCAGTCCTCTGGCTGCCTTCTGTGCAGCTCTTGTGTGATGGTGGGGTCTGACTAAACATTGCTTGCAGCTCCAGCTGTTCATGGCTGGGAGCACTGTCCACTCTGTTCTCTAAGTATCAATGCTACATTCTGCTGTCTTTTGTCCTGGGCTTTTCACTGTTAATTGCTTTTCTAGGAAATGAAAAAAGTGTTCTTTTGGTTGCTGGCACCCTTAGTGTGCTGCAGAACAAGTTTTGTTTCTTTGACTCTATTTTGAATTGGTAGTTTTGGGGAACATTGGAAGTTTCCTATGTTGAAATTATTGTAAAACAGCTAAACCCTGGCCTACGCTTTATGTAATTATACTTGTGTACAGTAATCAACATCAGCAGTGTTTCTGTGCCTCAGTGAGACAGGCAGGTCTGGCAATTCGATTTTTGGGAGGATGTGGTTAGGGAGGGATTTTTCATGTTTTTGTTCTACATGTTCCAAAGGCAGCTGTAGAGCTGCCGCCTTCTCCACTTGTCCTCCCTGGCATCTGGGAGTGTACACATCACAATTCTGGTTTGACCTCATTCTAGGGATGCAGACAGATCATAATATCCTAGTCTAAACATGGAAATCATTTTCCTATAGCCTATTGTCTAAGTGTTTCATTGGAGGTGAGAGTAATACTACATTTTCCTTAAACAGTAGCTTACAAAGCAATAAATAAGCTTCACAAATCTGTAGAGTAACATTTTCTGTGTGGACAAGATTTAATGGTTTTTTTCACCCTTATTTGCAGTGCATTTCCATTGCTTTGATAAATAATCCCTGAAACTTGCCCACTTGTTTATGCTATAACTTGAGACAGCCCTACTAACTTGCTTGAAGACACAGTTAATGACATTTTTCCTCCCACCTCTCTGCTTTACCAAAGCCTACTTAGTTGTGCATTTTGGAGCAGAGGTTAAACATGTTTCCAGGCCTTTCTCAATCATTTCTTTTTCTCTCCCTAATAAATCTATAGGGCCCTGAAGGAACACCAGGAAATCCAGGTCAGAGGGGCCGTTTAGGAAAGAAGGTAGTATTTTTCATCTGCCCCAGTTCCCTTCCTTTTATCTGAAACTCAAATTTACATTACAAAATTCCATTGAACCAAAACTATCCCTGTTTTGTGTCATGCTTCAAGCCAATTTTTTACTTGTTAGCCATAGCAATTAGAATTGTCATCATTTTGCAATCAATAACATTCAAGGTCTTAGGAAATTTAAATTTGTATCAAGATGTGGTTTTGCAACTCAGAGCAGTTTCTGCTTCAAGCTTTGACTAAAAGAAAACAAAGACTTAATGAGAAGGCTCTAGCAGAGACTCTTTTATGCTGCAGAGTTCTGAGCTCTGACATTCTAATAACTACAGTAAATACCATACAGTAAATGTCATACCTATTAAATAATGCTGTTACACATTTTGATTAAGCATCAATTACATTTTGAAACTTAGTGTCAATCTCTTAGTATTTTTAATACAATAATACCAACAGGGGGAAAAGGGGCAGCTTGGCCCTCCAGGAGAAACTGGACCTGCTGGTGATTCTGGCCAACCTGGAAAAACTGGTCCTAAAGGTGCAAGAGGAACTCGAGGTCCCGTGGTTAGTACAAAACATTCTTACTTACAGAAGTCTTTCAGCATCAGAATGAGACCTGTTCACCTTTCCAGACAGAAACCTGGGGCATGGACGTGGAAGGAGCCACCTCAAGCTTTTGGTTATCTTTTGGCAGTTATGGGAGTGGGATGGCAGAGCATACCATGGAACATTGATGTCTCACATACAGCCTCACTGCTGTGGGTGTTTATAAACATTTGCAGTTCCAGGAACAAAAATCAAGGTGTTTGCTATCACATACCATCAGCCTTAGCCATGGCTGAAGCAAAGCACTTCAGATGAAGGCTACTACTCCTATCAAATAGGAATCTGGTCCAAAGTCAACTGAATTAAGTCTATTCCATTAACTGTTAGCTCCTTTCATAGTAAGCTCCCCAGGCTTGCTCCATACTGTGTGGCAGATGCACAGAAGCATCCAGGCTCCCCACTAGAGAGGCAAAGTGCCTGTCTCAGTCCAGTCCTGTGGCCACTGAATGCAGCAGTGTGCTCCCCTGAGCACGTGAAGTACAGAAGCAAAGTTTGATGTCTAATGCCAATATTTTCACGAGAAGGAGTCAACTTTCTGAGGTGATGACCACCCCCTGCTTCCCTTACCATACTAGTACTTGTAAAGAGAGTTCTTCCTCACCTCTCAAAGCTCAGATCTATTTGATTTATTTATGCACAAAGACTATAAGGTTAGGACTCAAAACATTGACCAGTTTTTCCACAGAAGAATGAAAAGCCCAGTATTCTTTAATAAATGAAGTAGGACCTACAAGAAAGTTGTCCATAGTGTCAAATGTCAATATTTCAAGATTTTTCCAAGTGATTACTTTATATAGTAGGTATTGTTGTAGCTCTCTACAAAGGAGCTCATTTCTCTCTCTGATTACTGCATTTAACAGGGACATCTAGGAGGAATGGGACCTGAAGGAGAGCCAGGAATTCCAGGTTATGGGGTATGTTTTTTACTGAATTCATGTACACATACATCCCAAAGTAACTCTGTGGTACTCTAATTTCAAATATCCGAGGAATCTGTATCTAGACTACACAAATATTTTCAGGACTCACATATGTTTATGTGGTGTGTTTGCCTACTCAGAACTGTTAGCCTTAAGTAAGGATGCCTGGCTTTTGTTAGTTTGCTCACAGGGGGGTTTTACCATAAACTTTAAACTGTTGTTTATCCAATGTATCTCTCCCCTTCTGAATAAAGTTCCCCTAAAGCTACTACAGCTATTCATTATAAAGAGAGTTCAGCAAACACCACCACCTCTGCTTACTGTCTGGCCATGTAGTTTCCATTTAAGTAACAGAAACTGATTGCATGAGGTTAATTGAAGGACATAAAGATGTTGTGGCTTTCACTGAAAAATAGCTGTGAAAATCATCATAGATTAATTGAGTCATCTTCTTACGGAGCAGACTGTCCAGTCTCTTTTCCAAACAAAAACACCCATCACTGACCCCAGCCTTGAAGCAAGAACCAGCCCAGCTCCCAGCACCTGCATTAAGCCCTATCAGAACATGTAGTTTCCCAAAATGCACAGAGCTTTTCCTGCACACAGTCAATTTTCTGCCATTGATTTTGTTGTCATAACATGATTTAGAATAATTTTCAAGCAGAAAAAGAAATGTAGCAAGTAGCTAAAAGAAATTTTGGAATTAATTACTTTTTAAATTATTTGTTTTAAAATAATTTGTGTTTGGTTTGCTTCTTTAGGGTCACCAGGGTCCTCCAGGGCCCTCAGGGCCCCCAGGCCCCAAAGGAGAAAAGGTATGAACATGGGTTTCACTGATGTGTTTTGTGAAGTTACAAAGGGAGGAAATGTTACTGCACGCCCACTGTTTTCCACAGCAAGCAGCAAAAGCCACCATTTGCAGTATTTGTTAGTGTTGTCAAAGACTAGGAAAAAGAAATGCAAAGTGAGGAAATGGGTCATTCAGAGCTGGAGTCCAAAATTATACTGTTAAAATGTTTGAGGTTTTAAAGCACAAGGTACCCATTGTACAGAACACAGTCTATTGTATCAGACAGCCCCACTGCCCTCAGCAAGCACTGCTGACAAAAATAATCAGTGCAGAACCAGCTAAATATTTACTTAACTCTGAGCTGTGAGTACACCCACAGATCTGCCTGAAAGTCCAGCTAGGATGGACAAATGTCTGTGGTTGATATAAAATGTTAGGGACAGGATGTGGCCTCAGTACTGCTATTTTAGTGTCAAATTTATTGTTTTTCTCTCACGTCTCAAATCCTGAAAACAGATTTGTATGCTCACTGAAACCCTTGTGACCCCAAGAGGGCAGGTACATGGATTCACTTCATGGAGGTTGGATTGGAGCTGCCCTTGACACAGAGCTACAACCTGGAGCAAGTTTTGCAATGAATACTCTGAATAGGCGTTGAGTGGCTGGTGTTGTAAATAGGTTTTGATACAATTTAAGAAACAAAAACTGAAAACTGATTTGTTGACAGCTAGGTGTTTCGGTTGCTGGGTCACTTCTGAAAAACCACTTCGTTGCACTGTGGAAGTTCTTAATCATATTTAAATTGTGATTCTCTTTGCATTACTATTGCTAGGTATCATCTGGAATAAAGAAGTTTTTGTTTATTAACTTGGATGGCAGTTATTTCATATTTAAATTTTAATCAACTTCAGACTTAATGTTGGAGTCTTCTGTACTCTTGTTTTTCTTTCTGTTAAATGTACTTCTCAAAATAGTGGAAGAAATTTTCTTTTTTCCCCTTGTCAAATATCCTGTTTATCCTTTTTTTCATTAAATAAAGACAATTATATAGATATTGTTCAGTTAATAATTTTTTTTTATTATAGCTGCTTTTGAGAATAAAGCAAATATTTAGGGTTTTTTAGTCCTTAATGTCTTTGGGACATTCAGGTGACTGTTAAAATGGAATCACCATATTCATGATATTAAACCATAAGCATTATACTCACTTTTAGCATCTATACAACATCTTCTCTGCTTTTTATTAGCATTTGAACTTATGTGCATAGTAGATGAAGATGAACTTCCAAGTTAACATTTTTTAATACTTTTCTTTGCTTTAGGGTTACCCAGGCGAAGACAATACAGTCCCTGGACTACCTGGGCCCATAGGTGAACCAGTAGGTCTTTCTTTCTCAAAAAAATTATACTAGTGCATCTCAAGACAAGAGCAAATGCATTTGTTTCTGGAGCTTTATATCATTGTCTGAGGAATCAGAACAAAAATATAGAATGATGGTCCTTTAATGAAAATGCTGTTGTGTGCTCTTTCCTGCTTAAACATCTGTGCCCTCCATTTAATGACATTAATGCCATTAGTCTGTGTTTAGATCAGCACATTTTAGAACAGAATTTTACCCTGTTTACCCAGAGTTAGACTTGATTGCTTTACTAATCAAAAATATATTTTTACTTATTTCATTATCACTGCAAACTAATTCAGCTGATTTAGAGAACTGCATTTTGTAACCATTTTTGTACTGAATTCATATGTGGAGTGTATCTGCAGCATTTATGAATCTGTCAAAATTATTAGTACAAACTTCAAAATTAAAGCAGATTTTGACTACAGCAAGTCATTTCAGAAAAGAATCCAATTTTTAATGGATATGTCTTACAGAAGACATAAGAGAGTTTTCCTTGCATGTCTTTCTTGAAACCAGAGTCACTTCATTTATCCATTCAGATTCTAAGTTTATACATTTATACATACATACATATATATATATATATGTATGTGTATGTATGTATGTATGTTTTATATATAAGTATAAATCTGGGGAAGTTCCACTGAGGTCAGTTCTCCCTCCTGTTTCATTAAGCACCATCTAATATTAATCTTTTAGCTTCTAGTCTTCAGTTACAAAAAATTTTAGACTGTGGGTACTGTGTGACTGCAATGCATTCTGTTTAGAAAAATATAATGTTTATTCCTTTATCCAAGCTACCCTTTATGTTTGTATTCCTCAGTTTCCTCTCAGGGGATAGTTTAAGAGAAATCCCAGCTTTCTGTTCATATTTCACTGCAGCATTGTATTCAGTTCAGCTGTTACAGTTTGCTCCCTGGTTTGCTCTCCAGGGTCGAAGTGGTGAACGTGGAGATAGAGGAGAGCCTGGTGATGAGGGCTACAAGGTAATACCTCTTGGGTTTTATCTTTTTATTTGAGCTTGCTAGGCTCTGCAGACATATGGAGTAATGCAGCAGCAGTGTCATCTTCCCTCACAGCTGTGCAGGGATGCTGTGCTGCTCCTCTTTGCACTGCTGCACCCCTGGACACCCTGGAGCATCTTCCCTGTGGGGACATGGGAGCTGCAGCTCCTCAGCTGGAGGAGGCTCCAGTGACCTTAGTGTGTACAAGTACCTGATGGGAGGACATGAAGATGAGGTAGACAGACTTGTCTCTGTAGTGTCCAGTGACAGGACAGGAGGCAAAGGGCAAAAACTGAAACACATGAAATTCCTTTTGAAATGTTTTTTTGGTGATTTTTTTTTGTTTGTTTGGTTTTGGGGGGTTTTTTTGGTTTTTTTGCTGTGAGGATGACTGAGCACCAGAACAGGCTGCCCAGAGAGGTTGTGGAGTCTCTGTCTGTGGAAATACTGGAAACTTGACTAAACAGGGTCCTGGATAATAATTTCTAGCTGGCCTTGCTTGAGAAAGAGGCCATAAATTATCTCAAAATGCCACTTTTAACTTAAACAGTTCTGTGTTTCTGTAATACTGTATTAGTTAACATTTTTCTCTGAAATTTAAGCACTACTTATTTAAAATATAATTCATTAATTATATTCAGTCTTTCAGCGCATAAAAATTGGAAGGTAACTCATGCTCATCACCAATGCAGTTCACTCAAATACAAGAGAGACAGTCCGTGACAGGGAATATCCAAATTACAAAGTAATACAGACAGACATATTAATAAATGCATGAACCAAATCTATGCTTACAGAAGTGCAGAAATGTTTAAACAATATGTAATTCCCACTTGCAGCTTGGAGTAGAGAATGTAAAGAATGACAGCTCTGTAGAGTTTGATCTTGGAGATCTCACCATACTTTGTGTAGGTTATGTCAATGAATCTGGGTCCACCTGACACCTCCCAGGATGGGCTTTACAAGGAATTCTGCAGCTCACTGAGCATGGCAGCCCAAGTTACTGTACTGCAATATGTTATATTTTCTCTTTCCCAGGGTCATACAGGTCTTCCAGGGCTTAGAGGACCTATTGGACAACAAGGACCTCCAGTAAGTATTTCAAACAAGGGAGATTTCTCTATTGACTGTTGAAAATATGTTTTCATTTGCATTCAGATGTTTCCTGGAATTTATTTAATGTATGTTCTTTTCAAAGGGAGAGCCAGGTGAATTGGGAGAGCAAGGACTAAAAGGAGAAAGAGGTTCAGAAGTAAGTACGAAAAAGTAAACCAAAACTGCACTTACCTGGAATTTGTAGGGTTTTGTTGTTCACTGGCTGTCCTTGGAAAACTGTTCCATAAGGCTAAAACTGAGTGTTTGGGTTTCCTTTTCATACCTGCAGGGACAAAAAGAAATATAAAGTGGAAAATTGCATAATGATCTTGGTTAGTAAATAGGTGTTATTTGATAGGTAAGTAGTTTTACTTTGGAGTGATATCAAGCATTATGAGAAGTTCTTTTGGAAACATTTGAGTGATATTTAATTATCCCCTAAAGTGGAGTTTCTTGTGTTCAAGTAGCTCTGGGGGCCAACTGGGATTTTGCTTCTCTGATCTGTAAATGAAGCCTCCTGGTACTGCACTGCACTGAGTTCTCAGAGACCTGGGAATAAGGAATTTGCTACAGAATATAGAGCAATAATGACAGAGCAAGTCATGACAAAGATCAAAGTCCATATCTTTCTCTTTAGAAGTATTAGCTCATCTTGGTGGTGTGTTGAAAATTGCCAAAGTGTTTATGTTATTCCATGAACTGAATGTCATTGGCTTTTGAGATTTCAAAAGCATTAGGCTAAAAGATTTCTTAAAATACCAATTACCATTGGAATTTAAATGAGATATTTTGTCTGAGAAGTTCCATGAACCAACTCTGTTAGAGTTTAAAAATTTTGTACGTAGCTACAAGAATCTGTAGTAGACAGGAATTGACTGAAGCAACAGAAAGGAAACATGATGTGGAGACATTGTGAACATGTGCTCCAGCTATGAACTTGGATATATTGCTCTTACACACTGCTCACATCCCAGGACAAAATCAGCAGTTCCTCTTGAAGAAATGTTTTCTTTGTCTTGCAAATGCCCCTCAGATCAATATTGCCATTTACAAATGTGGAACCAATACCCAGCATGGAGCTGCCCATAAGAGCTTAAAGATTTCCACAGAAGTGTTAACACTGGGAGCAGTGACAGAGCCTTACCTGCAGTGCCACTACTGGTGCTGCTATAGCAAGCCTTGCAAAGCTAATCCCACCAACTGCAGCACTGAATCAGCTGGGTTTTCTTTACATGCATCCAGAAATCTTAATGAAAACAATATCAAGTTGTTTGAATATGCACATTCCAGTTCTGACTTGTGGGCTTTATGCCATTCTTAACAAAAAAGGTGTTAAATTGACAGTAGAACAACATTTTGCTGGTTTTGTCATATTTGCATAATTATAAAACATTTACACTTAAATAACCCAGGCTTTTCCACTTTATTGCATGTTGTGCCACTGCAGCATGGTACTGATAGCATAACCTTTAAGAAGTGTTTTTGAAATAGCTAGTCTAGAAAATCTTGGAAAACTTTTTCTACTTGTTGTTCTATGCTAAAAAGTGTTATACTTGTTCCTGCTCTTCAGCAGTTGCATCTTTTAGAGGTAGGATAAAATTGATGCTATAAATCTTTCTATTCTGTGCAGACTATCCTATAACAAAGTTCTCTGAAAAGCTTTTGACCATTCTGAGCTTTTCTTCCGTGGTGCATGACGTCCTGTGCCACTAAACCACTTACAAGAATGTTATCTGCTCAGTATCTCTTACACTACCACTACTACACTAGTTTTCTTACACTACCAATTTCTAGTTCAGTTAAGATGAAAATAATTCTGGTTTTAAGCAAATTTTATCTTTTGTGTAGGTCTTAGATAAAAACAAATGTTCACATCTGTGGGATGTGACACTATTGCTTTCTAGTATTTTCTTCCACAGACATTCAGTGCATTTACATTGCCTACTTTTCATGACTTCCCTTTTGAGTAGAGGAAATGCAATAAAAGTGCACTTCATCACAGAGGGGGGGCTGATACAGGGGAAATTACCAGATTCATGATGAAAAACATTTTATGATTATTGTTGGAAAAGTTTTAAAAACTGGTTCACAACAGGGAAAAAAACATGCACAATTCTGCCAAAAATGTATTTGCTTTTACTTTAAAAACTTTCTGCTGTCTCCTGAAATGTGAATAAACTGGTCCAAAGCCAGGCAATGTGAACATGAATACTAGAGGGGAACAATCCCCAGCTCTTCTTAGGGGATTGAATTTATGACATTTGTCAGTTCACAAATATTTTAACTTCTAGGGACCCACAGGGAAGAAAGGAGCAACAGGTCAAGCAGGCAAAGCTGGAATTCCTGTAAGTAACAAAATTCTACAGCCTATTTTGAAATAATAAAACAAAGAAAATACTAACTAATAAAACCAGAATTGCATTGTGTCAGGGTTACCAGAAAGTCTTGTGTTCACTCTAAAGAGCCTTTTTATTATCCAGGAAGTGTAAAGGAACCCCTGTCATTTTTGAAAATTAATGATTTTTGAAATTTTGTTAAATTATACTGAATTATAGTCAGTTACTCAGCATATGGAAGTGATGTGCAACTAACAATAAGGTCCTTCCCACTTGTGAAGTTATTTAATTGGCTCATTTGTGGAGTCCATTTGGAAGTTACCACATTATATTGCACAGAACTGTACTTGTGTTCACTTCTGACCCCATCAGTTCTTTGATCCACTGCAGCCTGCAGAAGTTTGGATCCATATGTCCATGATGGATACATGTGGTAAATGCCTTGAGGTTTATTTATTTCTCTTGCTTGCCCTGAGCTGAAATTTTTAATGTTTTTTCTTGAGTTACTGCAGAGGAGCTGACTTGCATGCCCTTCTCCCTGACGGAGAAACCAGAGCAGGAAGCAGTAGGTGTCCTGTAAACATAATGAAGAACAAAATGCATCAAGGTTATTTTGGTCTCCTAATAAATAATGCCACACAAGCACATATTGTAAATAACTTTTACTACCTCACATCAAAACATTGTCAGTAACTGGAGAAAAGCAGCTGTTGCACAGAGCTTGTACCTGCTGGGCAGAGTGCAAGAGGAGCCTTTTGAAGACAAGGAACTGTGTGTCATTTGGAAATACTCAGCATTTTCTTTTGGAGAGCTGCAGGGATCATTCAGCAGGCAAAGGAGAAAAAGGAAAGTGGGACATACAGAGAAATGAGGAGACAGTAAAACTAGAACTTGAGGAAGTTTCAAATCACATCCCAAATGAGGCCTTTTTTGTGCAAGTATAGCACCCGTTACCACAAACTTGCCATATTACAAATTTGTATTTTTGATATGTTCAAATTTGAACAGCATAAATTTGTGAAAGGCCAGTACTGAGCATTTAGTAAAATAAAAGATAAAGAGGTGTATGGTTGGGTTTTTTTCCAGGGATAAATAGATGACTTTATCAGGATTCCTCACTTCAGTTTAAGAATTGACACACTCAGGCATCTTCCAGGCTGGCACACAAATCAGTCCCATGATTTCACATCAAGTTGCTCAGATCCCATGGCAGGGCAAGTCTAAGGTTAAACCAGTAGAATTCTAAAGCAAACATCCGAACTCAGAGCTCCCTCTGCAACTATTCATTCATATCACTGGGTCTGTTGTAATGTAGGATTTAGGAAATACTGTGACTGAAATCCAGTTATGGGAGGGTGAAGATGAAAAGAGCAAACAGTGCTATATTTGATTTGATTTTTTTTCAAGGGAAAACCAGGGGCACCAGGGCAGAAAGGAGCAGTTGGGTACCCTGGACCAGAGGGCAGTCCTGGGAACCCTGGAAAGACTGGGCTGTCAGGGAAACCTGGCCCTAAGGTAAGTTGATTTCCACATTTCCTCTGTGTCATTTTGCATTTTACAGAATTTTCCAGGGTTAAGGTATTTTAAAGGAAGCGACCACTCTCTGTTCCTTGAGTATATGGAAATTAGACCCTTTTTTTTTTTTTTCTGTTTTGCTCCTAATATTCCAGCCAAGATATAAAGTTAGCATAAGGGAAGTGTGCTGTGAGAACAGTTTCATTGGAATATGACAGTAGTAACTACAGCTAAATGAAAGTCATTTCTTAGAGAGACTGCACAATTCTGGTCCTGAAAATTAACCTGAGACTATTTCCTCTTAGGGTCTGAGATAATCCCACATTTCCTTATTGACTCTGTATTTGTAACCTATGTCTCTCCACCTAAATAATTATGAAGCTTTGTCCAAAGCCAGTGAAATAGAGTATTAGGTATGTGAGGTATCTAAAAGCATTCTTGGAAATGGGTTTTTTGTCTGACTGTTCTTTGCTGGGGGCCAAAGGTGGTGACCTGCTGCCACTGGGAGCAGTGACACAGATCTTCAATTAGTCCCTCCAGACAGGGGGACAAGATTCCTTGAGTAGTTCTCATAATTGAAAGTCTGACCATTGTCATTTCCAGTATGAATTTCTCAGTATTCTCCCCAGATGGACCAGTAATTGTTCTAAAAGATTACCAAGGTAGATTTGGAGTTAGGAATTAGCCAAGGTGGTGGATGAGGCATTGTTGTTTCAGGTATGAATTTCCAATCTGGTTGAGCAAAGAGAAAATTAAACAAGTTACCCGTAGGGGGCAGGTGCACCCTACTCAAGCTTCTCCACTCTCAGGTCATGAACCTCTTCCAAGTTCTTAAAATTCTTTGGAGCTGGATTTAGGAGAATCACCCCAAAGGATTTTTGCATTTTTGCCTTTCCACCAAAAATGTCATACAGTCATGGTAAAGACAACTCCATTACAGTTTGTATAAAGAGAGGTTTATAACTGATTTTTGCCACAATGAGTAAAAAGAACAGAACTTTTGCTATGTAAGTTTATCAGTCCATCAATCTATAAGCCACATCACCATATCCAAAAGCCCAAAAAAATGACATTTAATGCAAAAATCATGTTTTATACAACCTTTTTTATTTCTATGAGTGCTTAACTGAATGTCATAGGAAATAAGGAAGATTTATATATGCCTATATTTCTATTAAATTACACCACAGAAATATTCATTTGTATGGTAGCAAATTTCCATTTTTTAGCATGTCAAAAGTGGCTGAACTCCACGTACTCACTAACAGGTTTTTTTCATTTAAAATAGTTCCTTTTGTTGATAGGTTGATGTTCTCATATAATTTCATAACAAATGTTCTGGTCTTTCTTCATCTGGTAATGTTATTGTGTGTGAGTCTTTACAGAGTGCACACAACCATACTAGTATTACCAGCATGCCTGTTCCTTAGAAGTAAACATGTTGAATTTTGAATATTTCTTTGGGAAGGTAGTCTCATTCTGTTTCATGTGGAGTTATTTCTTCTTGAAGGATGAATACTGAGAAGTTCAAACAATTTTCAGCCTTTTACTTTTGGAATATTAGCAGAAATCCACATGATACTGCTGTTCATTGTTCTTTCTATATATTTTGTTGTACTACCATTGTGTGTCCATACATACAGACAGCATTAAGTGTTTTTGGCTGATTCTATGTAATTTGCCTGTTTCAGCATAGAATGAAAAACATGCTTGGCTGTTCTCATTGTAAACCATTATTTTCAATTTGTTAAGGGCAACAAAGGAAACTCAGGCTTGCCAGGTCTAGCAGGTTATCCTGGAGCTCGAGGTCCCAAGGGATTGCCAGGCATGCCAGGGCCCATGGGAGCACCTGGACTAAAGGTAGGTACATACATGGGATCTGGTTGTTTAATTACAGTTTTGCTGATACTGTTTGTTCTTCATGCTGCTTTTGGTGGCTGTGGAACCACCACACTGCTGTTAATCATGTGAGTAAAAGACATCAAGCCTTATTTGAAGGCTAAGATTACAAGTTGTGTTTACAACAAAACTGTAACTTGAAAATAGAGGTCTCATCCATCTGAATGCTATTCCCAACTCCAGAAGCCATCAAAACACTTTGTATTTGTTCACTCCAGCTTTAGGGTCAGATGTTTCCTGGCTTATTTCTTAACTTATTTCTAGCTACTAGAACAGTCGGGATGATTTAAGCATCTAAGCAATCTAATAGCAGAGAATTACCACAACTTCAAGCCTAAGTTTCAGGTTTGGGGGCTAGTAAGTATATCATTTATCACAGGACTTAAATTGGTTTTTTTTAGCCCTTTCAGAAAGAAAGAAATCTGAGTGTACTCCATTTTCCAGTTTCAGGTACCTGATATCAGCATATCCTCATATAAATTAGATTCATTTCAATTTTAAAACAAGAAAACAAGTAACAATTACAGATAATTTCCTTCATTTTGAATAGACTTTTCTTTATTTAGAATAGAATTTTTTCATCTAAAATAATGATTTTTATCTAAACTTTTTCTTTGTGAGATTTTATTGGTAAGCTGTTCTTTAAAACCTTAAGTTACTTGGAAACTGGAAATAATGTATTTTTATCATTTTATTTAGTATAAACTATATTCATTATTTGCAGTGTTTATTGCCACTGCCTCCAGTCTGAATTTTACTTCTTTTCCTAGGCAATGAGCTGTAGGAGGTAGTTCCTGCTCAGAAGTGCTTGCAATCTGAGAAAGGCAAGGAATAGATGAGTTGAGGGCAAACTGTTGCCACATATACTACAGAGTTAGCATAAATAATGAATATACTGACTGAAGACAATAACACAAAGGTAAAACCTGGGAAAGGGCATAAGCACAAAGCATGATACCTGTATATTCACAGCCTTTATTGCACCTCAATAACCTCCTGAGCTAGACATGTCTTCAGTGTATTTGATAGTCCTCAGAGGATTTCTCTTGCAGGAACTTGTCTAGTTTCCATTTGAATCAATGTGGATTTTTAGTCTAACAGCAGGGACTTCAACAAGTACGCTGTCTTGCTCAGAGGATTATTTTTAAAATTCACTTTTCACTGTCTGTTCTGTATTTAATTTTGTGAATTTTACTGATTACACTGAGAGATACCATACTAGAATTGATCCAACATGTATGGTTTTTGTATTTCCAAGTCAAGGAGCAGTCAAGTCACTGCTTTTGCATTTTAGTGTATGCTTAATTATTTTCCTGCAGGAAATAAAATAAATGCAGTAAGTGTATTTCTTAAGGAGAAAGCAAGTTCCATGCTTCTGACAGGAAACCTGTATTTGCATCTGCAACTTCCATAATTCTATTCAAATATATATTTTCTTCTTATTGGCAGGGTGAGAACGGCCTTCTAGGTCATCCAGGAAAGCGAGGCAGAAGAGGCCTTCCAGGATCAGCAGGTGACCAAGGAGCAGCAGGAGAGCCTGGGCTGAAAGGACAGATTGTATGTAATCATAGTGGTTGATGCAAAACAAGTAGTCCAAGAGCTAGCAAGGTGAAGTAATGCTAAGGATGCCTGCTTCTGTTGCAGGGAGAAGATGGAGATCAAGGTTTAATGGGGTTTCAAGGATTCCCAGGTCCAAAAGTATGTGCTCATTCTTTTCTCTTAGATTGTAAGCTATTTACAGAGTGAGAACATTATGAAAGCATAGAATTAATCAGCTTTAACACTAATTTGTTCAAAATATCTCTGGATTGTTGGAACATGATAGGCAGAACTGTGTGCTCCCTGTCTAAGGACAAACATTCTGGGTCAGTGCACTTGGTGTTTTCACTCTTACTGCTCTTAGAACTTATCTTCCTTTCACTGATTGCAAGAGTGTGAAACAGGTGGATAGCTAATGTCCATGTTGGATTAAACTGTTCCTTTGCATTTTCAGGGCCCTGCAGGGGACATTGGCTTAGTTGGAATTCTGGGCCCAAAAGGTCCAAAAGGCCAAGTTGTAAGTGTTTCACTGCATGAAAGAGATTGTTAGGCTGGTTTGAAAGTGGCACATGCTTTTAACATAGAAAATAATCCTTTTTCTTATTAACAAGGCCAGAAGCCTCTACCCAAACCTTTCTGTCTGAGTCTAGAAGCAACACTGCTCTGGTTACATCATGCACACAGACCCACAAACAGAGCTGGGCCCTTAATCTTGAAAGAAAAAAAGCAGGCTCTGCTGACTAAGTGTGTATCTGCTAGTGTAATCTTATGGCCTTGTATTTCTTTGTCTATTGAACATTCTTCTTACTGGCAAAACTGCTCATTGTGTAACTGTGTTCTACAGCAAAAGAAAATAGGGATCAAACTTTGCCTGCAGTAAGACATAGCGGTGCTCAGGCATTATTGATTAATAGGTAGTCTTTTTTTAGTGAAGATTTTCATTTTATCTAAAATGTTCCTAACCTTCACTAGCTCATTCTTCATGATATTCTGCTTTGCTGCTCACCCAAAACCATGGAAACATCATTAGCATTTTTTGCATCCAGTGTGGCACCAGTGTGAAAGGCTGAAGCATGGGAGGCCTTGCTACAACATGTTCTCTCACTGCCACTTTGCCATCACAGAACTGAATTGTTCAGTTAACCAGATGCAGAGCAACAGCTTTAGGGGACTGTTCTAATAGCTACTTTATTTTTCTAAACATTCCTATATGAGATAAACACTGGACACAAGCAGTTTGCTCTAAGTGAAATGGAACTGAAAAGTGGCATTTTAGCAGCACTTACTGGCAGCCATACAAGAGTCCTTGTGGGCAATAATATAACTCAGGGTAGAGTTGGTTGTAGCTCAATAAATATGTGGTCTTTTGTAATCAGAGTACTTAAGTTTCCACTGTTTTTAGTGCATCACTTTTCACGTTAAAGAATGTGTGGGGGCTTTCCAAGCATAAGTATTACAAATTACTAAAATATTTACTTTACTGATTTTGTTGCAATGTGCACTCAATATTTAGAGAGTACCACCATGATCTTCTGGATATTTGATAGGTCAGTGTGCTGAGCGACTTTAAATTAGGACATGTCATGCGGATTTTCTTCATTTTGGAAACGTGGTGAACTAATAAATTCTTTGCTTGTTTACAGGGATATATTGGCCCGGTTGGTCAAGAAGGCATAGCAGGCCCAACTGGCAGGCCTGTAAGTTTCCCTTCACTTTTGCATAATTTGTTTATTTCATTACCCTTTGGTTTAATCATCTTGTTTTTCAACTAGCAACCTTCTTATTTTTCTGTTTGCAAGTAGCAACTAACAGGACCTTGTTATACCATGGTATTTGTTATACCACGCTGTTAAGTTAATATATCTGACTCCAGCATTTGTAGTACAAACAAGAAAAAAATGACTGAAACCAGTGACAAGAAAGTAATTGCAATGGCATTCTGCCTAAGTACAGCCTGCAGACAGCGTGTGTACAGGGGCAGTGGCAAGCCAAGGTGTAAAACAGCACACAGGAATTACCACCTGGGTATTCTTTCTCAGCCTTTGGTCTGAGATATATCTACAGAATATCCACATTCAGTTTCAATATTTTTTATTTCTTGTGGGCTGAACAGTCCAGAGTACCCCTCCAGACACTCTGGGAGTGCCTGTGAGCCCTTGTAAGGCTGTTCCAGGTGCTGATGAGGTCCCTGTTACACTTCAAACATCATTGTGGCCTCTCTGAAGCTTCCAGTGCATCCCAGGCTCCCTGCACTGGGGGAGCTCTGCCCTCATCCCTGTTTCCATCTCTTATTACACTCATGGTACCAGAGCCAAATTGGTTTTGCAAGAGAACCCCTTGGCTCATGTCTCCAGACCACCCAACCATGTAAGGCAGTTTTAGAAACTCTTTGTACCATGAATGTTCCTCTACCTGATCAAGTAGACTTGGAATAAATGAGGATGTCTAAAATTCAGAATAATCATAAAAATAGTAAATATGCAATAAAAGTAATAAATGCAAATATTTACAAGGGAAATAGAAGAAGGGGAATGTCTTTCCACTTGTTGGAAAAATCAGTACTTTGTCTTGCTCCATTCTTTTCAATTGCATTGAGGAGAAAAACTTTACAGTTGTGTGCATTTGTTTGAAGGCTTTTAATGGACTTCATATTGAATGTAAATGTTTGCCATTATCATCAAGAAAGCATTTTAATTGAAGATTACTTCTATGTGTTATGAAATGCAGCCATTAAGATGCAAAATTTTTCCAGAGAAGAACTTTAAGATTTTTGCCATCCTTGGGAACACAATTCAAGTGCAAAACCAGCCAAAATGGTGACAGGAAAATAGTGTCTAATCTGGTTATGAGAGTAGAACTTATAATATAATAAAAATATATATGTGATAAATGGATTTCTTCAGTGATGGAGAGTATTGAGTTTTGTTCTCCAAAGATGTTGAATGTGGATGAAATTGTGGAGAACACAGCTGATCAACAGCCAGCAGTTAAAATTACTGAGAGTAAACATACTCACAAGCTGAAGAACACAGCTTTCCACATGTAGGAATCACAAGGTGTTTTCAACTAATTTCAATTTCTAGTGCTACAGGAAAATTAAACCCCCAGAGCTGTAAATACTTCCACAGATGAGACTGGACTTTTCATGTGAGCAGTATAATTCTCATGGATATTAATCTGCTTATTTCAGTCCTAGGCAACTAGAAAGCATATCAGATTAACAGCTGCTCTCTTTCACAGGGACCAAGAGGTGAAAAGGGCACAAGGGGTGAAATGGTAAGATGAAACGACTTTTGTGCTTTCATTCTTTTGGCTGTGTAAAATCTATTTCTGCATTAGGTTGAACATGCTCTGCATGCCAGGCAGTCGTGTTGTGCTCCTGGAGAGCACTGCCCAGGAAAGCTGGTAGCCTGGGTTAGAAGTGTGACCTTCTTGTTCAAGTTGACTTAAGCAGATATGCCCAGTGGATGTGAGCTGCTGGGCCCTGGTCATACTGCAATCTGTCCATGTTCAGATCTAAAAGGAAAATCTTCAGTCGTATTTGCTGAGGCTCACAGCATGCACATGGTCATAGCTCTGGATCTCCTTGTCTAGAAAGGGAGAAGCTCAGGAGAAGCCCAGACCTGCCGGTGGGTGTCCATGCAATGCATTCCAGCTGTAGGAACTGTGGGCAGCACTGATGGGTTATGAATTTGCTGTTCCATTTTTCAGCAAGAGTCATTCTACATTCGTGAATGTTTGATTTAATATTAAATTTTGTTAGAGCCAGTAAAGTCTCCAATTAATTATGGCTATGTGAAAAGTCATTAAGTTATCATATTTGCAGCAAATTTATGAACACAAAGTTGATAACTATATTACCTTCTATGACAGGTGTATAATTAGTTCATTTTCCAGAACTAGCAGATGTGATCCTGTTCCTGTTTCTCTTACCCTGCCTTTCACCCCATCTCACTTAAAATTATTTAGTTTCACGTATTGTATTTTGCTTTTAGCAGCCACCTCCAAAAATTCAAACTGCCTTATAAAATTTTGAAAAATGAATCTAAAATATTCAAAACATTTTAAAGAGCTAAAGCTTGGAAAGAAGCTTCCTTTCTGTGTCTTGGAGAACTCCCCTATTTGATTCTAATGCTCCAGAGGCAATTGCTATCTCAGAATAAGAGGAAAGCTGTTTTCTCAATTTGCTGTTATCCATCTTAGCTGTCTTTTTCTACTGTTTGTTCATAAGAATTGTTATGACAGCATAGAGCTAAAAATGCTGACACTTATAAAAAAAGATCCAAGAATAATCCTTAAAAAAACATCCAGAATGGTGAACAAGAAACATCTGTTTCCATTATTGGTGCTGGTGTTTAAGAAGTTATTTCCTAAATAAGTTCTTGAATTCATCATGATGAGTTAATCTAGTAATGCTGTCTTCAGAAGAAGAATGTTTAATTTTAAGTCATATACAGTGACATTACTTTCCCCCAAGAAAGGGATTTATTTCCAACTACTATCACATACAAAGGAGACCAAATTTTTTTTCATCCCACTGTGTATTCTGAGCTTTAATTTATACCTTTAAAATTTATATTGGCATTCTTCCTAGAATCACATAGATTTTAACCTTTTTGTAGTATATTTAGTTAGATTTTTCAGTCTGTCAGGGTTACAGAGTTCAGTACTAGCAAGAAATGTCCTTTTATCCCCAGAAAGACACGGAATACAAAATCATGTCTTCTTATTGAGGCCAGTGGTAAAGCACACATTCTTTGTTAAAAATACACTCCTCAAGAATTTAAAAATTCTTAGAAAATATGAATGTCCTTGGGATTGCTCATGCTTTCATAGTTAAGTGTATGTACTATTGTATGTAAAGCCAGGGCCTCTCAGCATTAGTAAAAGTTTGGGATTTTGGCCTTTGAACTTCTGTTCAATCAAATGGAGAGATTAAAGAATTAAGAACACACTGAAACTAACTGGTTTAGTCTCTGCTTTTGTTTTCATGGACTGGAATTACATTTTTCTCACTTAAATTCTAATGCGACCAAAGGTTAAGTTAAGTAGATTTGTAAAAGTAATCCAGTACATTCCAGTAAAACATTTAGCAATTAACTTAGTTCATGAAAAGTGTAATTTAGCCTTATTTTTCTGCTCTGCAGCAGAAAGAATGAACATTGGTAAAATCCCTTCGGAGAGCTATAGCAATTATCTTTAAAAATCTTTAAAATATAATGATACTGCACAAAGATTTGTAAAGATAATTGCTATAGCTCTCTGAAGTTTAATGCATTTAAGAAATGTGATATTCCACAAAGTAGTTCACAAATAGCATTCACTATTTATCCCCTTTTTTTCCCATGGGTTTCACTGGCAAGGAGACAGTGGATCAAGACAAATGACATTCCTCTTTTGCAAAATACCTTAAACTCATTGGAACGGTGCAGGTTTTTATTTTTAAAACATTCAGTTCTATCTCAGAAACCACTATAAAATTGAACCGCTCTTGTCCCAAGACTTCTTGAGTCTTTAAAAGGTGACATATGCCAAGAACACAGAACATTAACTGAAACATTCAGTCATCTGAAAAATATACTGGAATGTCTAAATCTCAGCATTCAGAACAAGGACATCTATTCATCCAAGAGCAATGGTTATTAAGGGACAAACTGTTGAAGACTTTTTACCTTTCCTTGATTTGGTTTTTGAATAATCAAGTCCTGAACCAAGATAAACAAATATATCCTTACAATGTCAAATTTGTTTCTCAAGATTGTTTTTCACACTTTCTCTTTCATTTTATTCTAAACATACTTGGCCAAGCATGATCAGACAGGCCAGTGATATATTCACATGAGACTGAAGGTATCCTGGAGCAGTCTAACAGCACCTGAACACCTGACCCGATTAATTAAACGTGGAGTCAGCCTTCCCAGCTGGCATACAACAGTACAGCTCTGTGAAACCCAATTGATTTGCAACAGCTGAGGAACTATGCCAAAATAATGAATGTAATCTGTGTAAACTCGGAACAGTTTTCTAATAATGAATAACAACAATATTGTATGCATATTTAATCATAATAGGATCTCAAAGAAATTTCAAGCTGGGCAATAATCAAACTCAGAAAAGTAATGACAGCTAGTTACTTCACACAGAACCCACAGGGATATCCATACTACTATCCATACTATACTATATGCTAAAATTACTTGTTCTTCTATTTTCTTTTGCCAACATTAATGATTAACATCTTTTATAAAGAAGTTAATCATTAAATATCTACTTAAAAGATGGCTTCCAGTCCCTTCTATAAGTGTAAGGGGATGAAACATAAATAAATAGGGTCAGGATCTATCAGCTGAAAAGCTCACAGTAAATAAATAAATAAAAAAGCTCACAATCCATAGACCTTATCTTATTAAGGTCTTCTTGGTTAAGTATCAGAAAATCATCTACCTAAACATCCAGAAATTGCTTCAGTTTTGAATATCCTCTATTCGCCAAAGAACACATACAAGACATGGGTCTTCCCTCAAAGCCATTTGAGGCAACATAGCCATCAACATAGCCTTGCATAGAGCTGCTGCTTGGAATTACAGGATGGCCCCCAGTTTTCCCATCCTTCATGATGCAGCAGCTGAGCCCTGGGCAGGGCAGGTGATGTGCAGACATGCTCCAGTTGTGCAGCTGCCACTGTAACCCCAGCAGATGCATTCCCTGGCACCACCCCATGCTCTGCCTCAGGACCTAAGCACTGATAAATTTGCAGCCTCAGTGACTTGGGTACATTGCTCCTATCTGGTTTGAGATACTTTTTTTAAATATGCATGAATTAATATTAGATTGAATCTGGTCTTTCTTTAACCATTTCCAGCTGCCCTTGCTTTTGGCAGCTTGAGCAAAACCCGAGTTCAGCAGTTGTAGCATGAATTGACACTCACGCAGACCTTGCTTGCTGTGAAACCTCACAGCAGAAACACTTGTTATTACTTTATCAAGTGATTTACAGCTTAATTCCTATTTGACTAGATCAGTTTCACAATGTTTGTCAGCGTGACCACGTCACATCAGATTATTTCACTTTTGGCAGAGATTTTGTTCTAGCATGACCGTACTGACGTATGAGGGCTTTGTTGGACCAGCTTATTGTGCTCAAGTAATTGGTACAAGCAGCACTGACAAAAGAATGTTCTGCTTAAATTGACTTAGCTGTGTTGAAAGAGTTTTAGTAATTTAAGGTGCAGATCTAGCCCATGCCTTTCATTCCTTCTCTTTTTCTCTTCTTAAGGCACTGCCACCTATTATTTTCCTTGTGATCATTTGTGCCATTGTTTGTTACAATAGCTCCAAGAAGCTTTGACTATGTAGAGCTTGAAGAACCTAGCAGAGACACAATTGTCACTGCATATTAATAAATGTCCAGAACAAATTCTAACTCAATGTGAATAGTTGAATAAATATTTGAAAGAATTATTCAGATGGGTTTATTGTATTGGAAAGGTCCATGTTCAATCCTAAGGCAGCCTAAAACACAGATTTATGTGCACTGTAGGCACTGTAAGCTAGGGAAAAGCAGTTCTTTCTCTTCCACAATCATCCTACACACTAAAATAAGGACATAACTTTTTGAATAAAGAGGAAGTTTGCCATATCACTGTAAAACAATGAACATAACATGTTGTGGCTGAAAATTGACACTGCTGATAAATTAAACTGATAAAAGCCTGGCACATACTCATGGATTAAAATGGATCAGTTAGTTTTTTGCAGTTACTCATAACATTATTTACAATGTTCTTGTGATTATTTACCCCTTCTAGTACTTATCTTCTCAGCATACATATAACACTGGCACAATGTATAGCACATTATATATTAATACTTTCTATGACCTAAAATGTTCCCTTCATATCAGAAGTAATTGGAGAAACAAAGAACCAGACAACACAGGAATTCCAACATGAATATTCATATGGTAAATGGTGCAAGGTACTTTTACAATAGTAACTAATAATCCACAACTTTATCACAGCTGATATCACACCTTCTTCCTTATACACACTGGGACATGTTTGTAATTTAATAAATACATAAATGTAAAACCAGAGACTTTAATGTATGACTGTTGCATTCTATATCCATTTCTTCTAATGTATAACTATTGCTTTCTATATCCATTTCTTCTTATCCAGTAACTATTGCTTTCTATATCCATTTCTTCTAGGGGCCTCAGGGACGGCAGGGCCAGCCTGGGCCACCTGTAAGTGCATAAAAAACTCTGCCTGTGTTTTTCCATTTTGATTGTACTATATAAAGATGTGAAGCACCTAATATGTGTTTTTTCCCATTTTCCAGGGACCACCTGGACCGCCAGGACCAAGGGTAAATTCTGTAACAAGCCTAACCTACCCTAACCAGTGCTTTATTGAAAGGGAAAATAACAGGATCCTCTTCAAATGTACTCCTTGTTCCACTGTTCAAAGAATTTACCACCTGCACTATTGTATATTCTTGTTCATGTTTTTATATTCTGAAATACCTGTTTTTTAGAAACAAGTGGATCTCAATGCTGCTGTTCAAGCTTTGTTTGAGTCAAATGCTGCCTTGCAGATGGAGGTATATATTTAAATGTATTTACATTATCATACAGGGAATGCAATTATAATTTTATTTTTTGAGGACATAACGGTTTCTTTTCAAAGACTTAGTTTAAATTAATAACAGATAGCAAGTTATAGAATGTAATGAAACGTGCTAGGATTTACAGGATAGAGTTGAAATTAAGAGAAGCAGCAAGACTTCTACCTTTTGTGATGATTGGTAGTAGTGAAAATTTACTGACTATCACACATAGTGATACAGATAACAATAGTAGCATTTAGGGTTTGATAAAAAAAATCAACACATAGGTGTCTGGCTGCATTGGTTGCATGAAAATCCCTTATGTGGGTGAAGTCAAAATCATTTGCTTTTTTTTTTTAGGTTAAGCTTAAGAGTAAATTTCACTATTTCAAATTTGAAACCTCTAAGTTTACTTTAAAAATGCACCAAATTTTTCCTTTTTTTCCTTGTATCCACATTTTTATGTCATTAGATCATAGTGACAAATTTGCATGACCTAAACCTGCCTTAATGTCACCATTCTGACAGTTTTAATAAAATGTCCTAATTTGTCTATTGGGATATGTTACCCTTAGGTTGTTTTACATGGCTGATTGCATTAATACAAACACTTGGATTCTGGCTGGCTATTCAATGGCCATTTGGCATTTGACTCTTACTGCATGTACTGTTGTTGTGACACTTCTTTGTGGTAACACATTTGCTAATGGCCCTTGGCAGAAATACCAGAATACTGAAGTAACTTTGCTAGATCAGAGTACAGAGATATTCAAAACGCTCCACTACCTTAGCAATTTACTGCACAGCATCAAGAACCCTCTTGGCACACGGGATAACCCAGCACGCATCTGCAGGGATCTGCTCCATTGTGAACCCAAAGTGGCCGATGGTAGGTGCCCACTTTCACTCAGGTACCTTTCAAAGGTGCTGCTTCTAAGTGTTGCTTTCTACATTCAAATTCTGAACTGATCGATTTAATGCTTTTCTTCTTTTTTATTGTATTCTCTTGCGGTGTGCCTGTCATAAATAGATTTATTTCAGCTTTAAGATAAAATTTCTGAATTTTAAAGGTGGAAGAATGTAACTATCTAATATATAAATATGAGATAGATAATATCTATCAGTAAACAGATGTATCCAGAAAATTTCAAACTGAATGCAACTTTGTAATTCGAAGTTTTCCAAATATGTATAGCTAATCTTGCAAGATTCTAGATTCCTAATGAAAAAATTGCATACCATACATCACCACTGTCAGATACACTGTCAGTCATTGTATCTCACAAGTTCCTGAATCAATATTTCAAATTAAAAACCCCTCCTATTTAAAGCTGTCAGTGTAATTGTAGTCAGAAGTGGTTCATTATGGTAATTTTTCTCGTATCTGTTATTAGCATAATTTTAATAGTGAAAACATTTTCATGTTCCTTTCATTTTCTTGTGAAGATATAGTGATAATATATGTAATATTTGCGAAGAAGTGTTAATATTTTAGCAAGTTAGTAGTAATTGTGTTTTGATTTTATTTTCTGTCTGGAATTATATACTAATAGGAAAATACTGGATTGACCCAAATATTGGATGTCCTTCTGATGCCATTGAAGTTTTCTGCAACTTCACTGCAGGTGGTCAGACATGTTTAACACCACTGTCTGTGACAAAGGTATGCATTGCTTCTACAGACACTGTGCCTGTGCTTGAACTCTAAACAAATGCATGCTTATTTGCTTAACTCATTAAAAAGAGTTAGATTTCAGGGGGGCATTATTGTGCATCTTTTTGGAAGGACTTTATTTATTCTGCTACAGAAGTTACAGATTTTCTGGAGACTCTATATGTTAGTAATTCTCACTGTGTGAGAATCTATCCATGCTGATAGAATTATTTTGTTTTTATACTTTATACTTTCTTTCACAAGGCATAAAAATAAGCCTGGAATACTTCTAAGCTACATTAGTATCTCATCACTTAGGACACCTAAGTGTTAAGATGCTGAGGTTGTTACAATAGAAAGAATGAAAATTATTACTGCTTTCCAACACTTAGGAACTTTTAAATGACATTAGGGAGGGACCAGTTTTCTGTACATCATTAGTTCACACTCCTATTTACATGTAGTTCTTGAACTCTTGGGAATAGAAAATTTATGTTTGTGAAATTCTGTATAGCTTCACAAATACTTCAGAAATACTGTGAAGTTCATGTATGCATTCCTACATTTGGAAGATCAATGAATATGGAATAGTCTTGGAGAAATTCTTCTTGCATAATGAGTTACTTTATTTTCTGTCTAAAATCAAAGTATACTTCTGAACTTTTGCATTTGTAATGGACTATCAGTATGGCCAGAACCTGTGGGCTAAGACGACTAAACAGCAGACTGATGTGGCTTCAGTTAAAACACTGCTGCTGATAATATCTTTGTTTGAATCACAGAAGCATTTGTTTCGGTTTCCTTATTTAAAAATACTGTTTTCTGACCAGCTGTGTTTCAGCAGTGTTGTAAGCATCAGCAAATGTTTATATTTAAGCTTTGAAAATGTCCTGTGAAAGCTTCTGTTTATAGTAATGCCTGTAATAGGGCCTAACATCTCCCTGAGGAATGCAGATGGTGCTCTTTGGCATTGGCCCCGTTGTATATAAACATGTATACATGCTCCTGTGCCTGAACACCACCCTGCCATGTCCATGGCACTTTGTGCTGCTGAGCCACTCAGCACAGCCCAGCTGTAAGCCTAACAATGCTTTTCTCTCGGAATTCAGCTGGAGTTCGGTGTTGGAAAAGTGCAGATGAACTTCCTTCATTTGCTGAGCTCAGAAGCAACCCACAGCATCACAGTCCATTGTCTGAACACACCCATGTGGGCATTAACCACAGCAGGGGGCCAGAAGACATCAGTTACCTTTAAAGGATGGAATGGTCAAATATTCAAAGCAAATACTCTCCTGGAACCTAAAGTGCTTCTGGATGAATGCATGGTAAATACCTTTCAGCATCACATTATCAAAGGGAGGCAGAGGTACTGTTTAGACATTACTAACCTTCTGCAAATAAATAACAATCATTTAGATTCACATCTCTTAAAGCTTGCTTCTTTACATAGCTCTGCATATGCCAGCCTTTAGATACTGAATTCATCATCTCTTCAAGGGTAAAAGCAATTGTAGTGATGCAGGGTATCTGTACTTGCTGTTTGCATTGTGTCTCATGTATTTTGAGAGTGTACAAAGACACTGCAGAGACATCAGCACAGAATTAGAGAGGTCCTCCAGGAAAATTTAGAAGCAGTTACCCTCAAAATGAAAATTCAGGCTTCAGAAATGGCATTTGTTAAATTACACAGTTCCTTTAGGAACTGCTGAGAGAATAAATGTTTCTGTGCACTACTTCTCTTTTACTCTGTAAGCACAATTTTCATTTGTGTTTTGAAGCTCACCTTTTATATGACTCTGATATGCTTCTCCTGTGTGTTCCAGATTGAAGATGGCAGCTGGCATAAGACACAGTTCTTTTTTCACACTCAGGACACGAATCAGCTTCCAGTTGTTCAAGTTAATGCACTTCCTCACCTCAAACCAGGCCAGCAGCACTTCATAGAAAGTGGCTCCGTATGCTTCCTTTAAGATTTCTGTCCTAGGTTTCTTGTTGCATCAACATGGAGTTGCTGCACAGATTGAATACAAAAGTAATGATCCATTGCAGGCAAAATTACTAGGAAACTGAAGAATAATTTCAAATGTTGTTGGTTCAAGAACCTCAGGAAGAAAAAGACTTCCTCCTAAGGAGAAATGACATTGGAAAAATAAAAGAAAGAAAATACAAAAGCAATTTTCTTAAAGTATTTAAAAATAAATTTCTTGGTGCTTTCTTGCATAATTTTTGGGAATGGAGCATCTGAACATGGAGTTTTTCAGGACATCAAGTGTTCTTACCAGGCTTTTTAACAGCACTGCACAAAAACCATCCTGAGGAAAGCTGGAGACGTGTGATACTGAGGAGCAATACCTGCTAGTGCTCCTAAATGTGCAATAGCTTTTGTATGAAAAGTGAATCATGCCACAGTACAATAAGTCTTCTTTTCTTAACCATTGCTTTATTCCAGTCCTTGGTGGACACACACATCTGAACAGATGGCACACTACCTCTTTGTGTTTCCTGTCCACGTTGCCTTGGTGCTCTTCATAACACAGGGTGCTTGTGGCCTTAGCAGAGATTATTTGAGTCCCTTTTTATCTTTCAGACTGTATGTGCTGGTTACATCAGGATATGTTTCTGTTGTGAAGGTACTTACTGTAAACCGTTGATCACATACTTCACATAACTGAAAACATTATTTATGTGGATTTCTTGTTTAAAATATTTTTGTGTACTATTTTTGAAATGGTGTATAAGACAGCATATTGTATATGATGCATATAGTCAGAACAGTTTCTGTTACAGCCATTGTGAAAATCCTTGTAAGAAGAACTACCTAAAGTAGTTTTGACTTTTAAATTCTGTATTTCAGTTAACATTGCTAATGCCAAAGCCATCTTAAGATGATATATTCTGTATATATTTTGTAACTTCTGAAAAGATCTACTATAGTGTGTCTTCTGAATGGCTACTGTTAAATTATAATCAGCATTTCATCCTCTTAGAAATTCCTTTTTTTTTTTTTTGCAAAATTTATTAGATCATTTTGGGCTTTTAAAATTAAGCCTAAAATGTTCAGTGAAGTTGTTTGGGTTTTTTTTTTTTTTGTAAAAAAGAACAGTTTTACCATTAGGAAAAGCACTCTTTATATTGATATGCCTCTATCTATTATCAATTCAAAGTGTGCTCAGCAGTACACGGCAAGGTGATACCAGACTGTATTTGAGGAGCCTGGGAGTGTTCAAACAACTTGTCTTCATCTGCAGTAAACCACACCACCAAAATATAATAAAATAAGCTTCCAAACTATTTCTTTGTCTTTTACTATTCTGTTTCATATTGTATAGTCATTCTTAGAAATAATGAAAATCCTCTAGAAGGGCACTTTCCTTAGGTGGCAGTGTTTCCCTTCCCAAGGGGAAATGCATATGCTCTGTGCCAAAGAATACTGGCAGAGGGACAATGTTCACTTTTATGAAGTAATGTACATGCACATCCCATCTTACACTTTTTATCAAAGCATCATTTTTGACCACTTTGACAAAAATCTGATAAAACAAAGCAAGATTACAGAAGGATAAGAAAATGTCTCACTTTTTGTATTTTCAAGATCAATCCACTGACATCATGATTTGACATTTGCTCTGAGTTTGGCTTTGGAGGTGATGTTTTGGCAAATGTTGGGGGTATTTTCCAAGATTATAATTTTTAAGAAAACGCCTGCTTCATGAATATTTTTATTCATCTCATTGCCCTATTTTTGGAAGTTCTTAATTTCAGAAAATATCTCTTTTAAAAGCAAGGAGTTTAAAGTCCTATAACGCTGCTCGGATGTGCATTTCCGTAGCTGAGGCAGAAATGCACATCCCACGCAGACGGCGGGACACGGACAGGTGAGGAGTGAGCCCGGTGTCACCTGGCTGGTCACCGTGCTGGTGTGCGGCGCACAGCGCGGCTCGGGAAGCTCCTCTGTGCTCTGGAAAGCCTTCCTGGCTGGAGCACCGGTCCCGGATCCCCGAGGGTCCCCGAGCCCCGCAGGCCTCGGCGCGCCGGGTCCGGTCCGATCCCGCCCCGTGCGGCTGTGCTGGGGCTCGCGGCCGCCAGGCGGCGCTGCAGAGGCCGCGCCTGTCCCGTGAGGACCCGCGGCGCGGTCATGGCGGAGCAGGACCGGGACGAGGACTGGGACGTGCCCGAGCGGGCTGCCGGCGGCGGGAAGATGTCCCTGCACAGGTACGGCACGGCGGCGGCAGCGGCCGCACGGGCTTCGGGAGCGCCTTCCGCGGGGCTCGGCGGGTGGCTCTGTGCCCTGCAGCCCCGCGCGGGTGAGGCCCGAGCGAGCGAGGGGCTGCGCGCTGCCGCCGCCCGGGGCAGAGCCTCGCCGGAGCGGTGTGGGCAGCGGGCACCGCTGGGATCCTGCAGAGCGGGGAAGGGGAATCCCTGTTCAGAATAACTCCCCGTTTCTGGTTTGCAGTGTTTGAAACCCTTTTCCCCGGTTCTTAGAATGGCTTTGGGCTGCTAATTCACAGAGCTCGTCAGGCGATGGTATTGCTGGGCATGTCCTTCAGGCCCTCACTAGCAGCAAACAGCGAGCACGTGGTGGGGAGAGGAAGAGAAGTGGGTTAGGGCTGGCATTTATCCCTAGGAGTTGAAAATGGTGCGTTTGTATATTCACGAAAACTTCGCTGTCATTTCTCTTTTCTGGTTGTCAGATTTAAAATAAGAGTGATGATACAGAGACCTTGTTCTTAAGAGTGGGAGAAGCAGCTGTTTTGTTAGCCTAGTTAAAAACATATGGTCATATTTGTAGAGGAATAACGTTTTTCATTGATTATTAGTCAAGTTGATAAATCTTACATATTTCCTGACTTTGCCTGAAAGGTTCCCTGACTTTGGAGTTTGCCCTGCTGACAGCCAGAAGTTGTTTGGCTGACTGTGTTGTCATGCTTTTTTTGTTCCGGTGAAAAAATGGGATGAATTGTTCAGGGTTTATGTGAATCCATGAGACTTAATTTCCGCGTGCCTAAAGCTGGGAGTATTGTAAGCCAGCCTGGTACAGTGCACAGTACAGGTGATGCAGGAGGAGAAAAAGCACAGGCCACAAAGCATTAAGGCTGATAAAGGCTTGCTATGTTTCCAGCTCTTCAGTTGCCATGTGGGTTTTTTTCTTTCAATCATCTACAGTGTTGTAATGTGTGTGTTTAGGGATACTCCCCATGGCTTATGTTGTTTGGTCTGCCACCTTTCCTAATCCAGGATATTTGTATTTTCTCTCCTTTCAAAGTGCACTAAAATAACTTTTCCTGAAAATGCTGATGGATGGCCTAGTGCCTGGTTTTTGAGCAGGCACTTCCATAGCTCAATAAGGTGCAAAAATGCCCCCTTATTGAGAAGTGTTTTTTACTTCTTTCAGGTGTGAAACCTGTAGCAAAGAAGAAGCCAAGTACAGATGTCCACGATGCATGAAATATTCATGCAGGTATCTATTATCTGAATTAAATAGTTTTGATTATTTCCCCCATTCATGTGCTGAACATGTTAATTCCTTTTTTTTGTCATTTCAGCCTGTTGTGTGTAAAGAAACATAAGCTTGCACTGAGCTGTAACGGAGTCAGGGATAAAACAGCGTTTGTCTCTGTAAATGAATTTACTGACTTGAACCTTCTGAGTGGTAAGAACATATTGTGTGTGTTCTAAAACTCCCTGGTTTTACTAGGCTGGCACTACATTTTTCTTTGTTCCATTTAACCTTCAGATTATCGTTTCCTGGAAGATGTGGGAAGGACAGCTGATGCTGCTGCTCGACATTGTATCGTGCATAGTCCAGCAACAAAAAGACTTGTGAGTTTTTGGTTCTCCTTTTGCTCTGTTGGAATTAGGGTTGGCTACCTTTGAATTCCCACTGAGGTAGTCCCAGTCCAGATTCCAGAGCTGGTACCTCTCTTATGAAGAGATGAATGACCCTGAATTTTAGAGCCAGAAATCAAAAGAAGTCTCTAGGTTTATGCAGCAATGGTATTGATGGCTACATCCAGTTGCTTGGAAGAAAAGATCACTGACATTTTTTAAAATTTATGTGTCACCACTGTTGCTGTTGGATGATAGATGTGTGTTAAGAAAGTCTGAATTTTTGCTTCCTTACACCTCCACAACTTTTGAATTCTTAAGTACACACTTCCCAGGTAAACAATGGATTTAATAATTGCCTAAAAATTGTTATGTGGTTCCCTATATACCAAATGAAGACAGCTAGAGCTCTTCAAAGACTGAGTCTAAGCAAGAATGACATAAAAGATAGCCTTCTAAGGGAGAAGAGTTTTTTGCTGAAGCACTTTCAGCAACTAAAAACAACGAACAAAAAAACAAAACCCAAAAAAGCCCAACCAACTCTACTCGAAAATATTTTGACTCATTAAATCACAAAAAGGCATCAAGGCCATTTTGTTTTTTAGTCTTTTGAAGATACCTTGAAATATAGCCCTACACTCAGGACTCACATTGATGACAGAATAAATTCAGAAGAGTCCAGCTTCCTCTCTGGCTGGAATCATATTCTCTTTGTGTGTGTATTGAGCACTGTGATGTCCTGGAAATGTGTGCTGAAGGTGGGGAGATGCTGCACAGGTGCAGTTTTAGGGGTGTGGTACTGGGCACATTAATGGGATGATGCCATTAGTGGTACCTTCAAATCAGAATTTGGCAGTAGCTGGGATGGTGCTTGTGTGTCCATTGTGCCAGCAGGTTTGTAACCCAGGTGGTATTACACCCACTGTGTCTTTCATGGTATGTTGAAGAACTTCTGCTATGAGGAGGGCATTGACATGTTCTTTTTTAATAGTAAAGAAACTTACAGAAATGTTTCAGAGAGTTTCTAGGCAGAGTTAATTTTTTTTCATTTGGGATTTTTTTAAAAAAATTTAGAGTATTTCATTAAATATGGCCTTTTCTATAATATTCTCATAATTCCTGTCAGCTTTTTATTGTTTAATTTTCAAGGGTTTATATATTCAAATTTTTTTGGTGTTTTTTTTTCCAGTTATACTTCTTGAGGAACAAAGCTCGAGGGTGTAATATTGAGCTAAAAACACTGCCTGTTGGATTCACAAAAAGAAGAGAAAATTCTACCACCTTCAATTCCATGTGAGTCTTCAGCTGGTTACAGTCAGCAGTATGTTGAGCCTATAATGATGAGAATTTGACTTCATACCAATATGCTTGCTTTGAAATCTGTTAGCTGCCCCTTGTTTTGCAAAAGCTGTTTAATATTTCATGCTTTGTTTTCATTTTCTTTAGGTTCTTTGAGCTTGGTTTAACAGCTTACATGATTCATGCTTTATTTTGAAAAATGCTGACACCTGGGTAACGGAACAAAGGATCAGTGCTGTTGTGATCTTTTCTTTTAATTAACACTTGGGCGTTTTGCTGGAAAAAGAAAATGCTTCTTTGGAGGTTTTGTGATAGAGGATTGATTGATGTAGAAAGTTTGCACAAATCCCTGTCTCTGAAAAGACTGACTTAAATCTGAAGAGGTGCTTCAGTACCCAAGTTGCATTCTGTGATGGGAGTTGCTGTGCTGGGGAAGGGAAATGTTTGATACAGCACAACTTAGAAAGATAAGTGCAGACAGATACAAATTCAGGAAGAAAGCTAAGGAAAATTTAAATATTTCTTCCTTTATCCATGCTGTGGTTTTTCTCTGATATACAGAGATTGTATTTTAAAGTGTTTTCACAGTGAAAAGACTTTGAATATTTTCACAGTGCAAATGAAAGAAATTACAAAGTATTTCATTGTGACAGGAATCAGGTCTGCAGTTCAGCTCAGTAGTATACTGGGGTCAAATAAAAATGCCTTCTCAGCATCTCACAGCAGTGACAGCCTTGATGGCTCATATGCCCATGATGGCTCCTTTACTTGTGTTGTTCCTGGTCTCAGTTTTGGTGGCCATTTATGTTTTCAGGATGTGTTTTCCCTCTGTTCTGGGAGCTGTGCACTCCACGGTGCTGGTCTCTGCGTGGCCACCAGAGGTCTGTCTCTGACAGAGTAAAAACCCACCTGGAAACTGCTCAACGCACCCACCTGAGTCATTGAGGCTGCTCTAGGAAAAAACACAGGCAGGTTTGGTTTTGAAGATTTTAGCAAAACGTTAGGCATCAAATAGATGTAGAAGTGTAACCTTTTAAAGTTACAAATTTTGCCAGTTCTGTTAGAGAAAACCCAGACTGTGGGTGTCACAGGACTTCATGACACTTATAACATTTTGTTGAATTTCACATTGAAATGAGGTCAAGCTGTGCAAATAGTCATATATTCATTATATGAGCTTAGCACCTGACAGTGCTCAGGGTCTGGTGTGTCCCTCTCCTCCCCTTCTCGTGCTGTTTGTCAGTGAAGATTTGTGGACAGATTGCTCCAGAGGGTGGAGGCTGGAAGCTGCTCAGCATGTGTGCGTGGAAAACCGAGAACAGCTTCTCCCATGTCCTCCTGACACTCTCCCTGCGAGCCAAGCTCTTGGGCAGTACAAGGCAGGAGTGAGAGCAGTCCAGAGCTAGGAAGTACAAGATGTATTCTTGTGTCATCCCCTGCCTGTGCCAGCACTGGAGGACACATCTGTGTTGTTTTGAAGTGTTAGCCAGACACTTCACTTCCTGGATTCCATGAGTTTGTTTGCTAAATCCCATGTTGTGGAAGCATACGTGCCAATGCTGGGCAACACATGGCTTAGACTGATGTGTTGAATATCTAGGTAATGGAGGGTCATTAGAAAGTAGTGTCTGAGTCCAGAGTGTGAACTCATGGTGCATCTGACTTCTTATTCATAAATTATTTTCAAAGTGCTGCTTCATGCTACATTTCCTGTGGTGCCCTTATTTTCAATGCAGCTGAGAGTTGCCCACTGGATACATTCTTCCATGGATACATTCATCCCATGGAGATGGGGTGAATTGCTGGGATAGGGGGCCTCAGGGAGAAGGGTGAAAGGTGAGGCCAGGCTGAAACCAAGGGCAGGAGCACCAAGTGGGCAGCTCCAGGCAGCAGGTCAAACAGGAAGAGGGGAATGAGCTTGCAAGGCCATGGCTCCTGTTACCTGGCAGGAGGTGATGTAGTGAGACACTGAAATGGGGCAGTGCAGTTCCCTGAGCTCTGCAGCTTGTGCTGCCCTACTCCACCCCTCCCTGCTGCTTGCACTGTCATAGGCATCTCCAGCCAGCTTCCTCCACACTCCACAGCATAGATCTCCCACACCAAATCCTTTTTACCTCTCCTCCCCACCAAGAGGGGCCAGAGGTCTACAGACCTCTCTTGTAGCAGGCATGCTTGCAGCCTGGGAGCATTTGGTCAGAGGGGTATATGTGGGAGGAGAAGGAGGAGGAAGTTCTTACATTAACTCACCTCTTCAATGTAATTGTGAGAAAAAAATACAGCGTGGAGATTTGGGACTAACATAATTTAGAAGATCAGTATTGTTACACTTTGAGGTACACCTGGAAGTTCTAAAATGTCAGCTCTAATCCTTAGCTAGGTAGAGATAATTACAATTATTGTTTGAAGTGTTGATTTTGAGAATGTAGCAAGGAGTTTTCTGAGCTGGGTTTTGACTTAATATAACACTGCTGGAGCTGTTAGACTTGAATTTAGTTGTTACTCAGTACGCAGGTTTGCTTGCCCTCTTGAACTCATGAAGAAGAAAGTTAAGTTGCTAAAGGAAGTCAATGTTATCCAAACCTATACGAGCTGAATGCCCAGTACTTCAGTTAAACTTCACTGCATTCTGACAGAGTACTGGGTATTGTCAGATGGAAGGATAACTGGTCTGTCATCAAACTTCATGTCCTTTTAATCACTTTAATGAATTCAAAATGAAAGAGACGGGAAGTACTACAGTATTTGCGCTTTGACGTAAGATATCCTGTATACTAATATTTTAAGAATACTAGTTGCTAAATTGAAACAGAATCATCAGTGAATCACTATCTTTGACAGGCTGCCAGTGAAATACTTCTGTAGAGCCAGAACTGCTGTTGATATCTTAGGATGTAATGAATTTGGAATTTTTGTCAATACTTTAGTTTGCATATATATAAACACACATTTCAAAACACCTTCTAAACATGTTTAAAATAGTTCTACTGCATTCTAGACAAAACTGAGAGGAAGCCTAGATAAGAAAATTAAGCTTTATGAGACATTAATATACTTTTAAAGAAATGCATAGATATTAGACACTTCTAGAAATCTGCCAAGGCACTTAACAAGTAACTTTCCAAGTCCAAAATCCTTTTTAGATCAGTCCTTTAATTCCCAGCTGCTGTACTGTCTACAATCACAGTTTTTTGAGCATCTTCTTAGGTACTGCTGTAACTGTAAAGGTGGTGCAAATGTGTGCAGTTGTTCTGAGAGCCAGCTGGAGGAGACAGCTGCCTTGTATATATATATACTGCTGCTGTCTTTGTAACATCAGAAGTAAAAATGTTTCCATTGTTGCTGTGAAAATTTTTTAAATCATCTATATGTAGTTCTGGGGGAACTACAGTTGATGGCAAAGGAAGTTTTAGGAGAAATGAAAGGTAGATTGTCACTTTTTGTAAAACTGTGGTTGTGAAACAGCCTGTGCAGTTCTGAATGTATTTTGCATCTACATCTCATTCAGGGAGAGAGGTGCTTGGCTCCCCTTTTCCCTCTGATCCATTTCCATGCTTCTGAAGTAGCCAAAATACAAGATGAAACCAAGCAGGGCAAGGATGGGCTATGATGCTGCTTGTACTGACATCACTGATGTGCCTGTGCTTCACCCAGATCTTTGGTAATTCTAAAGTCAGTGCCTTGGTATCCAAAAAACCAGGGCACTGTTGGAGGGGCACTCCATGGCAGCAGAGTGGCATGGAATGCTTCATGGAGTGAGCTGTTACTCAAATGCAGATTACTTATACAATTAGGCATTTTCATTTAAAAAATGAACATACCACGTGTCCGTTGTATTTGAAGGAAGTGCTGCCCCAGTGAGCCATAATGGAAAATGAAGTCAGTGAGATCTGGAGCCAGGCTATCTAACTTTGATCAGAACTTGTTGTGAAGCAGCCTTGATAGCATCTACAGCTGACATCAAGTTCTCTGGGCACACATCAGTGATGGTGAGGGAGGCTTCACGTCAATAACAGGCACCCAGCAGGTTGTTTTTCAAGACTTCATTATATAGTGAAGAGAATGAGGCTATTCCTGTTCCAAGCTTCTTTTTTTCTTCCTGCTTCTATCCTGTTCTTAAACTGTCTTACCTCTTTCTGCCTGCCATTTCCTTCCAGGCTCTTCCAAAGAGTACTTTGAAGAGAGACTAAGATATTAATTGCCAGTTATGGTATTAGTTTGCTGAGAAAAAAATCAACATTTCTGTTTTATCAAACTGGAATTTTTTTATGAGAAATGAGCTTTTTAACTTCAGCTTCCCTGATTCACAGCACTTTCTGTGCCCTATTCCATAGACAGGATTGTGCCTGGAAGGGGGAGGGAGGGCGGAAGTCTGAGAAGAATCCTCTAAGCTGATTTTACAGCTGCAGTGATGAGCTGAGTCTGCCTCAGTGAGCCCACAGGGAACCAGCCTTGCATGTGAATGAGGATGTGCTGTGTGACAGCCATTTACAGATACATGTGGAGGGTTCCTAGCAACAGGTAGCAGATAGCTAGAAGTTCTTTTTGGAGTAGTTCTTTTTCAAGTGCCTGTGTTAGAGACAGTCCCATACATACATGTCCCATAGGTACATCCTTCTGTGAGCTGTGTCATGGTTTGTCTCTCTCATGCTTTGGCTGTCTTGATTTAAAGATCAAATTGTCACAGAAAGGGTCACTTAGAATAGATGAACATGGCCTGTTTGAAAAAATTGTGGAAGATGGTGAGTTAAATGAAAACATGCTACCAAGACTCATGTTAGTTAATAACATAGAACAAAACCCTCATCTGAACAGTCCTTAGAAACATTTTGATGTATGCCCATCATAATAATTTCTTTCAGCTAATGTTGGTGACCCTATTTCTGTGTCTAAAGCTTAATAACTTTTACTAGTCTCCCTGGGAAAGTGCTTTGAAATAACACCATTCCATGTTAAATGGCAGATAGTAACATGTTTGAGAGGAGTCACAAGCTTGTTAATCTCAAGGGAACTGAAGTGGTTACATAACTTTAGGGGTATTCCAGTTTGCTCTGTGTGTATGGTAACGTTGGTGCTTCCTTCAGCTGTCAAGATAAGAATTGCAAAACCTTGTTTTACTTACCTTGTAAAAAACTCCCAAAATTCCACTCAATGGCTTTGAGTTATTTCAAAACATTTTGCATTTTGGCAGTTTAAGACTGTCATACCAATATGCAAAAGAGCATAAAATTCATGGGCCCAAATACTATATGGTTATATATATGCTATATGATTAATCATGTTTTCTGTGTTACCCTCCAGCTCTGGCTGTACAGTCTTCTTACCTCTTCCAGACCTGATGTTCTCTAATTCCACATTCTCATTCTCTAACAAAGATGTGCAGAAAGAAGGGAGGAATCACAAGGCATGCTGCACAACTCTGCTGAGGCACATATTGTTTTGGGGACCTGGACTTCATCAATTTGTTTTATTCTAATTATTACTTTATTGGAGCTGGAGGTTTCTGCTTGCTCTTTTTTTGGTAAATATTAATGCATCTGAATTTACTTACACTCCAGAAAGTGTAGTTCAGTTGTAAAGCTCACTTTTCTCCTAGAAACAACTAGGTAAAAGAATTACTTATTTGATAAGCTGACTTTATAAAAAGGGCTTGCATTTAAAAATTGATATCAGAGTTGATTGATTTTAGCAGCTAATTTTTTGCTAGTGGATGCACATACACTTCTCTCTGCAGCCAGCTAGAGCCTGCTGTATAATGTTTCATTTGCCTGATAAACAAATTAATCAACATGTTGGAACAACACTGTGTTTACTTTTTATTGTAGACTAGAATCTTTGCATAACTGAAGGTGATTATCCTGGATGCAATGAATCATCATAATAATGTTTTAAGAAGTAGTTAAAAAAAAGACACTATTAGATATCCCTGTGCCTCACAGGTGTTTGTGCTCCAATTTCTAAATCTTTGCTGTTTGTCATGAGTGTGAATTTCTGAACCAGAGCAAAAGGCCAGGAACCTACCTTTTAGATTAGGGAATCTTTTTCCCTAAGCTTTCTCTTATGGAATTCTTTCAGAAAAGTTTCTGCAGACTTTCTGCAAGTGAGCAAAAAGGCAAATAGAGACTGCCTGATGTAGCAAAATTCTCTAGAAATTCTACCTAAAATGATACTGTTCTTGAGCTATGCTTCAGTAGCTTCTGTTCTCAGGTGTTACTTATGCTAGCTGGAGAGGGAAGATGGTCTTAAAAATAGCAACTGACATACAGAAAAAAGGAATGTGACATCACTTTGTCTCTACCAGAAGTTTTACAATCTTTCTGTAAAATGTTTGTTCTTTCTAACTTCTCTTATCCATGTCATGCCAGAAGGCACCTTCCTTCCCTGGCCATGGCACATTTTCTATTGAGGCCATCATTGCTGGAAGAGGTTGAGCCCCCTGTGTTCTGTAGGACCCAGCCTCACCTGGGACTCTGGCTGTTATTGTTGCACAGGTTTGGTAATCTGTCCTGGGTGATATGCCAAAAAGCAGTTTCCTTTTCTGAAATTAAAGGGCAGCTGGACTCATTTTAAAATGTGAAATACTGTTGATCAGTTAATTGGTGATATCTTAATATATTTGTAAGGAAGAGATTTTCATTCCATGAGGATTTGAAATTTAGCAGGATGTGGGAGCATTACATCTTTCAAAGGACATCTCAGCTTCTCTGCATGCCCTTTATACTCTTTAAAGCCATTCAAAATCTTAACTGTGTATTTTCTTCTGCACCTATGCTGTAGGTTACCAAGCTTTATCACAGAAAAAAAATTGTTGTTACCGACTAAGAATATGCATTTCTTTTTGTTTTCAGGGAGAACAAGTTCTACTGGCATTTGAAACTCATATTTCCTCACTGTCATGCTGAATACACTTTAAAAGGGTACAGAGCTTTAAAAAATATTTTTATAAAGTTTCAATTTAAAAAATATTTTTAAAGTTTCAATTAATCTGCTGAAGTTGAACTGCAAAATATTTTAATCAGTTCTCACTGAGTTCTGTTATACAGGGTAAACTCAGGTATTGATTTTAGTCTTAAATAAAAGATCATTTCAATCTAAAAAATATTGAAAGTTGTGTGGTCCTTTTCTCTCTGAAAGCTAGCAGACTTTCCAAATCAGGCATAATGTTTGTTAGTCCTTTTCTCTATGTAAATAGAGAGTTTGTATATTCATAATAGTAGTAGCCCTACACCTGACATACTCTCTTCTCATGGAGCAGATGTTCAGCACAATTTGCCACCCCTCCTCACCTGCACTCTGGAACTGACCTTCATACAGGGTGAAATGGTTGCATTGTTTGCTTTGTAGGAAAGTCCACAAACACATTTTGAAAAGGCAAAAAATAAATAAGCTTTTATTGACAAATGTTTCTCCTTTTTTCCTAGCCTGAAGGGAGATGAGAATTATGTATTGCCTGCTCCTAGGGCTGCAGGAACAGCATGTTTCTTTTGCAGAGTTAGAAACTGGAGATATGCATCTGTTTACTCCTCATACGTGCCTGTGAAATCCCAGTGCTGAAACTGAGATAAAGCTGCCCATATCTGTGCAGTATTGATCCTCCCATGAACTACTCAGCTGTGCCACTGTAGCATGCCAATATACAGGTGACTCATAATAGATATTTGTGTACATGATGAAGGATGTCTCACATGCTTGATTTTTATCTTTGCTGAAAGGGTGCCTGACGATAAAACCCTTGCTGATATCCTCAAGCCATACATTGATCCAGTGGAGTCAGATCCTGTAGTTTGTCAAAGGTGGGTATTGAATAACTTTCCTGCCTAGTTGATCTAATGCACTAATAAAAGGGAATGGTTCTGCATACATGGCTTAAATTAGCTGCACTATCAGCTTGCAGCTGAGTTCCCAGTCAGCAGTACATCTTTAATTCCTGTGACAAAAACCATCCTAACGTTCACCAACCAACTAACCCTGGGGTCCAGCCACCAGATTTAAACCAACAAAAAATTTAGAAATTGACTCTTGGCATAAATACCAAATAAAGCAACTGTAATTCTGAAAAATGTAACCATAATTAACTTCAGTGGAGGTGACAGTAAACCTTCAGAATAATTAGAAAAGCATGCTAATAATTATAACCCTCATTTATAGAAAACACCTAGTATTTGACAAATTATTGTTTTAATGAAAAAAGACATCATTTTGGCTGTTGATTATGCATAAGAGATCCATCTCTTACGGATGACAGGAAGAAAAGTCATTGTACATCATTTCTGCATCTCTGCTGCTTTCTTTTTTCAGATTAAAAATCTATACAGCATCTCCTCAGTCAGATGTACGAATTTTAATGAAAATAGAAAACAGGAGCCGAAACTCTGTCAGGTAAGGTGGTTCTTCAGTTTATGTGCTTACTAATTAAAAATAACAAGATTTAACACATTTCTTAGTCTATAATAATCTCCAGTATTACAGTTGGAGATTACATAATCTCATGGATTAAACTTCAGTGAGTTATAAAAATGATTTGGCAAAAATGCTAATTCTTTGTCTTTTATAATGTCAGCATTGACATTTCAGTGCAATTTTTGAGTGAGTGTGCCTGTACCTAAACTGCTTCAGCAACAGTCCATGTCCATGTAACAGGGCACAGGTCTGTGTTAAAATGCTAAATAATTGTATTGACCCAGGGAAATGCATACATCAATTTCTTTCTGGAAGTTGTGCTGTGGATATGTTAACCTCCCAGAGGGAGGGAGGGAGTTGAAGTGATAGCCAAGGAGATTTATATTTTTAAATTAGTGCAGCAAAAATTATGCGTTTATCACAATCCAGTCACTGCATTTGAAATTACACATTTTTCTCAAAGTTACTTGCTCATCACTCTTCATGTTACCATGTTTCTGGGTGTGGGCTTTTATGTCTTCAGAATTCAGACTTGTGCAGAATTGTTTTCTTTGTTTTCAGAACAGAAAATAATCTTGAACTTCAAAATTAAGCTTCAAAGAAATATTTTTTGCTAGTATAAATACCATTCTGAACACTCCACCCTGTTGTCATTGTTGCTGAAAAGGATATGGAGCAGCTTAGTAGCATAATTTACTGTGGTTCACCAGTGATTCCTAGTTAGGCATCTGAAATTACATTTTTGTCTTGAAATGTAACATGTAAATAATATGCTTCCTTAAAATATGATACATTATTTCTAAGGGGAAGTAAGGATATATTGTAAGAATTTTAGCTGTAACTTAGCTTCCAATTTATGCTGGGGATTTTTCCTAGTAATATTAAAAAATGTGCAATTTTCAATTCAAATGCAAACTCTTAATGATTTTGATTGATTTTTTTCTCTTTGCAATCATTATTTGATATATGGTTGTAATGTTTGCCATCAGAATCACCAGCTAGAAACCTGTTGTTTTTAAGTGAATTTGAAGATACAGAGCCCTGATTCTTATATGAGGTTGATAATGAGGTTGTAGTAATTGGTGTTTATCCCACTTAGTGAATGTTAAGTTTAATGTACAGGAAAACAAGTAGAAGGTTAAAACAGAAGTGTATCTTGACTTGAGACCTGCAGTTCCTCACTTGGAAATTTTGTGAATCTCTTCATATAAGTTTGTGGTGCAGGCCCAGCTGGGGCAGTGCAGACAGGTCAAGAAAACAGTATACTGAAAAAAATTCCTCCTGTGAAAGGAAGGAGCAAAGTTTGTTTGAAATGGGACTACTATGTCAGCATGAAGTCACTTCTGTCAACATAAGCTGTGTCTGTGGCAGCAGGCACTCAGAGCGCTTGTTGTGACAACAGCTCTGGGAGGGAATGCAGATTTTTGCTGTAGGTGCATTACAGATAAGTAAGAGAGAATTTGTTTTGATTTTTTGTCCTTTTGGTTCCTCATCCCTAAGTTAATTGGAGAGTATTGGCTTGTACTCTATGAATGAATAGCTGGAATTGCAGTGGAAGTACTTGTGATTGAAACATGAGCAGCTTGCTGCTTAGTGGTCTTCCCTATGGATCAAAAACTGCATGGAGACAGAGCTCCCTCACCTTTCTTCATGTTTCTTTTACAGTGGGAAGTGTTAACTGCTGGTTTGTGTAGCCCTGAGTGCCCCTGTCAGCTCAGTGTAATTTCTCAGCCTGTGCCTCCTCATTCTGCGTGGTTTTAGGCTGTATATTCCTGTGTGGTAAAATGCTCTGCCATCATTTTGAGGGCAGACTGAAGGAGTGGGATTGGTGTAGGCTACTGATACATGTAAGTCATGAATGTTTGTTATCTACAACTCCTGTGCCCACCAGAAAAATTTCTTCTCCACAAGCTGATAGAAGATAGAAAAGTTGAAAACATAACATATGTTGTTAAGTTCAATGTTGGTTTTAGGCTTAGCAGAACCTTCTGGAAAAAAATCCTTTTCATAGTTAGAATTTTGTATTATTGAGGCAGAGCAGTGGTGTTTCAGAGTGTATCTAAACAGGATTATAAAATGTTAGTCTTCTAGTTTTAAGATAAGTATGTTACAGAAGGATTTTAGTATTTCCTGCACTTGTTTATGAAATAGGAGTTAGTGGTTTAATTTTGGCTGTTTTCTGTGTTCCACAGCAAATCATCCTTTTAGTTTGAAGGTCCTCTGTAGAATGCTTTAAATTTTTGAGGTTTTATTTTTTTCCTTCTCCAGATATATAAATTAGCCATGAAGTACTGATTTCTGCTTTCTCACAGGAGTTCTGTGGAACTTCAGAAAGCCACTGGTGTGTAAATATCATGGATGGCTGACAAACTCGGTCCTTGTTATGTCTTTTACTGTCAGTGGTGACAGTTCTTACAGAACTTTATGATAAGTTCTTATTTCTGTCTTCTCTAAAAACAGCTTGTAAGAATTGCTTTCGGTATGAATTGGTAGCACTCCACAGTTAATTGGGGTAACCTAAAGCATGATTTCTCTTCTTGTCTTCTCAGCTTTAACTGTCATTTCATGCTCTGTAACTTTTAGTTACACTTGCTTTATCTTCTCATTTGCTACACTTAGTTCATGAGGAAACTTGCAAAGGAGAGTTTCAAAAAACAAGCATTACATAACTCTCTTCTTCGTTTAAAACCTTTTGTTTTTAAATGAAGTTTGGAAAAAATCTGCCTTTGAATGGGTCAGAATACTTTTCCATTTGGGTACTGCTTGCTTCGATCACCTGTTATGCAATATTTAGTTAGTGTTGGTGTCCATTCTCTCCTTGGCTGTAACTATTCCAAGGAAGGTTTAACTTCTCCCTCTTGGATTATTTTTATAGTCTACATTCTTTCATAAAGTAGTATTTTCTTTCTTCTGGATAAATTAGTGTCCTGGCTGTCTTCAGACCTTTATTTGGATGCCTTCAAAGTGACTTCATATGGTAAGAGTATTTCTTTTTCCAGTAAGGAAAGGAAAGGTGCAACAGCCAAATTACACAGTGTGGTTTGGGAAATACACCTTTGCATTTTCCTGAGAATATCCTTATCAGGTTTTGTGTAACAAAAAAAACTAAACCAAAACAGCAAGTAGCCCTTCCAAAATCAAAAAGATTATTGGTCTTTTTCATTAGTAAGTTAAGTTGTTTTGTATCTGCAGATACTTTATGAGAAATTAATTTACTCAGCCTTATCATGTAAGATGATCCTATTTCTATAAGAAAAATAACTGCAACTTAAACTTAATTTGCAGTAGATACTTTCAGAGACAATTAAATAAATCTAAATGAGGTTAAACCAAAAAATTGAATATCTTTTATTGGGTTCAGTAGCATCTTGCACGAATCTTGTTTAGATAATTGACGCTTTCAACACATATATAGGATTTAATAGAATTGAAAAATAATGCTTTCTTAAACATCAGTGTTAGGTCTTATATGTGGTAATATTCTTTTTTAGCCTATTCAGAGTAGCATGTGAGCATTGCTTCAGGATAAGTTGTTGCAGAAAACTTTTTGGTGATTTGAAGGTCAGAGTATGCACTGGCAGAATATTTAGGTGCCTGGAAAATATGGTCTGGTTGGCTTTAAGAGCTTTGCAAAGGCCACTGCTTTCAGTAGAGCAAATCCATGAAGGAGCTGGAGTACAGAACTGTACCAGGCTATATCCTGTCACTTTCATGTTGTAAAACTGCCACATCATACAGGAATGGATACAGAATCAGTTGTAGAATTGTTTTCTGTATCAGTAATACTGGTGTAGCTCAAGCTTCAATTACTCAGAAAGCAAAAAATACAAAAAGGATTTTTGTGCCAGTTCCAGCATCAAGGAGCTTCTTAACTGTCTGTGGTGTCACTGGCTGGGGCACATGAGAATAATGGCATGTTTGGCACTTAATTCTTGTGGACCACAGGGAAGAAAATCTGCTAAACAAGTTTGAGAGGTTCTCCTCTACTAAATGCCATTGTTTTATGGTGGTGAACACTTCTTTTGCTTTAACTGATTTAATTCAGTTGCTTTCCAGAAGGCTGGATGATGTTAGTAATTTTGGATCACTTCCCTGTCTCAAGATCAGCTGGCAGAAATGAAAGTTATTTCCTTGGATGACTTAGCTCTGTGCTCAAAGAGAATTTTCTTTTGTAGTCTATTGTTTTTAATAACTATGGGTTAGATCTCATCAGTAGGTTACAGTAGTCGCAGTAATAGATTCAGGAAGGTGAAGCTTTTTGTCTTAGTATGGGCAAATAAAGCCAACATACTTTTGAAAAATCATCCTGGAATTCAAAAAGCAGTAGAAATGTAATGGAACCACATTTTTTAATGTAGCATTTAGATTATTTATTTCCTTATCTTTAAAAATGTCTATTAGATACTTGTGTCAGTTACTGTAGGATTGTTTTTTAAACCCTGTTATTAAAATATGTTGACAGTAGCTTTGAGTGTTGAGCTGTTTATGTTTTTCTTGGACACTTCCTTCTGCATTATCATTTGTGAGTAACTTCATGTAAAACCAAGAGAACTTACAGTCTTTGCTTTCTGCTTTTTCACACATAACTCAGTTTCTTTTAAAAAGAAACTTCATCTTGCAGAACAAGTGTGCTAGAATTAGCACATTTCAGGCATTATTTCTTCTTTGCATTTTCTGCAAATGTTGAAAAGTGGTGTGCTTTATTTATTATTCTCTAGTCTTACTTAGGAAGCAATTTCTTTTCACATTTGTGTAGTAGACAATATACATGAGACAGGAATTAAGGATACAAATCCTTGGCTGAACTGCTGGCCTTGGCATGAGTTGGAACAGACCCCAAGCTGGCTTTAACCTATGCCAGAAGATTGACAGTAGAATTCATTACTTCTCTGTAGCTTGCAGCAGCTGGCACAAAAGCAGCTCTGCCAGCTTTACAAAAGCAGGGAGCCAGCTTACAATAGTCATTCTTCACATTCTGC